CGCCCCAAGTTGAAAGCTAACTGAAACATTTGTTCGCCCGTTGCAGTGTCGAAGCCAGAGCTGACATTCTCCGCATCCACTCCCGCTCGATGAACTTAACTCGTGGCATCAACTTAACTAAGATCGCCGAGAAAATGAACGGCTGCTCTGGTGCTGAGCTGAAGGGAGTGTGTACCGAAGCTGGCATGTACGCCTTGCGAGAGCGACGAGTACATGTTACGCAGGAGGACTTTGATCTCGCAACTGCCAAGGTTCTCAATAAACACGACGACAAGGAGGTCAGTCTCGGCAAGCTGTGGAAATAAACGTGCAATAAAGCGAAACAGGTCGGATCAACTGGCAACGGATGGAGGGGTTTTTTTCATGTGGACTATCGTGGTTACATCCACTGCACGAAACTATGGATGCACAGGCTCGTTGTCTGCCGTCATTGTAAGGCATGCTACCAGTGGTTTTGCGGTCTGTCCCTGAATTGGTGATCGCCAGCACCCCTATCTTCTTTACCTCTTCATTCTGTACACTACATAGCGATGATATTCAAGCCAGAAAAGCCTGCCTATCTTCCCCAGGACATCCCTACTTGTGCAACTACTACTATTACGCCAACCAGGCTGTATGGCCTCCCCTAACTCTACAGAAGCCGTCACCCTTTACTATCTTCCCCCTCACATACATGCAACAACCCTCTTATTATACTCTTTAGATCTACTTTATTCGGCAGTGGAGCGCATGGCAACTCCCTTCTATCTCTTCACGGCCCAGCGCCACCTCCATAACTATGGAATACTTTCTTCTTCGTTCTGCAGGTTGGTATCTATAACTACCTAGTACAAGAAGAAAAGAAGAACGCGCCGACTCTGATGCCGACTCGCAGCCGGGGCCGAAGGTCCTAAAAGCTTGTGCTTTCTTTTCCGCCAGCAAAGTGAGCCACTCCAACGAGTATGAAGTACGAAAGTACTACAATAAGCAACTCCATGGACTCGCATCCCGTAATTAGATGCTATGTGACGACGCCCAAAAGCTTCATCTGCGCCTGACCCTCACTTGTTGCAACCGGTGCGGCCAAATGGCTTTCACGCGGAGATTGATCGGCGGGCTGTTGAGGCCATCAACGACACTCTCTGCAGCCTGGAAGTCTCCCTACACTCCATAGAATTAATACTCCGTCTGTCAAGCAGGGTTAATCCGTCCCAACGAGTGGGAGTCGAGCTTGCATGGCCGAAAGGACGTCGCTCCGCAAAAAGAAAACTGTCCAGGCAGACGAGCAGGCTGATATGATGGGACAGCGAACAGGATGGACGCGCTCCTCTATGGCCAGCTGACCTTGCTTATCTTTTCGCTGCGAGCCATCGCATGGGGCACACACCTGGTAGGTATGGTACCCAGAGCACATCTATACGAGCAGTTTGATAGCAGAAGCAACGAGAGCAAACATACAGCACCCAGCACCAAGTCGGCAAGAGTCAGTGCAGAAGCATGAAGTCTACTCCATACGGGAGTAGAGTCAACCCGGGATGTATCTTGTAGTTATGGACAAGTTTACCGATCCATGCTGGATATCGTTAGCTATGCATCTCGGAATTTTGGAGGAATCCATATTGCCCTCTCACTTTCCACATGGCCACCTCATCCATGAGGGTCTATCAACTCACTTACCCCAGGTTTCTTCGGTCTTTTATCCCTACAGGGCCGGTGCATAGTTGACGAATCGAATGTACTCAGTATAAACCAACTAACTAGCTATATACGGGGCTCTCCACTCAGTATCCGCCTACCCGACCCTGCTCTCCCGTACCGTCTCAGGGTGCATCATTCGCTGTCCTGCTCTCAAGCCTTTCGCTAAGCATTATCGAACTAATAGGAAGGCTCCCTCGCCAGCCACCCCTTTGATCAATCTTCATGTTATCAGGATCTTATTATTAATTTTAATATGTAATTTCTTTTTCCTCCCCTTTCGGTCCTTTTATCAGACAACCTGCAATAATTGCTTCTTGGGACAGTCCTTGGCTTCTTTGTTATATCTTTTTTTCTATCCCCCAGCTCTTCACAGCTTGTCTTCTTTTCAACCCCCTCATACTCCTAATAGAGTGATTGTGCGCAGTTCCTATTCTCTATTACTTTTGCAGCAGCTTTCCACCTTGTTGTCTCTCTTTGATAAGCCAGGTTGGCCCCCTACACTAGTTAGTTGATAGCCTTCTTAGGAAAGGAGATTTCCAACTGCCCTATCAAATTCAAAGATACCACTAGATTTGACCGCTGTGCGCGTCGTTTCTTGAACGGGGCCTTAGTGAATATCGTGGATTTACAGGAGATGGCCTCAGCTGAAATATGGGCAGCTTTGTTGACGGCCGTTGATCCACTCAGCGTGAGAGCCATGCCAGCAATGCTGCAGTCCACCATTGACCTGCTGGAGTCAGAGCTCGCCAGAGCCAGGGCAGCGTTGCAGGAACTCCAGTCCCAGCCAGAGCCTTGCTATGTCACTCTCCAGAACGATGCTACCGGAGAGGCTATGGCGGCCTACAAGACCCATCTCCTCGAGCGGGTTGCAGCTTCCAGCAGTCTAAGTTTACCGCAATCGACTGGGGAGCACCGCAGAGGAGCAGCCCGACTCAGGAGACGGCCTGTCTCGTTTTGGAATATCATCTCCAACTCACTTGTCCTCGACCATCTGGCTCCATATCTTTCAGTGGCTTCGCTCTTCTCTTTAGCCTCGACCTGCACAGCGCTGCGTGGCCTTATCATGGACACCCCATATGTCTTCCGGTACCTCGATCTTACCCGTTGCAAGGGTGCCCAGCCCTCATGGATGCATACCATGAACGGAAACATGAACACCTCTCGTATGATGGAACAGTCCCCAGCGGACGAACAGCTCTACTCCGCACCCCTGCGGACCATATTCGACGACCTGAGCCGAAGGTCGGTCCTCCAAGACGTCCGGACACTGGTTCTTGACGGCTCCCGGTCACGGCAGAGCTGGTCTCGGACATCCTCTTGACCGACCGTTTCCGCGTCTCCCTGCTCTCGATCCGGGGATGTCTTCGTCTCGACGAGCACAAGCTCAGGCAGGTCATTGAGTATGCGGTGCGGCCCGGTCGCGCCAAGGGGTCGCCAAGTGTCAAGGGGATCTACTATTTCTCTCCCAAGCCCATAGCTGCTGCGACTCCTGCAAGTCTTACGACTTCTGCCAGCGGAGGCAGCCCATCAGACGACAGGAGGCTGCGAGGCTGCAACACGTCGACGCTTGGCCACCGAGACTCGTCAAACCACCGCTGGCATCGCCAGCGTCACCACCGCGCCTCGCATCGCTCTGATCTGGGCTCGGCGGTCGTGCAGGCGGAGGACCCCGTTGACAGATCAGGGGTGCTCACAAACCGCCCAGGCCGCCTATCTCTGGGCAGCGAGTGGTACCGCGAGCCAGGCCAGGTTCTGAAACTGCCTTCGGTGCAGAATGGATGGGCTCACACGCTGCAGCTTTGCAAGGAGTAATATCCTTTGACGCCCCCTTGTGTAGGGGTACTAGGCATGATCCAAATCTGCATCTCCGCGACAGTGATAATCGTCAACAACACCATCATCCTATTAACAGCCAATTCCACCACCCCCAAGACGATAATAATGTATCAGTTTCCGCTACTCCGTCTGCCTCCTTTTTGGCTCCCGCGATTGCGACCGTCGCTCTAGGACCAGCAGGCTGTGATGGGTGCCGCACCTGCCCTGAAGGGCCCCTGGTCTGGGAACAGTCCCCTGAGCAGCATTTTCCGCTCTTGTCACCGCCGCCTTTACACTCTTATAAGACCACTGTAGCCAAGGCGCCCGCCCTCCGCCTCGATGAATCCCTGGTCCTAATTGCCCAGTGTGAGGAGTGCCTAAGAGGCCGGCGGTGCCACAGGTGCAACCGATGGATGTGTGCTGCATGTTTGCCTGATGCAAGCAAGCCGTGGCCACCAAAGGTGCAAAATCTTGGGTCTTATGCAGCAGGCGACTCAGCTTTATCAGTAAAGGTATCTTATCTACAGTTTTCTTTTCCTCCTTGTTTATCATTTGAAACTCACCTGACCTACGGAGTACCAAAGCTGCTGTGTAGCCTTTAAGATCTGCCTATTCCTTCACCCAAGAATCTTCGACTCTCTTGGCTCAGCCTTTTCTTCGTTTAACCATTGATTGATCTCCAGACCCAACTTTTACTAACATTGGTTCCAGCATCAGAATCGACCATTCATGCGCCGAGATTGCTGGGAATGCGGACCGACTGTAAGTCTCCCTGCACTTGTCCATATATTACTAGCAATATTCCAGCGCTAACAAAGCTTCTTCCATTTCTAGTGCCTGTCTTGTATGATGGAAGTACTCCGTTCATGCATTGCCTGCGGAGGGGAATACTGCATAGATCATAACGATGGTTGCTCGCCCACCAAGGTAGGCTGATCATGACCACCATCACAAGCATGGCTACTTAGAGCAGATAATGTTAACATAGGTCCTACAGTGCGATTGGTGCAATACTACTACTCCACGGCGAATGATACGTGACCTTCACTAATCTGTCATCTCTACACTACATGAAGTCGTCGTATTTTCGACTTTTCTCTGGACCAGAGACACTCTCGTCATACACAATAAGGTGTCATAGTTCGGAATACTAACCCCTGTACGATGTTATCCGGTATGATTTCATTGCCTCGAACTCGAATACCTCGTCCATTCTGTCTTCCTCGCCATAAACTTATGAGCAGAGTCTATATTGACCTGTGACCTCTCTCCACTCTTGACTAATTCTTACATCGCTGGCCGGTTCCATGCTTCCCTTCTAAACCTCTATACCGATCCTAGCGTATACCAATCCACACATCGGGTTCAAGGAGGGAACAAATTCTATATCTTCTTTACTTATAGCGCGCTGCCCATCTCTCTCCACTCTTGCAATATTTACCGTTTCTGCTTCTTCTCTTTCCTCTTCATCTCCCCAGTTCGGTTGCTGGGTCGAGATTCTATTTCGCATTGCATTGGGGTATTTTCAATGGCAAGTGTGCATCCTTCTGCGGCGCATACAGGCGAAAAGGCATCTAGAGGAACGGAGCGAAGGGAATGGTCCCCCCCCCCTTCCTTTTTTTTATGGCGTTTTGGTTGACTGTGTGATAGCCGCTGGTGCCAGTTTGGATTCCTCTCGTGTTGTAGTAATTCCATCTGATTAATGAAAGTTGTAAATTCTACTTCCTCTCACAGGTTCCTCAGCCCATGATGATCCTACCGATCTTATACGACGGCTAAATAGCGGGAGGCGCACGTGTTCTTGGGTGTCTTAGTTTTATATTCAATATACTGCTACTTTAGATTATACTTTAAGCAGCAAGAAGGAAAACGGAAGAATATCGCCTGCTATAGCTATGGCAGGTTAGATATGCCAGTGTTTTCAATCCTCTCAAGAAGAATGCCATCCCACGACGGCCTTGTCCACATCTGATCTGTATTCTTGCTGCTTATAGCATTGCTCCAGGAAAACCTTGTACTTCACCTCAAGCAGCTTCTTTTCATGCTCGTCCTTGGTTGGGTAAACTGCTTTGCCAGGCTTGCTCATTCGGTCCATAATATCCCATAGGCCTTCAGTCTTGCCATCTTTGTCAGCACTGGCAGCTTTAGCTCCGAGCATGGCAGCTCCATGGCATACAGCAGCGTGGACATAGCGTGGGACAAAAACGGGCATCGAGCAAGCTGACGCTATGAGGCCCATTAGAATGTCGTTTTGGCATTGAGAACCAGACATGAAGATGGAGGTAATATTGTGGCCGGCCTTGTTCATTGTCTCAATAATCTGGCGAGTCTGCAGCGCAATGGATTCCAGAGTGCCGTAGTAGTATAGACATAGTCCATTGACAGACTTATCACTGGACAGACCGATAACAGAGCCTGACATTTGCGCGTCAGCAATGGGGGACCTGTTTCCAAACAGATCCCCGTAGAGAAAGAAGTGGCGGCCAAGGTAGGCAATGGAGGGCGCCTTTGATTCGGCTGCCATCTCTCTCAGACGTTCGTTCAGGTAATCGTAAATGTTAGTGTTGTAGGACTCGGCAACAGAGAGTGCTTCATTGAAGGCTGGATGAGTTTCAATAACATGTTTAAGCAGTTCACCGGTAGCTGACTGCCCTCCTTCTGCCATCCAGAAGCCTGGGATGATGGTGTCACGGTAGGGGCCCCAGACACCGGGGACAAAGACGGGGTTGGGGGACATAGCCAAGTGGCAAGTGGAGGTACCTGCCACGGCAGCCAGACGAGTAAATGCCTGAGTTCTGTCGTTGTTTGCGGCATCAGCGCTCAATAAATCGGAGTCCAAGTCGACTTTGGCGCCGACGGTTCCAATCCACCCTGCGTATGCATCGATGACACCACTACCAACTGCAATTCCAGCAGGGAGGCCCAGTTCAGCAGCAGCAGATTCACACAGCCCACCAGCCAGCTCACCAGCACTTAAATATTCTCCGTTCTATTTCCCAGTGTGTTAGCTACTCCTTTCGGCACTATATACTTCATATTTGTTGGACGAGTTCGAACATACCTCTCCGTTTACGCCACCCATGCGCTTGAAGTTTTCAGCGGCCAGGTCCTCCAAGCCGATGGCATTTAGGAAGTCAGGCTGCCACCCCTTGATGCTGCCATCAACACCGACAGGGACGTAGCCCTGTTTGCAGACTACGCTGCAGAAGCTCCTCTTTTCGTTACCAGTGGCTAAATGAGTGAGTGCGTCAGCCAAGTCGTAGAACTTGCATCTGTCAAATAGCTCCTTTGGCATGTTGTTTTTGAGCCATAGGGCCTTTGGAATCTCCATCTCGATGGACATCTTGCCTCCAACATATCGGAGCAAGTTGTGGCCGGTAGCATTAATCTTCTCAGTCTCGTCTACGGGACGATGGTCGAGCCAGAGGATGACGTTGCGTTCGGTATCGAAGTTCGGCCCAGTGACAGAGATGGGTTCGCCAGTATCGTGGGCAAAGACAGCCAGGGAGCAGGTAGCATCAAACCCGATTCCCTTGATGGAGAGAGGGTTGATGTTGTGCTGGCTGATAGCTCGCTGGACGCATATACAAATGCATCTCCAGATATCGGTGGTCGATTGCTCCTAAGATATCCCACAGCTTGTCGTTAGTCTCTAACGATGCATGGACTAACTACAGGTGCGGAGGATAGTTGATGATAAAGCACAGAAGATCACAGAATCTCCTTACATAGTACCCCTGCTGGGGCTGCCAGAGGCCGATGTTTTCAGATGCCAACCCAACGATATCGCCTTTATCGTTGATGATGCAAGCTCTAGCACTGCCAGTACCAACATCGACGCCGATGAAGTGATCCATCAACGGGTTAATTTCGTTCCTGGGATCCATGGTGGCCTGTCTCGAGACCTGCTGGGACGGTTGGACGGAGCTCATCCTGGATGGCGTAGGCGCAGGTCTAAATAGGCAGCGCACTGGTTCTGGCAGTCTCCTCCACGCCTTTCTGCCTTGGGTGTCCTACGAGAGGGGTGCGTGGAAGTGAGTGTGTGTTCCTGGCGGGCCGGCCGGCAGCTTCACAAGAAAAAGAAGATCTCTTTGCGTAAGGCTGAAAGGGCGCTATCAGGTCGTTATACAGGCCGAGAAAGGAGGCAATTCCTGTTTATCGGACAAAGAATGCAGTTTTGAAACCGGCGAACAGGGCGAGAACTGGAACTGGAGCTGTTGTTAGTTAAAGCTTGGGGGCTGAGTAGTTATAACAATGGGAGTTGGACCTTGGCTAGATACCTAGTATCTTTTCAAGCTGACTGGCTATGCTGTCCCCTCTCAGTCTCCAAGTTTATATCCTGGGCCCGTCTGTCTGATGCCCTTTAAGATGCCTTTTGCATGTATATCCCCATAGCAGCCTGGGTGTTGCCCTGTGGTGGTTGTAGCTGCTTGGTAGCCCCTCGGTAAGCAGACAACTACGTAATGGATACACACTAATGATGTATGTAGTTACCGGGCTCAACGCCGAACCCACCAGCCCACAGCGATACCAGGATCCGGCCTGCAGCGATCCTGGGTATCCCGCGCCATCGTTCTCCACCGGATATACGCATCGTCTTTCTTGTCCATCGTCTGCTCATCGTGCATCGGCCGGGCGTTCGTCTTTGCTTTGTTGTCGCTCTGCCATTTCTCCGCCGGCTCCATCGCCGGTCCACAGATAAGAGAAGAGAAGGGCGACAGCGAGGCGACAGTCGACTTGTTCCTGTGCCATTGGTACTCCCAGCTCTGACGATCTTCCCCCTCCAGCGAATATCTTCTCGATCTTCATCGTCTTCTTCTCGTCTTCTCGCGGGTTTGAAGAGAAAAAAAAAAAAAAGGTGCGTAGTCTTAAATAAGATCACGTGATATAGTCAACGCCCGACTTCGACGTCAAATGCCAACAAATGAGGAGGACGAAGACGAAGAGGGAATAGCAACAGCAGCAGCAGCAGAAGAAGAAGAAGAAGAAGAAACAAAAATGAGGTTGCTATCTGTCCTGCTCGCCGTTACCAGCGCGGCCTCTGCTGCAGCCATGCTACAGGCAGAGCTCTTCTACCAGCCAGTCGCCGCATCCTCGAAACCAGTCGAGCTCGCGCAAATAAGCTACGATCCAGCGACTCTGCGGGCCAAAGTCATATCCTACTCGCCTCCTGGCTCCTCTAGCCCAGAAACAGCAGGCGGAGATCAGATCCGCATCGGCACATCGCCTCAGTCCAGCAGCTGGACCGGCGTCCTGGCCTCCCGCGCCCTCCTCCAGCCGTCTCCTTCCAGCAGCCATTCGCCTATTCTCTCACTCTATCTCGATGCCGAGGACCGCGTATATCATGTTGGAGTCTCGTCTTCGTCGCCGTTGACATCCGCAGACGGCCATAAAAACCAGGCAGGGAAGCCTTCGCACGTGAAGGTTCACCTTGTCCGATCTCAACCAGCTGCTGTGCCACAGTTGAACAGGCCCGTTGTAAGAAGGGCAGACGATGCAGACGAAGAGCAGGTGGAGATTCCCCTGATGAACTCACTGCTTCAGAAGTAAGATCTCTCTCCTCTCCCCTCTATCAAATTAATTGTGCTTATGTGGTTATTAATGATTCAACAGGTACTGGTGGCTTTTGCCCATTGTCTTTCTGCTAGCCGTAGGAGGCGGCGGTTCTTGAGTCTACGTCTACTCAGTTGGTAGTGTATAATATGAAAATTCGCGTCGTTATCATGCATACAAGTAAAAAGTGAGAGGGTATATATATCACGTTTATGACCTGATTTACGCATCCAAATCCATTTCTTCCCCATCATCATCTTCTTGCTCCTGGTCTTCGCCTCCTTCTTCTTCATCATCATCATCATCCATATCCTCGTCTTCATTCTCTTCAGTGTCTACCCCAGACCCATCATCGTCACCATTTTCGTCATAGCACGGGAGTGGGTTACTCAGTCCACCGCCAGCTACGTCCTCTTCCGCCTTTATCACTCCGTTCAGCCTCAGTGCAGATCCATTTGAGTTGAGCCTCCAGATCATCAGACCCTTGTCTGTCAACAAAGTGAGTTCGTCCTCGCCGTCGGTAAACTTTAGTCCAAAACACACAACATCCAGGTTCAGTATTATGGGCCTTAATTCAACAACGTCCTTCCACCCATCATCTGTTTTTTCATAGTCCCCCTCTTCGCTAGACAGTGGAAGATTGCTCACCTTTGCACAGGCGCCAGGGTCTCCGGGATAATACATGGAAGGCGGGTAATATCCGTCCTTGTTTCGCATGAGTACATGGTACGGATCGAGCGGCCAGATATACAGGGTCTTCCAGTTTGCGATGGCAAGTCGAGTACCCTTAGGCGATGAAGCTATCAGCCCCGTCAGGTTAGACTCGTTGGGCTTGAATCCCCAGAGCTTAGCAACGGCCACCCAGCGTTCAATGCGCCTACCACGGTCCAAGTTAAGAATGTGGCCACATCTGTCGGACCTGCACTGCGCTGTTGACTGGAGGATGTATGCCCCTACTCGGCCATTGGGAGGCAAGCGCGTCAAACCCACCGATGCATAGTACCAATTACAAACTCCGTTTGCAGAGTCTCTTGTGTGGTACCCATAAAAAGGGATTCCTACCTGAAATCGCGAAGCCACCGGTGGTGATGTCCGGTCATATTCAGGCAGTGTAGCATAACAGATATTGTCAAGTAGGCGGGCCCGGTGAGCAGAACCCGAGCCAGAAGTACCTCCAGAGTTGAGAAGGCGTTGGAATTGATCATATATAATGGAGGACGAATGCCAGTATATAACTTGTTGGTAACGGTCGTTAAATCGAACTTGCACAATCGGGTCAGATAGAGGCATGTCCGTATCTGAGAAGTGCCGTCGTCGTGCTATTTCCTCACCATCGACTAGCTCTATCGTGTTGTATTCCACGTCTGTAGTCAAATATTGTGTCAGTTTGTCAAGGAGATTCATAACTCGAGGAAGGATATCTTGTCACAAAAGGAAAACCAAACCTACATGAACAGCCGTACTTTCGAACAACGACATCTGCGTCGTTATATTTATGTAGACAGACTTTGGAAGTCTGCGGTAACTCCTTGTGCTGCCATGATACAACAACAAACGCCTGGTCTACAACATCAACAGCGAGAGGGGTGAACTCATCCTCCAGCTCAGAAGGGAAAACAGTAAAGGATGCCGGCATCCACCGACCCGTTGGGGTGTGAATAAAATAGTGAATTAATCGGATGCGAGCAGAGAGGTAGGGCATCATTGTGTCCTCCACAAATGGATGCATAGAGGGTGAGCCTGCTGGTTTCGCTGGAGGTTCGTAGCGCTGCAGTACGGATATTATGTGCGGACACGAACGGCTGTTGACAACGCGTAGGATCTCAATTTCACCTGATATATTACTCAGGGGCTCAAGCTTGTCTATCAACAGCATGGTTTTCTCGGTGTACAGCTTTGGAGGGCTGACCGTATACAAATAGACTGATGCCGTACCCTTAGGAACCAGGGCAAGAGACGGGTGAATGCAGCCGTTTTGTACTTGAGAGGTGCCTGGGAAAAGGTGGGAAGCCTTGGTATCTATAACACCCTCTTCCATCGTGTATAGTGTGGCATCAGAATGGAAATTGGCCCCGTATAAATGAGCACCTGCCCTTGATATAAGCTCTCGATATAGGAGTGGCGTTGACAGTGACTCCAAAGGAGCACCAACCTCCGTGACAGGAAGACCCGGCAGCTTCTGTAGCTGATGGCGCAGAACTTCACGACATGTCGTACCAATCGTAAAAAGTATCGAACAAGTACGGATAAGCTGGAGATAGCTGGGCGTCGAGCAGCACTTCAGCACCAGCTGAAGGAGTTCCACTGGCAGGTCTAGCAGGATACCTAGCTTTGCCATCGTAACCAGCACAGCAAGATAACTAGCTACCGAGCTCTAAGTTCTAGATTGTCGTGGGAAGTGGTATAATGGCGAAAAGCGTTAGGTTAACAAGGTCAGAGCAGTGTGTAGTAATGGGAATAATAATAATGATAAACGAAGATCAAGAAGTCGAATGCTGTCAAGGTGTTGTTGGGTGTATTTATAACACTCTGGCTAACTATTTAGAGCTTGGTGTCCATTTTTAAAGTTGAGGCTCTGTTAGGCAGCAACAACGCCCGAACTTGTTATCTCATGGCCATTTTCTTTTCTACACTTCTGAGATCAACGGTGAAAGGTTGTGTTTGATCAACAGTTGGAGCGACAGGTATAATTCTGTACGTGAGTGTAACTATATAGAAGCATTGAAGGGAAAGCAAGCAAAGCTAGTCTACAACTCCCAAGTCTAAAACGCCATTTTGCGAAACCTCCAATTTCTTAGATACTTTGAATGATCATCGACGAGGTGAAAGCTTTTCGATACAAAAAAGGATCCTCGAACCAATTGGAGATTCGAAGAGAGTAGAAAAAATAGTTCTACATCCCCCTTTCTATGTCTCTCTCTAAAGAGTGAGATGCCCACCATTCTAGAATGGACTCGTAGCAGAGGACGAACTGGCGTAGGCTCTGAACCATGCTCAGCCTCTGTGATCGAAAGTCTTCAACGGTCGTGGCCACAAGGTCCGTTGTGTTCTCGTATACCCAGCTTGGCTCGGTCTTATTAGAGCCCTGAGATGCCTTCTTCTGTCGTTTGAGCATATCTATCACGCTGTCGACAGTGCAGAAGGTTCCTGTCCTACCACAGCCTGCACTGCAATGGACAATCACCCTGCGTTGGCCTGCGGGATCTGGTTTATCCTGGTGGTACGGAGACGAACGGCCGGCCGATGCGTTCACGACAGCGTCACATTCCTCGATCAGACGTAGTAGGTGGTATGGTTTTGCTGGGGTGCCGAAATCAGGCCAATCCGCATACTGAATTTGCGTGATCTCTCTCGGCGGTTCGAAGGGTTCCTTGGAGTTGGTCATGCTGAAGTGGCGGATAGTGAAGTAACCGGAAGCAAACTTGTCTGGCGGCCCTCCTTGCCGCCGGTCAAGAGGGATGGCGCCTTCGCTGACAAGTTGGACACGCAAATTACCGTAGTCAGCAGACTTCCAGTATGGGTGGCATTTGACCTGCGCTCCATCCGTTTCCGCTGTTAGCATGACGATGAGCCGCGAATCTTGCTCCCATACAACCCGCCAAAAGTCCTAAACCACACGTTAGTGAACACATACACACACAGAGAGAGAGGGGGGGGGGGGGGGAGGAGGAGAGGAGACAAGAATATCGATAGACAGGGGAATGCGTACGTTAAACGTGGCGGGCATAGGGGCCTGGGTGGCTATATAGCGCTTGTGGGAGCGTGAAGACCGAATAAAGCTAGCATTGATATAGTCACAGCTGCTCTCGGTGGTGTCTAATAATTTAACGCGGCAGTGGTCATAAGGATAGATGTTGTTGTATCTGTTTTTGGACCCCTTTTCAATCCCAGCGATCCTATATGAACGCTTACCGGGACTCTGGCCCCCGATATGAGTGGATGTCCCGGGAGCAGAAAGGGCCTGCTGCATGCGGCTCTGCTCACCCTTTTCAATGTTGAGGAACCGAATTGCAGCTGTCTTCCCGGCGTCTTCGGAGCTGGCAATGCGAGAGAGCCAGGCAGGCAATGACCGCCTTGCAGTCTCATCCATTCCATGGGGGATGGTGACGGGGAGCTGGCCTACTCCACCGATGAGATCAACATTTTGGCGGATGTTTGAGAAGAAAGGATTAACGGGGTTTGATGAAGGGGTGGGCATGACGCACCCACCCACGATTGACGCGGTGGTCGGTAAGGTAAGGCTGATAGATAGAGTGTTGTTCTTCGCGCGGCCGGTAGCAGCGGAGGGGAAAGAAGAAGTAGTAGTATTATTATTAGTAGTAGTAGTGGCAGAGGAAGGACAGAGGCCAGCGGCAGCGACTGCTGACGAGGACGCATGCTGGGCACTCTCGATCCAGCCGGGATACTGGGTTGAAAAGCGGGTAAAGCCGCCTGTAAGGACGAGAGACTCGCCTTTCCATCCTTCTCTGGTGAACTTTTGAAGCAAACTGACCAGCAGGGCGGCATCCTTGGGCAGGCTGGTGGAGGAGTCGTAGACTATGATCCGGGTGCTGGAGCGCCACCGGTTGAAATTCGACTTGTCCTGTCCGCTGCCAAAGGTCTCTTCGACTTTCTGTAGGTTGAACGACGGTCGTTTGAGAAGGGTAGTGGGTATGCAAAGATTGAGAGAACCCTTGATGTGGGCTTTGTTGAATTGCAGCAGGGGTCGCACGTCCAGCAGGAGGGTCTCGCTCTGGGACGACCGTAATATTTCTAGACATTTCTCGGCCGTTATCATCTTGGCATCGCCGATGTCGTGGCTGATGGGAACCGTATGTGATCTGTGGAGGGAGATGGGCATGGCGGACGGTTTCTGCTGGCCGGGCGAGAAAAGCCCGCCGGCCCGGGATGCTTGCTTCGGAGTAGTAGTAGTGTTGTTGTTGTTGTTGTTGTTGTTGTTGTTGTTGTTGTTGTTGTTGTTGGTGGTGGTGGTAGTAAACGCGTGATGGCCATATCTGACGCCGCCGGCCACCACAGCGGCGGACGAAGAGGAAGGTCCCAGCGGCGGCGGCAGCTTTGGGGTGAACGAGTGTTGCTGGATGAGCGGAGAAGCCGCGGCCGGCTCCCTCTCGTCGCTCCGGCCGCCAGCAGCTCTGCCGCTAAACCGCCGTTCGAGCAGGCTGTCTGTGCCGCCCTTGCGCGAGGAGGGGACAACCAGCTTGGGAGCGATGCCGGTGCTGGGCGGGATGCCAAAGGTGAACTCCCTGTCTCGGGATGCCGACGGGTGGAAGAAGGGCACGGCATCGTTGGACGCCGCGGTGGTAGCGCTCGCAACGAGGTCAAAGTAGCCTCCCGTGGACGATTCCTCCAGGCCTCGAGGCGAGAACGGCCCGCTGCCAAAGAACGAGGCCGTTATCTGGCCGGCCGAAGGGGGTGTCGAGGGAGGCACGCCAGCCGGGGTGGTCGACATGCACGCCGCCGAGCCCCATGCTGGCGACGGGCGAGATGTTGCTGTAGTCGTAGACATGGAGAGGCCTTTCGTTTCTTCTTCTTCTTCTTTGTTTGTCGGTTCGTTCGGTCTCTTGGGGTTATAACTGAGTCTTGGTTGGTATGGCTAGAGACGAGCTGCTCGTCATTATCCGCAGATGCTGTCTCTTCACCTGCGAGCAAGAACGACTTCACTGGCCATCGTCAGTCAGCCTCTTCCATCGTAAATCACTCACAGTTTCTCTGTCTCGATACGCAGCGTGTAGGTGGTATTGGGTGCGAAGGCTTCTCTCTCTCTCTTTATATATATATATACCCTCCGTAGACTCCGTCCGTATATAAAGGATGATGGGATGCGTGTTGTAGGTATGAGATGACGTTATGCTGAAGGGGGAAAGGGAAGCAAAAAGGGAGCGTTCGCCACACCGAGAAAATACGCAGCAACAGCGAGATGATTACACAGCAAGAAGGACGGACGGAAGGCAGAAGAAAGAGTGAGAGAGAGCGAGAGGGCGAGTAAAAAGGGTTCAGGTGTTCAAGGGTTCAGGAACAGGCGAGGCAAAGGGGGCGATGGTACGTACGGCGGAAGAACAGAGACGAGAGACAGAGACGAGTAAGCAAGGGCTGGCTGGCGGTGGGCGACGGACGGGCGAAGGCGCTTAGTGACCAGCGACGGCGAGGTTAGGAAGAAGCAGAGACCAGAGAGACCAGAGAGACAGCAGAGAGACCAGAGAGACAGCAGAGAGACCAAAGAGACAGGCCGATGGTCAAGCAAGGAGAAGCAAGGAGAAGCAAGACGATGAGGAACAAGACGAGAGATCAAGGGGAACATCGGCGACCGGTCCCGTTGGTGGACGAAGGCGAACTGTGGTTGAGCGCCGGGCGAAGTCTCTCTCTCTCTCTCTCTCGTTTGACGTAAGAAAAGGCCAGACGTTGTGGCAGGTTGGACTTAGTTAGCTAACTACTCAGTTACATACGAGTACAGGAGTCGCTCTGCCCAAGTTAAATAAGTTATTTGCCCAGTGAGCTGACGTTGGCTGGTACAGACGTCGTACTGGAGTTACGTCTACTAGTCACTCCGTAATTTACACAAGCTAGAAGTTATACAAGCAGCAGCAGCAGCAGCAGACACACGCAAGGAAAGGAGCCTCCCCCATCTTACTTACGCTTCTTAGGACGCTTCTTCTTCTTCTTCTTCTGCTGGGTTCGTCGTCTTCGCCTTTTGCCTTCATCTACTCTTCCCTCTGGACAAAAGTACCAGTGTACAAGGGTTCTAACTCTGCCTATATAAAATTTAGTAAAAGGCATATTGAAGTCTATTCTAGAGAAAGACCTTGGTTTCGATTTCGCTAACAGGTTGATCTTTGAAGTGTGGGCACTGTTTGACAGCAGGACGAACACGTAACGTGACATACCAACTACAATAGCTATGCAAACATACTCCATAGTTAAAGATGCAAGACGAACAGGGGTAAGGGGTATATCCACACTGGAAGTTTGGTGATGAGCTCACTGACAATAAGAGGTAAGAGGTTGTACTCATCTGCTGCCCAGGGTCGGTATATGATCCATTCATAGAATTGGGGCTCTACGGCCGAGGGGAGTCCGACCCACGCAGGTTCTGGTAGCGCAGGTGCATATAGAGGACTGTCCTCCCCCCAGATGCTCGCTCTCGAATACCTGCGCAGACTGCTCCTTACTATATCGATAGAGAGTGGCGCTGTCTCCGGAGAAACTGATGCGGGCCTCTCAGATGGCCTCATCGTCCAGGGATCTCCCCCGGACGTAGGCCAGCCAGCGCCTTAAGTATAACATGACCTCATCTTCCTGTGCCCAGGGCGTAGGGAACTCGGGCAGGTCTTCATATCTAGGCGAGGTTAGCGTAACAGATCGGGAGGACGGATGAATTTGAAGACTATGAGAACGGATAGTCGCGACTTACGGAGCAGGATCTGAGGACCGACAACAGAAACCGACGCGTCAAATGCCAGGAAGACAAGAGAAGAGACTCTTCACTTCAGTAGCCACGCGTGGCAACTATTCTCCCTAATTTTACCACCAGTTTCCTCTCTCGCTCTTTCGCCTTTTACTGTCGCTCTCGTCTCTCTCAGTGGGATTAGTCATCCCCTTGGATGACGTCAAAAGCGTGACAGGGCGACTGTGAGGTTAGCGAGGGTTCGCGTTTCAAAGGATGATGGGCCGTTGGCTGGGCGACGGAGGGAGAGACTCGAGAGACTCAGGAAAGAAGGTAGGACAGGACGGCTATCGAGCCTGTCACTCTCAGCTCAGCACACCCGCGTCCCCTTTCTCCCTTTTTATTTAATTTTTTTTTTTTTTGGTTTAGAGTATACAAGCAGCATAATGTACACCTGCTCCAGGTCGGACGGTAACAGTGACCGTCGTTCTCGTCGAATAACTAGGCAATACGCCCGTCTGGCTCGCCCTTGAAGCGCTGAACCCGCTTCTGCTCCCAGTTGTCCAGATCTTTGGCCATCAGTTTCTAACCCGCAGCCGTTAGCCTAGCACACTCACTTCCCAAAAGGAAAAGAAAATAAGATGATAGTGACTGTATCGTAGGAAAAGAATAACAATTATAATGAAAAAAAAAAAAGGAAAGGAAAGAAGAAGAAGAAAAGAGGTGACATACGTAGTACTCCTCTCGCTCGTCACCCAGGATGCGTCGCCGCGGGTTCCGGCGCACCTGGCTGGCGTCCTCGTCTGCGCCGCGTAGGCCCAGGGACATGGCCTCTTCCTTGCCCAGCTGCTGCACCCGCCGGTCGTATCGTTCGTAGCGCAGGGCAGTTGCGGGAGTTAGGAAGAACGAGCCCGCCAGCATCACGCTCACAAAGGGCAGGCCGAACAGCAGGAAAGGGTGTCGAGACAGGTTGGCACGGTACCGCGCACCGAGGCGCTCGCCCAGCGAAGACGCCGCCGTTGCTGCTGGCCGAAACTTCTTCGACTGAAAGGGAGCCATCCTGTCGTTTATATAACTCCTTTTGATTGATCCCGTTCTCTCTTCGACCTCTTCCTCTTTTTTCGTCGTCTCAATGGACTTGTTGCCGTTGGAGGGAGCTGTTGGTCGTTCTGATAGCAAAAGAAGAAGATGAAAAAAGGACGTCGACATTGCTGACTCATCATGACCACCCACACTACAAAAAGATGAGACGAGGGCAAGTTTGGCCGTGATGAACAGTTGATGATAATAGCAATGATAATAACAATGATGATGGGGAGGGAGATGCATGTCTTGTAGACTAGAAGATAGCCTACAAGTCAAGTGTGTTTCCAGGCCCGAGAAGTGGTGCTGATGTTTGATGATATACATTGCCAGTCTCAAAAATATCCTTAAATGCTTATTATAAAAACAGTGACTTCTACACCAAGTGAGAGAAGAAGAAGAAGAACAAAAAGAAGAAAAGAGGTTTGATGGCGCTTTTGATGAGACGAGATCTTCTCTTGCCTCGCTGTTTTTACCTGGCGGTCCATAGGCCAAGAAGGTCACTCTGGACAAGCCTCTGGAAGCCGAAGCCCGTCCCAAAGTTGCCCGAGGAACCAAGATCACTCCCTAGCAGTGGCTTCCAGATGGTTGATGCTGATCAGCTGGTAGAAGAAGAGGAGCTGCCAGGCTACAAGGCCGATCGGTTCTATCCTGTCCATCTGGGAGACATCTTTGAAGAGCGTTATCAAGTGCTGGGAAAGCTCGGGTTTGGCTCTTCCTCAACCGTTTGGCTGGCTCGAGATCTCAAGTAATTACTACATTCAACTACTCTGCAAAACTTCGTCATTAATAATGACTAATATCGACATAGAGACCATCAGTATGTCACACTGAAAGTGTATGTACACACCTCTGCTGTTTACCGCGAGATAACCGTCTACGGCAATATCTCGCCGCATATAAAGGCAGTCAAATCTCATCGTGAACGCCTCAATATCCGGCAGTTACTCGACCCATTCACGGTAACCTGACCGGATGGCAAGCATCTCATTCTTGTCCATCAGGCCGCCCAGATGAGCCTGCGTGACATGAAAACGGTCTTCTTTCCCAAAGGCTTTGCCGAAGAGTTCGTCAGAGGTGCGATCATTGAGCTTCTCCAGGCCTTGGATTTCTTGCATCGCCATGCAGAGGTTGTACATGCCGGTAGGCTTTGGTATTCCCGTCTTTCCAGATAATAGCTCACGTAGCTGGAGACGTACACTCCGGGAACATGCTTTTAGGACTTTGGGATAACACCTTGCTTAAAAACCTCGAAGATGCAGAGCTAAGGGCTCCCGTGGCCTGTAAGCCGGTTTCAGGCACCCGAACGATCTATCTATCACGTCTTTCCAAGCCAAAAGAGGGCCCCATCCTGGTGATATCATGCCACTAGAGTACCGTGCTCCCGAAACACTACTATACGTGACATGGAGCTATCCGGTCGACATATGGAGTGTCGGTCTCACGGTATGCCCTTTAATATTCTAGACTACTGCTTTTAAGTGTCAAGCTAATGACATTCGCAGGCATGGGATCTCCTGGGTCTAAAAAGACCTTTTACAGCCAGAGAAGAGGACGGTGGCGTGTATGATGCCACACATTTCGCCTAACTGATTGCAGCACTCGGTCCACTACCTCCTGAGTTTCTAGCTAAGAACCCGGAAAGAAGGGCTGACTTTTGGGACGAAAACGGTAACTATAAATATACATGATCCCTTCCGTTAGGTGGAGCCTGGTATTACTAACGTCGATTCCTAGGTGGATGGTTGGCCTCGCAGAGATTCCAGAGGGCTGGACCCTAGAGTCATTGCTCGAGCGTCGTCTCGAAGACAGGGAAGGATTTATGCGGTTTATTCGCAAAGCTCTGACTTGGATGCCGGAGCAGAGAGCCACCACTAGGGAGCTTCTTCGGGATCCGTGGCTGCTGGGTAGTAGTTGGAACATGATAATAGTTAGTTCATAGCGAGTAGCCCCTAGATCTTTAGTTATAGAAAGACAACTCCGTAACTAACAATTATGTACAGAGTAAACCCCATTGCCGTTGTAGAGAAGTCGTCGCTGCTTTAACTCTTCTGTACAGTTACCACGTGACATGTGTCTGATTACCTAAGCCATCTTTAAACCTCAAGGAAAGAAAAAACATCAACAAGAAGAAGGAGAAAGCATCGAACGTGCAAGTGAGAAATTGACCAGATACCGACCTTCGTTTCCTTCTCAAGCGCGCAGAAGAGGTTCCCGCGATGTTCCAGGGGCTCGGTCTCACCCAATCGCCAGCCTCTACAGGCTCGCTGTTCGGCCAGGGGGCCGCTGAACAGCCTGCCCAAGGTACAGCTCAAGCTCAAGCTCAGCGTCCTTCTCTCTTTGCGCCCAGCTCAAGTAGGTCTCTATCCTTTACTAGTCATTCCCCATAGACACGTGTGCAGTTTTTGACAAGACTTATAGATACCACAGGAGCTCCACAGCCTCCCTCTGGCTCGAGTATTTTCGGTCAATCCACGACGCCTGCCCAAGCCGGCCAGACCCAAGCAACGGCTGTTCTGCCGTCTCAGCAGGCCACCACTGCCACCACCACACAACCCCCCACACAACCCGCATACTTTAGTAGCCTGTTAGAAAAGGGCAAGAAGCGCCCCCTCTCTAGCTTTCAGAATGTGTCCTCTGTTGAGCTACCCAGTCTCCAGCTTAGCTTGGATGATATCAGGAAATCAGCCCGCGGGTTAGGCACAACTAGTCCTCGTAGAGGATCTCATATGCCTGCCATTACAGAACATAAATCGTAAGTCTTTGTGAGATCAATTCATCCACCACGAACTATACCTCTTCTAACTTACAGGTAATAGGCTCTCGTCTCTCACTGTATCAGGTATATCTCCGGGAAAAGTACTGCAAGACCTCCACACATTTGATACACAGACGGGCGGCTACGGTACTACACCTATACCTGCAGTATTAGCAACACCGGCCCCAGCTGCGCCGGTGTCTTTTGAACAAGAGTCCTTTGATCCTGATAACCAAAAGTTCTTACGAAGAGTGCAACAGCGTGGTAGGGAAGCTATGATTGCTGAGAGCCTTTCTAGAGCCCGTAGAGACTTTGACACCTTCCTAGAGGATAAAGTCAGTCTCAACTGGGATGAACAGCGTCAGAAAATCTATGAGCATTTTGGTCTGGTTTCAAAGGACGACACTGGAACGGGAACTGGCAGTTTCGGTTTCTCTCGACGTGACCAGGGTGGAAAGGCAGATAAAGATGAGCATGCTGGATATCAATCTACCAGCCGCAGAAGCGTCTTTGGCCGATCCGGTCTATCAAAATCCATCATAGGTTCCGCTAGTGTGGGCGGAGCCGGTTCGATCTTTGCTGACTCTACGACAAGATCCACCCTCTTGCCTCAACAGGGTTCCGACTCGAGATCCATGCGGGAGAAGATTGGACATTTTGGCTCAAAAGTTCAAAAGTTAAACGAAATGAGGCTCCAGGAGAGGACATTCCCTGTTCTACGCGAGTTTGCTGAAGCTCAAAAGGTTGCGGATAGCGATGTATGTCTTAACCCCTGCCTCTCTCATCAACTAACCCCATTTAGCTGACCTATCGTTTCTAGGCCCCGAAACAACTTCTTGAAGCATATCACGCCCTAATTAGTATCACCAATGAACCCGCTAGTTCAGTAGGCTACTTTGAGCCTGGTGCTCTACGACCGCGTCAGTTCGCCAAAGACTACAGGGAAGATGGCCCTAGTTCCATTGAGGCACTCAAGATGAGAAAACAAATCATTGCTGGATCTAGGAAGCACCTTGAGCGATCGTTCTACAGAGAAGTCGAAGAGGCAATCGCGAAAAACCCCCGGGAGGCCCAGCTGGGTGGTGTTCCCACCATCATCAACAAGATTCGAGCTTATATCAGGCTGCGGGCAGCGAGGAAAGACCTTGCCCCTGACGGAACAGAGCTACAAATGGTGAATGATGATTATTGCTGGATTCTCATCTTCTACCTCCTCAGATGTGGGTTCGTTGATGAGGCTGCTGAGTATGTGAGCCGCGACCAGGGTTTCCGGTCAATGGACTATAAGTTTGTCACATATATGACCACATACGCTCAACACAGGCGGCTACCACGTGACCTACAACAGAAGATTGGCGCAGAGTACCAACAACGCCTACGGAATGCGCCAGAGAACACCGTTGACCCATATCGGATGGCCTGCTACAAAATTATCGGTAGATGTGACCTTAACCAGCGCCGGCTCGATGGTTTGGGCCAGGGAGTAGAAGACTGGATGTGGCTGCAGTTTGCATTGGCACGAGAGGACACCCGGGCCGAGGAGGCTGCTGGTGACATTTTTGGCTTGGAAGATATCAAAAAGGATATTGTTGAAATCGGGCAGAGAGTATTTCCAAAGGGCCAGGAAACTCCCGGAGCCTATGGTATTTTTTTCTTGCTCCAGATTTTGGGCGGAATGTTTGAACAGGCTGTTGCATACCTTGGTTCATATGCGCCAATAGATGCAGTACATTTTGCCATTGCGCTCGATTACTATGGCCTACTCCGTGTGTCTGACTTCTATACCTCGGGAGATGAGCTTTGTAAGTTTTTCCATCTCATCAGGGAATATTATTACATCAACTAACCTCTCTTACCAGTGTCATTCACCACACGACAGCTTCCACAAATCAACTTCGCAGCTCTAGTCATGCAATATACCGGGGAATTCCGACTAGGAAATGTCGAAGCTGCAGTTGACTATTTCACGCTTATCTGCTTGAACACGGACCTTCCTGGAGAACTGGGTAAATCTCAGGCTGCCGTATGCCATGAAGCTCTACGCGAGTTCGTCCTTGAGACACGAGACTTCGCTAAGTTGCTAGGAGATATTAGGTCCGATGGAACTAGAATCAAAGGAGTGATTGAACAGCGGTTGAAGCTAATCAACCTTGATGACCAAGAAGAGTTCCTTAAGGCTGTCACTGTCCAGGCCGCCGCGGTAGCAGATGACAAGGGCCTTACCGCAGACGCTGTTCTGCTTTATCACCTGGCTGAGGAATACGACAACGTTGTTTCGATTCTTAACCGTATCCTCTCCGATGCTGTTTCTGTTCCTCTTGGTGAGGCCGCCATCAAGCTTGAGCCGGTTAAGCCACGCACCGGGGGCCAGCATCCATCATCACTAGAAACACCCCTCGAACCAGGAAGTAGCCTTAGCCTAACATCAGTGGATGATCCTGTTATTCTGGCTAAGAATATGATTAGTCTGTATAACACCAATGCCCTTTACTACCAGAAGATCCACCCTACCAATCGCGAGGCATGTGGTCTTCTCCTCCGCATGATGGAAGCCAAGTCGAAAGTTGAAGCAGGCCAGTGGGCTCCTGCTTTGGATGTAAGCTCTTTTCCTTTATCCTTTATTGTTATGCCTTTTTCTATCTTTGTCATCCAGAATTAACATACTCCCAGGATATCAACAACCTACAGATCCTGCCACTTACTGCTCAGGGATCCATCACATACGTCCGGAGTGCAGTTCAAGCGTTCTCCTCTCTACCTCCTGTCATTGCACGGAATGCTGGCAATCTTGTGATCTGGAGTATAATCTGCATAAGCCGCGAGCGTGAGAGAATGTATTCTGCGGTTTACGAGAATGATATGCGGCAGACTCTGCTTGATGAACTTGTGCTCATGGCGAAGGATCTGATGGTGTTTTCTGGAATGATCAAATACAAACTCCCGCCTAGGGTCTACGAGACATTGGCTAAAGCTGGGGGAGATGTTGGACTCTCCCTGTAAATGATGAAATTTTGATATCCCCGCCCTCTATTACGGAGTACTGCCTACCTACATAATGTCACTTTAGAAATCAATGAAATAATGGTTTATCTACGCAGTACTCGTCAATCGGATTGATGCGATACATTAGCTCATCTACTACTGCGCAACTGTTTCAGTTTATTATATGAAACAACAATACATGCACTTCCCGTCGTCTGCTTTAGTCCCTTCGCGGCTGAATAAATGTTAAGATGGAGCTAATTACGTAATGTATGGGAAATAAAGCCGTAAAAGTCAGGTGATTGGTTCAGGTCAACTATAAACCAATAGCACCTTAATTCATTGGATACTGCCAGTAAAACCAGCCAATGAAAATCGAGATAACGGTGTCAAACGACTAATATAGAACTAACTTGAAATGGTAATTATACTGCGGCTAAACCAGGTCGGCGGTGGGCTTAGTAAGCGACTCAGACGTCACACAATAAATGGGTTTCTTTCTTCGTTTCTTCCTCTTTCGTGTTTATCTTCATCTTCGATCTTCTTTATTTCGTTCCATCTGATCTTTATACTCTAACATTACCATCCTCGACAGTCATTGGATTTGCGAGGTTGTGCGTGTGTGTGTCTTAAGTGTATATTTACCAGTGTCAAGCAGGTTTTAAAGTAACGGCGGACAGCCATGGAGGAACCCCATACTAGCACAGAGCAGCCACAGGGTACAGAGCAACCTCTGTCACAATACCGGCACCATGAAGATACAGAGATGGAAGATGAATCCGAACTAGCTGCAGATGAGGAAATGGGTGACGGCGACTCCAGACTCCAAGCGGATATACATGCGCAGGTGGACGGGGACACCTCGGCGCAGCAACCTCCACTGTCTACGGGGCCAGGAAACCCGCATGCTACTGAACAAGTACCATTGGCACCATCGCCATCATCATCACAGCCACCAGTGAATGACAGCACTGCCGGAACCCAGATCCAACTGCCTCCTGTAGAGAACTGGCGGCCCTATATCAACCCTCCAAACCTTGGCCGTGTCAGACAGCTGCTGTTCGAGGTCAAGGAGCCAATCGAGCTCAGTCTCGAGGAGTTCACTATGTACTGGCCATTTATAGATAATATCTGGGTCAAACAGCGGTCTACATCTACCAAGGATGGTCTACACATCACGGATTACTACATGTGCCGCCTGCGCCGGCCAACCTGCAAGCGGCCACCCCAGCGTCCACTGCCGGATGGTAAACGATCTAGGAACAAGGTCGTTCGTGAAGGCGGAACTTGCAACTTTCAGATCCGAGTTGTCAAGTTTGAAGGGGCTCATACTACAATCACCATATCCCGGAGTCCCAATAGTAGCAATGCCCATTCGCACGATCTGGATTACATGGACAAGGTCAAGAAGAATTCTGGAGTGATGGAGTATGTTCGCCAGGAGGCTGCTCAGGGTTACCTTCCAGCATCCATATTTGCAAAGTTGCGAGAAGACCCCCAGCAGCTCGAAGCTGCTGGTGGCAAGCACCTGACTACAATTGACGTTCGAAACGTATCTGGGAAGTGGAGGGCGAACCATCCCGGCCTCACTCTTCGGCCACATGAAGGTTATGCTTACCAAAACGGATTGGGTGTCTACAAAGTACAAGATGGGCAACAGATAAACCGACCGCCAGCCATAATAGCCCACCCCAGGGCGGTGAATCTACCCGCCAACGTCCTCCCGTTTCCTACCTTTCCCTTGGAGTTCCTAGAGCCATATCTACCCAAGGCAGGGGAGTGTCAGAGCAATGGCAATGCCAATCCCAACAGTGGTGAGGCCAAGTTCCCACATGTAACCCTTACCTACGCACAGTCCATGGACGGTAAGATCTCTACCAAGCCAGGGGTCCAGACTGTGCTTTCCGGCCCAGAAACCAAGACAATGACGCATTACTTGAGATCTCGCCATGATGCCATAATAATTGGGCTTGGAACTGCCGTAGCTGATGATCCGGGGTTGAATTGCCGACTAGAGGGTGCCGGAGGTTTCGGTGGCTTTGGTACAATGTGGCAGCCCCGGCCAGTGATAATAGATCCTACAGGCCGTTGGTCTGCATCAGCTGACAGTAGACTGTTGATGACTGCGGCAGAAGGGAAAGGCAAGGCTCCCTGGGTTATCGTCTCTCCCGGCGCAGAACTCCTCCCGGACAAGCTTCTGCTTTTAAAGCGTCATGGAGGTGACTATTTACGGATTAGGGAGTATAACCCACATTGGAGATTGAGATGGGAGGCCATATTTGGTGCCCTTGCTAATCAGGGGATCCGCAGCGTTATGATAGAAGGCGGCGGCATTGTCCTCAGTGAACTGTTAAACCCGGAATACGTTGACTTTGTTGACTCTGTTATCGTTACCGTGGCACCAACTTACATTGGACGCAACGGTGTGTCCGTATCTCCAGACTCCAAGCAGGATGAACACGGCAGCCCAATAAACGCCCTAACGCCTCACAACATCAAATGGCAACCTCTCGGCAAAGATGTCATTATGTGTGGGAATATAAAGATCGTGCCCCCTCCTCCACCTCCACCTCCAATTCTTCTCGGCTTAGAAGCTGCTGCTTGTGAGGATGAATCCTGAACGTAACCAATAGACTGACCAGCAAAGAAAGTGCTATCAAAGAAGATTTAAGCTTCACATACAACTCTAGCCACAGTTGCTAGCAGGCCCTTTTTATACGCAATGCAACAACTAGATAATTTGTTATATATCTGGGTACATGGCATTATTTCTAGGGATAATACAAGCCCCATACATACCCTGGATCGGCTTTACGTCAGTTTGCGGTAAATAATCAGCGATCGCAAGCAACATCCTTAAAAGGCCCGCCACCTATACCATCGACTTAGAGTTCAGCAAATCTCTCTCGAAGCCCTGTCATCTTGGCCCGTCAATGATATGTTTGCGTCGTTGTGGGGGTTTATTCTTCTATATTCATTAAGCTCGACCATGTATGCCTCTAAAACCCATCCGTTCCCCTTTGCCCATTTTAGACTACCAAGCCTAACCTGAGTATGCCATGATATTAACGGTGATACATAGGATCTCCAGAGCTTTACACATTCGTCCCCTAAAAGCTATGAATAGTGGTAGAAACCTTCGTTATCCGTGGATCTTACAAACTTATTCTTCATGGCGTTGGTTAGCTCAGGAGCAGCCGCAGTTTCACTGGTTCAGATTCTGATCTCTCATCACACTTTTATATCTTCATCCTTCACGGCTTGTTTATACTAACGACCTATGTCTAAATGTCTATTCTAGCCTTATCAAGGAGCATAAGTACAATAGCCAATTTACATACCCAGTTAACTAAGCTATCTTGCCTACTCGTAGATAATACATCCATAGCTACTCTCAAATATCTAATAACTGCTCAACGATGCGGTTATCCACACAAATCTCTACATTAATTTTAACAGCCCAGTCCGTGAGCTTCTTATTTCGATATTCCCTTGCCCATTATTCCCCATTATTTTATCCCCCTTGCCATACTTTCCTTATTCTCCTTGCTTCACTCGACCTTGTGTTACCTGCTTACATAAGCCAGTCGTTCGGAGCATCGACATCAAACAACAACGAAAAAAATAAAAATAAACATCGAAGATTTCTTCAACTTATCCATCACGTTCCTCACACGCAGCACCCAGCACTCGCGAATTCATCCTGAAACTGCTATAGACATACTCTATCTGCCTGCCCCATCCGATAGACCCATATTACAGCTATTTGTCTGCCTACAATGGCACCAGCACGAGCTTCGACGCGTGCTAAAGCAACCACCGCAAAAGCACCCACGAAAGCAAAGCCTTCGACTACGATGGCCAAAAAGGCCGGAGTGAAGAAGACGGCTCCGGTATCTACTACTAAGAAGAAGACTACAGCTTCTACAGCCGAAACAAAGAAGACAAAACTCAAGACTGATGCTGCAAGGGCTGCCGTTGGCGCCAGCGCGAAAGCTACCACTAAGCGCAAGATGGCATCGAATACCCGCGCAGCGGACGCTGTAGAAGGAGCTCCGGCTCCTCCAGCCCGCAAGCGCAAGACCTCCGCCGAAGAAGAGGTAGAAAAGGCGGCTGTTGAGCCAAAACCCAAGAAGGCTCGCGTCGCAAAGGCCCCCGTCACCCGCAAACCCAAGCCAAAAGTGGTGATAAACAAGGCTCCCTCGCAAAAACTGAGAGTTTTTGTTTGCGGAGAAGGTAGCCAGGGAGAGCTTGGCCTTGGATCCGCTAAGGGAACTGTTGACGTGAAGCGCCCACGTCTGAACGCCCTATTGGCAGCCGAGGATGTCGGCGTGGTCCAAGTTGCCGCGGGTGGGATGCACTGCGTTGCGCTGACCCACGACGGCAAGGTTCTCACCTGGGGTGTCAATGACCAAGGGGCTTTGGGTCGTGACACCACCTGGGAGGGCGGCCTGAAGGATATTGACGATGCGAAGAGCGATTGCAGTTCCGACAGTGGCAGTGATAGCGGCCTGAACCCCCATGAGTCCACCCCAACAGCCCTTCCATCCGACGCGTTTCCTGAGGAGACCATCATCGTTCAGGTTGCCGCCGGCGACAGCTCGTCGTTCGCGCTCACTGACGATGGCTTGGTGTATGGCTGGGGTACATTCAGAGTATGTGTGCTTTTACATCTCACTGTTTGCTCGTAAGGGGACTCTTGTTAACATGATTGATTGTCTAGGGAAATGAAGGAATCCTAGGCTTTGATGCCGAGACCAAGGTTCAGGCCACTCCGAAACTGATCCCTGGCCTCAAGAAGATTACTCATATTGCTTGTGGTGACAACCATGCCCTCGCTATCGACAGCCGTGGCGCCGTCTTTGCATGGGGATCTGGCCAGCAGAACCAGCTTGGCCGCCGCATTGTTGAACGTAACAAGCTCAACGGACTACAACCTCGCGAATTTGGTCTTCCAAAGAACATAGTCCATGTGGGCTGTGGCTCATTCCATTCGTTTGCCGTTCATAAATCTGGCAAAGTTTACGGCTGGGGTTTGAACAGTTACTGCGAAACTGGCATCCAGCAAGGTGCTGGAGATGATGAAGCTGTCATTCTTCACCCCACTGTCATCGACTCCCTCAATGACAAGAGCATTGTTCAGATTTGCGGGGGCTCTCACCACACCATTGCTCGCACAGCTGATGGAGAATGTCTAGCTTGGGGCCGTATCGACGGCTTCCAATCTGGCCTCAAGGTCGATACCCTGTCCGATTCTGCTGTTATCAAAGATGATAGGGACCGTCCTCGTGTTTTGTTTGAACCCACTGCCGTTCCTGGCTTCAAAGCAGACTATGTTGCAGCTGGTGCAGACCATTCTATTGCCATCGACAACGAAGGTCGCGCGTGGACCTGGGGCTTCTCTGCCAACTACCAGACGGGGCAAGGAACCGACGATGACATTGAGGTTGCCACTATCGTTGACAACACTGCTGTCCGCGGGAAAAAATTGAACACTGCCGGCGCTGGTGGGCAGTTCTCTATCTTTACCGCGGTTGCCGAATAATCACCAAGAGTTACACTTAAACTCTTTTACTAACCCCTCTACAGGATGGCTATTCCTTGATCTACATCTATTTGAAATTTTAGGATGAAGCCGGGTTGCCTCCTGTCGCATTGCCATCGAACTTTGCATAGCAACCCCCTTTCCCCCCTCGAACTTCGTACTCTTGCTATTCAGTGTTCTCTGCTTTGGTTAGTGCATGGTTTATGTCTTTTGATTTAATCTATTGCGCTTTTCCGTGGTATTTGTTGCTACCGGCTCTGCATGGTTCAATTTATCTGCACCAATTTTTGTTAGATGTGGCTCCTTCACTTTGACCTCCCGACGCTCTTCTCCGCTTGCTAAGATACCATGTGTCAGATGTATATCCCAAGCATTTTTCGTGCTTCAGGGTGTCTGCCTGCCTCACTGTTTTACCATGGCTGCCGGTAGAGGAAACCCTTGGTTTCTCTTGAACTTCTATCAGACACTATCCCAGTCACCCTTGGTGCCTTTGGGTGTGTTTATAGAATTATTTCTCTGGAATTTCTTCTTTTGGAGGGCGTTTTGTTTTGTTTATTCCTCGTTTGTCCTTCGTGTTATTGCCCTCTTTCCTCCTTCCAGCTAATACTGGAGGTGTAGGTGACGGGTTAGGTATACATTGCTATTGTTCGTGTATTTATTCATCAAGCGTTTCTGCAAAAAAGGGGTCATTCAATTCATTACATTAATTTTCTGTTCATTATTATACTTGCTACATATCATGCTCCTGCATTGCTTCCCAGTCATTCTCGTAATCGTCTTCATCAGGGTTCGATGTAGATGCCGTAGCACTCGGCTTGTCTATGCTGTTGGAATTGAGCTCATTGTTATCCCCGGCAAGGAGTCGGTCAAGATCATCCTCCTCGTCAGGGAAGCTGTCCCCTACCCCGCTGGCCTCGGCACATCCTTTACCTTCATTCCGGTCCAAATTACTTGGTGCGTTGTCATTCCACTCATGTAGTTCGTTATCTGTGGACATGGTGTTCGACGTCCTAGCCTGACCACAGCCATCTCCGCCAAACAAAGACTTTACAGCGCCATGGGTAGAGGACCTTGGCTCCAGTTGTTGAGATTCCACGAAAAGGTCTTCTTCTTCTGGGTTTGTTGGAGTTCCCTGCTGTCTATTTCCTTTTTCCCGTGTGGGAAGGTCCTGTTCCACCGATATATCACCTAATTCCTTGAATCCATCATCATCTACCTCAGATCTAGGCTTCCCTTCGTCAATCCATTCTCTCCGCATCACCTGGATCCGTTTAGAATGGCCCAGTTTCTCAATAATAGTCAGGGTATCAGCGAATTTGGCACGGGGATACAACTCATCCAGCCATAGCCGGTAAAAATTCAGCAACCGACCAGCATCAGAAAACTGTAGTAGAACAGTTAACATTGCTCAGACATATACACAGCCGCAATTTCTTACCTCATGGCCTTTGCCTTTTATTTTCAACGACTTTCTCGCCATTTTCCGCAACTTTGGGATTCCATCTTGGGACAATAGTCTGATAACATATGTTAGAACTGAACCGAAAGCTTCTATTTTTAGTCTATCGAGATCACTCGAGGATATGACAGGTTCCCTTGCCTTGCTTCATCAAGTTGAGCTACTGGTGCTCGCTTTCTCGAAACTTGGAGCTCATCATCGATACCAAGGATCCCTTTCCTGGGGTTTTGCTGGTCTTGACTAGAGCCGACTTCCGTGGTCTTCCTTGTGTCTTGCTCTACTTCTCGGAGGATATCATCTAGCCCAGCGTCATAATCGAAAAGGTCGTCCACATTGTCATTCGCAGCCATTCTGTCCAAATACTCAATATATTCTAAAGGTAGATAATGTCTTGACCGTCAATCTTTCAACATCAAATAGAGTTGTTGCTTGTTCAGTCAATGCGCGACGGGCGACGCGTTACCTAACTACCTAATCACGTGTATCTGACTTTAATGTTTATTACATAAACCGCATATATTAGTCATTAATTAGTAATTCATATAATAATCACATGACTCTGGCAAAGAAAACCGATTTGGGCAAGCCAAACGTCAACTTGTGCCATCGCTTGAAGACGACGCAGTTGACGGCGCTTTTGAGAAGCAATTGCCTGTCACCACATCGATCGCAAGATGGCAGCTGACCATGGAAGGCCAATTGTGCCTCCGAAACAACTCAAAACCGACTATCCTGTATGTTCATCCAGCATATCATACTCCAAATAGGCGCTGACAACTTCCTCTCAGTTAATAGATTCCGACCCGTATGAGACCACCCGAATCCTCAGCTTGCTTGTTTATATTACCACCCGACTTGGTTCACTAATAGCCGATGTTAATGTTTCTCTGAATATTAGTCATGTTCGCCGCGTGTTTGGATATGCTCGAACCTCCGATTATCTTATGGGAGCCGGTGTCACGGTTGTGAGCCCACTGCTTTTCGGAATCATGGAACGTGTTCAACCTGCTGCATCGGGTGCTATCAATTATACGCGATGCATGAGACTGGCTGGAGCAGTTGGTTTAGCTGCAGGAATCATTACCGTATACCAGCGGTCTAGCAGTCAGTTTTTCCCTACCCACCATTGAACGACTTGTTGGACTGGCGCCGTGGTATTCTACATTGACCTGTTTAATAACGCATGCCTTCTCTTAGATCGATTCTACGGACTCACGGAAAACTCGCGGGAAGAAGAGATGGATATGCGGGAAATGGTTGACAAGATCAAGAAAGGAGAGCCGCTGTATGGGACCTCTGTCCTATCGCCATACATGCAAGGCGTTGCTGCACGGAATTCCAGATACACCTCACTCTTTATCCATGTGATTCCTTGGTTCAATGTTGTCAACCACAACCAGGTAGGCACAAGCTCAAGTCCTAAGTAAACACCTATGATTGCATTCTTACTTATGATTACTCTAGCACGGTGTTGACACTGCAAAATACTATCGCCAAGCTGAACGAGAGTTGGAAGCCGAGCGTGTAAAAATGATGGCTAGTCAATAGATAGGCCTTAAAGTCGACGAATGCAACAATATCCCTATTGACAAGGCCTTTTTTTCTTGTATCTATATCATATCATGGCCAATATAGACGGTCAGTTTCCTTTTTATCCCGTCACTCAACTAAATCATGGCCGAAGGAAAGAAGCAGTGTGTATGTGCGAGAACTCGAAACACTCTTCTCTCTTATTCTATGGGCAAAATCCCCTCGATTCCTTTTAAGTGAGGGGCATCCTCTATCTCGTCCTTGAGCTTGCGATCCTTTTTTCCTTTAGGGTTTGGAGCTATCTCCCATAATTAATACTTGGTTCCTAGGTCTCTTCAATAGAAATTTCTTACCATTTTCGTTTTCTTGCACATAAAATTTCCGTAATAGCATAATGGCCTCTTTTCTGAATATACCGCCATAAACCGGATACGGCAGTTCTATTGCAGGACTTGTGTGGGTATTAGCTACCAAGATGCTCCCGTATGAAACTTTGCTAACTGGTTAGTTGGTTGACTTACTCTGAATGTAGTGAAAGGACACCTCCAGTACCTCCAAAGCGTTCGTTAGCACAACCAAAATATACGCTTCTTACCCGATACTGCCGTAGTGCTGATGCACACATTATACATGGTTCGACAGTCACATATAGATCTGTTTCATGGAGGATGGACCTTGGGTGGCTCCGTAGGGCTTCTTCGATAGCTAGGAATTCCGCATGCCTTGTTCCCTAAAGTTAGACGCGGGCTTCAGCACACTATGTATAGAATTATTGAATATCCAGTTAACTCGACCTACATTTAGAGACTTATTTGTGTCATTCATCCCGGATCCAATGACTTTATCTTTATTTACGAGGACACAGCCTACGGGCGTTTCGCCAACAGCCAGAGCTGTTTCGGCCTTGAAATGCTGTATGTCAGTATCCCAAAGTGGCACACGAAATGGTATTCTTTAGGGCCTATCAATACCATTCTCAAGGCCATTTTCATGAAGACTTCATGCTTTGATAGGTTAGACATAGCCTGCATCGTGGTGCTGCGTTATTGACAAGGGCACCCAGAACTGGTATCCTCTATTTCTTCATTTTGCTTGACAATTAAGTAGTTACATTTATTTGTAAGCAGATACAAGTAAAACTGACCTAGGGCTTAACTATCATCTTTGATTGGCTAATTCTAAAGATTATAGTTACATCACGGGGCCGTTAACAAATCAGATGTTATGAATTACATAAGCCATAAGGCATTCGCTGACTAATGAAGGCCGACCAGCGTTTTCAGCCTCAAAGCCTATGGGATTTTCGCGCTTTTATATCTTGATCAAACGGTATCCCATCAACTCTATGTGCTATCTCTCGTTTAACGCGTAATTTCCGACGCTGGGCAGGCCTTGAGGCTTTATTTTAGAGGTCTTCGCGAATTGTACTATACAATTTCTTCTGTGCTTCAACCTTCACTTCTTTACCCCCTTTTTCAACACTCCCTGGACTTGGGACTGCATGGGATGGACCTCCCTCATGGCTAGCCAGAATGGTTTACAGTCCCGCCGCTCCCTAGGGAAACAACGGGAAGCTAAAGCGAGAGATGCTCCTGTTTCCTCACTTATACCAAGCCATCTTGCATCCCATCTAGCCGCAGACACAAGCGGTGAATATGGAATTGATCGTGAAACCTTCTCACAGCTACGGCGCGAAATTCTTAGCCAGGGCGAAGATGACAAAGCAAATACTAATGATAACATCAATGATATCTACAATCTTATATGTGTTGTGCTGAAAGCTGGGCTTGAACAATCTCTCAAGACCCAGGGCGTTAGGACCTCCGGAGAAGATATTATGGGTCAAACACTTGACTGCCTGGATATCATTCGTCTGGCTGTACAGAGAGCGCCAGCTGTTCTAAAGGGGAATGCAAAACCAGGATTTCTGAAAGAAAATACTCCACAGTCACCGTTGTTTGTATGGGTTCTATCGCCTCTACTTACCCTTCTTTGTTCTTGGGACGATCGGAGTATACAGGACAAAGTATGCCAGGTTATTTCAGTTCTGTATGGTGCTCAGTTTAAAACTATTGAGCTATGTTACTCCGTGAAGTCAATATCCCGATTTCTCCAGGCCTGTGTTGGTGGTCAGTCTACTTCTCTTAGTCGATTAAACCTTGGTTACCTCCTACTAACTACAAGAGGACATCTAGAATTGGTCCATACAATCGAGACCGCTAATATACCTTGCGGAGGCGTTTCTCCCTGTAACGATCTGTATTTTCCGGTGCCCACCGTTGAATTTTTATCACGTCTAGATGAGCTAGGTCTTCCGCGAAACTGCTGCAGTAGGAATGAGCTAGGAAATCCGCAAACCGTTGCTATGGCTTGTCTCAGACTCATAGAGACTATCTCATGTCCGATTGAGCTCGCCTTAGCTGATGCAAAAGCAGCCTTTTTACGAGAAAGCTTTAACTATGGCTTGCATTTAGCAGTAAGGTTATGGAAAACAGTATTGGGATGGTTTGATACGAACACAGTGGCTCTAGGCGAAGAAAGCCTGTCTAGCCTTCTGGTCGAATTCGTCTCGCTTTCTAGAAAATTATGCACCTATTCGACTCGGCTTAGTTCACGCATTGACCAGAGGGTGTTACATCTATTGTTTCAATGTGTTGTTGACTTAGTGGATACTGAGCAATTGAAGGGAAGCATTGAGTTGCAACAGGTCCTGGCTGAATTTCTTATGGAAGTAATTCGACTGAGTCAATCGTTCGCCGGAATAGAAGACCTAGTCGAGGAGCTGTTTTTCTGCCCCTTGTCCGATATTAATGCTAATCTAGAGCTCTTTCAAAGGCTGCATCAATCACTCCAGGTAAGTTCACCATATTTAACACTAGTGGAAATACAGGAACTTAATGAATTATAGCATGTTGTTCTTAGGGTGCTCGCTGGGGAACATAGAACAAAGCTCAGGTCCAAAGTAGTCCGGCGTGTTGGGCTATGTGATAAAGATAGGGGGTCTACCTCTCGTTCGCATGCTCTGGACGAAAGCAATTTCCCCATGGCCGGATTATTTGATACCTCTACTGATGAAAGAGCCCGAAAGCGACCACGGCTGTCTAATAAGGAAGATGAGGACGCTCACTCAGATCTTTCGAGCGTTATTTCCAATCAAATTTACACTACCCTTGGAGTCTTCCCACCAAATGGGCTTGAGGATTTAGACGAAGATGCTATGTGAGTTCGTTGCTATTATCTTGTCAGTTCTTGCTGTTGACCTATTTCAGGCATGATTTCTCAAGTTTACCTCCTAGCGATAAATGCATTATTATTACCAATATGGGAAGATTGGCTTGTGTCTGGACAAAAAGCCTTAGTGGGGAAGAGTATGGTAATATTGCGGGACAAACGTATACATGCAAAGTGTGTGATTGCGAGACAGAAAAAGGTCATACTAAGAAACCGATTTCCTCTCTCCAGTTTGGCCATCTTCGGAACATTTTTGCCGGAATTCTACCCCGAGTCAAGGATTCAGGGAGCTGCAGAATTGCTGCAATGGTTGCCATTCGCAACATTATTAACCATGATCTGCATGATGATGAAGACAGACTAGATATTTCCCCATTTGGAGAATACTGTCTACAGTCCCTAAAAAGCTCCATTCGAGAGTTAAGGGTTGCCGCTGGGTTAGTGAACATCCTGATAGCCTCTCTTCCCAAGACATTAGGCTCGTGCAATTCTAACTGTATCGTCTTGTCAGGAAAACGATAGTGTCATTCCTAAGAGGCTCCCGTGGGTCAGATATACGTTGCGGCAATTTTGTTGTGGCTCTAGAGTACCTCCATAAGATCTTTGAAAAGAATGAGCTTTATCTGCAGGAAACATGCGTTATGGCTCTGCGTCAAATAGCTGAGTATGCCACCACTAGCACCGCGCCCTACCTGCCTCTATTAATATATGAATGGCAGGATTTCAAATGATGAAGAGATGAATATTGTGCTTCTCCGGTTACTTGAGTACCTAGGCCATGCTAACCCATTTGTTAGTGGGATTGCATATACAGAGGTAGGTGATAGCCGCATGCCACACTTAAGCAGCTTTCCCCACTTACCAGGCATAGATATCTAAACTAGCAACTCTGTTGAGATTAACACCAGCAGCACTTTTTCGGCCTTTCTGGAGAACCCTATCTCTTTTGGTCATAAAAAATTTTCAAGCTCGGCCACAAATAGCGGATGAATTGTGTGATTTACTTGGGATGGAGGTTAATGGCTTCTTGCGCCTAACAACGATTTATACCTTGCCTTATCTTGTTTTGACCAGAAAGAAAGATATTATCACACGAATTGCAATGACGCACAGCAAGAAGTCTGTCTCAGAATTAATCAAGACTCGATCTCATCTGGCATCAATTCTAGCTCTTTTGCTGGTGCAGCCTTTTCCTAACCCAGAAACTGCCATACCATCTATACTGCAGGAGCTTTCCGTCAAATTTAATGATCCAACACTTTCGAAGTTAGTTCGATCAGAGTGTGTCCCGATTACCTGTGAGTTACTTCGAGGATTAGGCGGCTCCGGTGAAGGGAAAGGATCTAAGGTAACGTAACATGTTGTATCAACGACAAATATGAAAATACTAATAGTTGAGCAGTACTATGATGCTCTTGAATACATTGCATCTGTGACACCCCGGCAAGCTGGCCGCGGAGTAGTTGCAAGGATAGATAATCTAAGCGTGTTTATTGAAGAACACGTTCTAGGAGTGGTAACGGAGTTTGTCCACGTTATCAACGACTTCCAGGTCTTGCAGCCGATTCCAGAAAAAAAACGGGACATAATTGCCATGGGAGAAATGATAAAAATTGCTAAGGGTAACATTAGTATTGCATTGCCACAGGTCAGCCTTTTCCATTCCAGTCTATACAAGTTTGACAATATCCTCACCATATACTTTAGATTTGTGCCTGCTTGCGCTCTGCTTTAGACTCAGTCGAGCTTCGTGATCATGCATTTGCTACGTGGAACATAATGATTCTTGCTCTTAATGATATTGACCTCGAGCCATTGATCGGTCAAACATTTGCTCTCATTCTTAAATATTGGAACTTCCTGACAGAGGAAAGCAAAAAGAGAGAAATAGAGCTTGTGGACTATATTCTCAACGACCATAAAGATACCCTTGTCACTGTTTCTGAGACTCTCCCATCTCTTGAATCGATACCTGAGCTTTCTGAACAAAACAAAAATATTGAGAAACTCAAGCAAGGGATGGATATACGAAGTAAATTCATGGCATTATGTCGGCGATGTCAGAGCGATAATTTCGCTGTCGTTGAGCGGGCTCTGCTTGAGCTCCTGCCAAATCTCACCGAGCACGAGGAGTTCATACATGGCTCTATGTTTAGTGAACAACCGGACAAAAGCCTAGTTGGAAAAGTGACAAGAACTTTACTGGATTGCTGCGTCAAGTATAACTCAAGCTCTCCAACTATAGTTTCACTTTGTGCGCAGTGTCTCGGTCTAATAGGCTGCCTTGACCCTAATCGCATAGAGTCAATCAAGGAGAAAAGGGAAATAGTTGTCTTGTCCAATTTTGAGAGATCCGATGAAACCCTGGATTTCATTATATTCTGCCTGCAAAATATCCTTGTTGACGCTTTTTTAGCGGCATCTAACAGCCGAACCCAAGGGTTCCTGGCGTATGCTATGCAGGCGCTCCTGACTACGGGCAACTTAAGCGCTGCAATTCCGCCCAGGTCACAGGATCCCCAATCCAGCGACTTGTATCGACGATGGTTAGAACTTCCTGAGCTATCTCGAAATACGTTAACTCCATTTCTCAACTCGAAGTACTCTGTCACAATTGGTGCAATTAGTACTTCGTGCCACTATCCCTTGTTTACTCCGGCTCTAAACCACTCGGAATGGCTTAAGACCTTTGTCCTTGATATGCTTCAAAAAGGCAAAAGTACCAATATTCAAATACTTTTCAGCGTGTTCAGCCGGATTATTCGAACCCAGGAAAAGTCTATATCCGTATTTTTGCTTCCGTTTGCTGCTCTTAATGTTGCAGTTAGCTCCGTTGACGAAGAGCGCGAGAATCTCAAGGGGGAGCTTACTAATATTTTGGAATGCCCCTTGCCTGATCACAAGGGACCTGAACGGGAGAATCTGATTTTATTCAGCGAGGTATGTTGAAAATTTTAGATCTAACAGCACAGACTGTTACTGATAACGTTTCAGAGTGTGTTTGCCGTTTTAGACTATTTATCCCGTTGGTTGCATGGAAAGAAGAAAGAGTATACAAGTATCACTTCTACTGGAAACCATGCCAGCCGTAGTCAAAAAGAATCTCTCACAGAGTCTGCTGTCCAGATAAAGAGGGTGGAACACTTGTTAGCATGCATACCAGCTGAGATAATATCAAAACGGGCAGTTGAGTGTAAGTCATACGCCAGAGCTCTCTTCCACTGGGAGCAATACATACGTCAACAGAAGTCACGGCCAGAAATAGGTTTCATGGCACTTCAACCACTATATCAAAGGCTACAGGACATTTATACCCAGATCGATGAGCCCGACGGAATTGATGGCATATCATCGCGCTTACATGTCCTTGATCTTGATCAACAGTTATTGGAACATCGAAACTCAGGCCGATGGGCTGCCGCGCAAAGTTGGTACGAGCTGCAGTTAAATAAGTCACCCAAAGACCTCGACACGCAGATAAATCTCCTGACATGCTTAAAGGAATCTGGACAATATGGTATGAAATAACGATGACATATAATGCATGCCGATACTGACTTTTCTAGGTGTACTTCTCAACCAATATGATTCCTTGAAAAAAAATGAGGCCATTGTACCAAAGATGCTCCCTTTCGCAATCGAATCTTCTTGGGTGACAGGAAAATGGGGAAAGCTCGAAAAACTCACATTAGGGCGTCGTGACGAGATCGCGACTGACTTCAATATTGGCATCGGTGCTGGTCTGGTTGCATTCCGGCAGGGGAAGAAAGATGAACTACAAAAAATCATAGAAGAGCTCCGAATGAATGTTGCAACAGGGTTCACCCCGAATTCCGTGGCAACATTCCAGGCTAGTCATGATGGCACCCTTAAGTTGCACATCCTGAGTGAAATAGAGCTCCTGACTTCAGGCTCTTATGATGATGCTTCTATTTCACGAAATGAACTTCTTACGATGTTGGATCGCCGTTTGGACATGTTAGGAGGCTGTATTTCGGACAAGCAATACGTGCTTGGAATTAGACAAGCTATCATGGATTTGTCGTAAGTTTCCAAACTGACCTTTAGGTAATTTGAAACATTACACTAACTATGTATAGCCCTGCATACGACGAGTTAGAAGTTGCATCTGTTTGGCAGCGGATTGCAAAGCTGGCGAGGAAAGCAAACTGGAATGACCGAGCTTTCAATGCCGTCGTACATTCTGCCCAGCTCAATGACAAGACTTCTACTATTGAATACGCAAGACTTCTGTGGAAGGAGGGCCTTCATAGAAAAGCCATACAAACGCTGGATCGGGCCATTGCTGCCAGAGCCTTTGGTCCGTACGATCGCCCTGAGACTAGTGATAATGACGTCTCTGTTCTCGGAAAAGGCTACGAACAAAACATACTTATTGCAAGGGTATGTAATGCATACATTTTCCTATCAATAACTACCGATTTCCGCTAATTGAAGATGGTAGGCCTTTCTCCTACTCGCAAAATGGATGGATCGTGCTGGGCAGACGCAGTCAGATTACATCGTCTCAAGGTATCGTCAGGCTATCCATTATCATTCGAGGTACGTTAATAGCACTGGTCTTCCGTCATTCTAGTTAGCTAATGGCCATCATCAGGTGGGAAAAGGCACATTATTATCTAGGGAAGCACTATACAAAGATATTAGACTCCGAGAAGTCTAAACCCCTGGGTAAAGAGGGTCAAAAATAGTATGTTACGTTACTTTTGTATATATATATAGGACCACCTACTAACCTATTTTACCAGCTTAAGTGGTGAAGCCTCAAAGTTGGTTATCAACAGCTATCTTAGGTCTCTGACGTTTGGCAATAAGTATGTTTCCCAAACTCTGCCTAAGGTTCTTACATTATGGCTAGAGCATGCCGCAGCAGTCGACCAACCATTTGACCCAAAACGCGGAGACAACGAGTACGTATATCAGCTCTCCTAGGTGATTCACTTCTAAATTTCATGTTAGGGACTTCCAAAGGCACAACATGTCACAACGAAGGAAGAATTTGGATGAGATGCACTCTCAGCTTAAGAAATATACCAGTCGTATATCTCCAGCATTAGTAAGACCACCCTTTTCAAGCCATTTTCCGCAACAGCGATGCTGATATTACAAGCTCTTCACAATTCTACCTCAAGTTGTGGCCCGAATATGTCAATCGAATACCACTGTTTATAACACACTTACGTCAATGATCGTGAAACCTGTTGTCGCTTTCCCCCAGCAAGGGTTATGGACCGTGCTTGCGTTGCGAAAGTCTTCTTCAAAAGATCGCTTATCACGCGGGATTACCATTCTGCAAAAGATAATTGTGAGTGAAGCCTATAACCCTGGTTAGCAAGAGCCGGAGAAATCTACCAAGGGGAGAAATGTATTCTCACAACAGTTTTAGGAGTCCTCCAGAAGAGCAAAAACAGATCACTCAGCGGGAGATATTCGGTCTATCATTAACCAAGGGCAGAAGTTTTCGGATGAGCTCCTGGAACTTTGCCTCGCACGTATAGAGGAGAGAACCCCGAAAGTTAGCTTGTCAGAAACCTTGCGTTTTAACCATAGGGTAGCACCATGCAGGCTTGCTATTCCTCTAGAGGCTACTTTGACTCCGACGCTGCCCTCAAGCCATGAGCCTCACTTCCTCAAGACATTCCGTGCTTTTCCAGCTGATACAATAACAATTGAGAGTATGTTGTCCCTAAGGAATATTTCTCCCATCAATTGCCGAGCTAACATTGGTAAATTAAACCTACTGCAGCCGTCCTAGACGAAGCTCTGATCCTTAGCTCTCTGCAAAAACCGCGTAAGATAAGTATACGCGGATCAGACGGAAAAATTTATGGTCTTCTATGCAAGCCTAAGGATGACCTTCGCAAAGACCAGCGCTTGATGGAGTTCAACAGCATGATCAACCGATTTCTTATGAGGGACCTCGAGTCGAATAAGCGTCGCCTATGTAAGGTTCCTCTCTTGACTTAATGTTTTCGTATATTAGTTTCTAACCCTAGTTTGTACACAGATATCAAAACTTATGCAGTCACCCCACTGAATGAAGAATGTGGCCTAATTGAATGGGTCGATAACCTCAGAACCCTAAGGGAGATAGTGACAAAACTTCTCAAGGAACGAGGTGTAAGCCTAAACGTAAGTACCCGGGTATCTAGGATATTTATTTGCTAGAACGAAGCTAAGTTGATAAAGTATCAAGAGATACGCCGGAATTTGGACGAAGCATGCGCGGACGACTCCAACCTTACAGTTTTCACAGATAAGGTATTAGCAAGGTATGTAGTGTACCAGTTTAAAGCTCTATATATCATACTGTAAGTTAACATGAACTTAGGTATCCGCCAGTTCTGCATGAATGGTTTGTTGAAACATTCCCAGAGCCAGCCACATGGTTTGCGGCCCGCCTAAAATACACACGATCCAGTGCCGTCATGTCTATGGTTGGGTATTCTCTAGGGTAAGTAAAGATTATCACCCTTGTAGCCCTCTCAACATAAAAGGGATCTAAGCTAATCTTTTGATGAAGACTTGGTGATAGACATGGAGAAAACATGTTATTTGAAGAAGCTACTGGAGGAATTCTCCATGTTGATTTCAACTGTCTCTTTGACAAGGTTTGTCCGTCTCAGATGTGTCTCCTTGATATAGTTGCCTAACGCCCTTTTTATCAATAGGGGCTGACTTTTGACAAACCCGAACTTGTCCCATTCCGACTTACCCATAACATGATTGATGCATACGGAGCATACGGATATAACGGTAACAATTGCCCGGCATACGTTGTCCATGGTATAAAAAATGACTAACCTAGTAACTTTGTTATCTCCAGGCCCCTTCCGGAAATCTTGCGAGCTTACATTGGATCTCCTTCGACAGAACGAAGACTCTCTAATGACGATTCTCGAGACCTTCTTACATGACCCAACGACAGATTTTATTGGAAAGAAGGTTAGTTTTTACCTTGTTCATGGAATACGCCTCACAAATAACTGACTATATACACACTCGTAGAAACGACATAACCCACGCGTTCCAGATACACCCGAGGGTGTGCTTGAACTTGTCCGCAACAAGCTCCGAGGGCTCCTTCCTGGTGAATCAGTCCCTTTATCAGTGGCAGGGCATGTTGACGCACTCATTCTACAGGCGACGTCAGTGAAGAATCTTGCAGCGATGTATGTAGGCTGGTGTGCATTTTTCTGATATCAGAGCGATTACACAATGCTAGTTCTCTTTTGCCTTTGCCAGTAGCTGTACATCATTTTGCCAGCTAATTTACGTGTAATATTGAAGCCCTTTACTGCGTTTAATGCAAATGTAAGGAACAGAGATCTATACACAGACGTGAGCACAGCTCTGGATGCAAAAACTGAAGCCAGCAATTTTTCAATCACTCCCAGCCGATTTTCGCCTACGCTATTCCTCCGTTCCGAACCAAATATGAGCAACACTTGTTTACCCAAAGGGTTATAAAAACTCCCCAGTCAAGTATGGCGCTGAAAAAGGTGTTGCCTGTCAAAATGACAGAAAACACAACCAGAGAAGGGTCTACAGATTCCCTTCATCTGAAGTGCCCACGCGGCGAATAATAATTATAATGATAAAAGGGGAAGCCCTGTGAGTTGTCCAGTATGTTATGTTTAGCGCCCATAACGGTCCCTAGTCCTGCTGGGGGATCGGCTTCGGCTTCTGTTGCTGACACTGCTATAACTCAGACTTCTCCTACGACGAGACGGGCTATCTCTTCTCGAACGCCTCAAGCGTGGAGGAGTAACCGACGGAGACCTTGAGGAATACGAAGGTGACCTCGCTCGCGCAGCTGGAGAACGGGAGCGTGAAATCGATCGCGGACGATATATGTCGTGTCGATCCGCACCACGGCCTCCGCGGAATCTACCACGGCCCGGCGGAGACCGATACCTTGAAGACAATGGTGGTGGTGGTGGTGGTGGTGGTAATCGGCCCGAATCTAGGAAAGCCGAGCCCCTGCCACCTCCGTATCGCCCATTGCCATATTCTGCACGAGGCGGTCTGGTAGCTGGCGGTGGAGAGCGCGAAAATGTGCGGCGAGGGAGTATGATGGAAACGCTTAACACGGCACCATCAAGCTGGGCTTCATGCATATGTGCAATAGCCGACTCGGCATCGGCAGGTTCACGATAGTGAATATAAGCAGCCCCACGGTTGGTCATGACTGAATTAAGGCACGAGTGAATTAGTTCTATCGTTCTTAAAGGTGGGATAAGCCATGTATGGGAGAGCTTACATTGCCGATTCATCGGTAATTCGAGACTCTCTATCTCTCCATATGCAGAAAATATCTCACGTAGGTGGTTTTCATTAACATTCTTCGTCAGTTTCTCCACGACAATCTAGCGCGATACCGTTAGCAAACTTATTCATTCAAGCAGCAGGTAATCAGTAATCGTGAATCATACCTTTGCACTCCTTCTGGCGACAGGAGTAGGGCTTCTGGTATAGCTTCTACCGCGCTGTCGGCGGTCTCTGATGGGGCTGCGGCTGCGACTGCGGGAAGAGTATGGGCTTCGCGACCTGGATCGAGATTCGCTGTATTGATCACCACGATTCCCATTACGTCTGTCTCGATCGTCTCGAGCTGGCGATACACTTCGCCCACGGCTATAGCTCCGTCTACGGTTCTGGGGAGATCTCGGACGCCGTGGAGGAGGCGACCTTGATGGTGATCCGGTGCGAGAGCGGGCGTGTCGTGGAGAAGAGGGAGAGCGCGATGCCCGGCGGCGAGGAGACTGTGACGGTAGAGAGGGCCGTCCATGGCCATAGCTATCGGCATCATGATGGCGACGAGAGTTGCGCGAAGCTATCGACGCCGAACGCGAGCGGCTGCGCGAAGGCATCCCGGCGAGCTGGAGGAGCTCAAGCTTGTTGATAGCTGGCCTGACAGGGCAAACTAACCCTGACAGCGGTATAACTCGTGTTACCAGGATAAATACGTAGCCCTATCAGTATCAGGAGGATGCTCAATGGCTGGTGGAAGCAAATTTTTTCGGCCTGACACACAAAGAGCTTTGAAGTCTGTAGAAAAGAAGCTGTAGAGAAAAAAAAAGGTGAGGTTTGCTAAGCAATTTTTGATAGAGTGAGTCACGTGATTACTTTATTCCGAGGCTCTTGATGGTGGAGGCGGAAAGGCGACGGCGACGATGGCAAGGGAGACGGTATGCATGTACGGAGCAGTGCATGTGCTGTGGGACAATTCTTTTAACTAGTTAACTACCATAACTAGTTATAATCACTAGCTAGTTACGAGTCACCAAGATAACCATCTACCTAGTTATAAAATCAAACGCGTTTCAGAATAAACCCGATACACAGAAGAAAAGACATTACGGAGTATATGAAGAGGATAAATGCGTACAAACACGAATGGTGGATGGGATAAAAAGGATACCTTGTTCATAAGATCGTTATCTGCTGGTTGTTGCCAAAACTCCTGCTCCATTCCTCGTACGCTTGAATGACTTCAGGCTGGGTCCGTTTTGGGACCATGGAGAGCGAAGCTTGGAAGTGTTCAAGCTGGATTGGTAGGTCAGGCAGTTCCCTGGCTTCTTCATCGTCCAGACACAGTTCGGCGGCAGTTTCGCAGATATTGACCAGCTCCGCACCAGAGTGACCGTCAGTCAGAGAGGCCAGGACGATGGCGTCCACATGGTCGCTGACATCCGAGCGGCTGATCCAGTTCTCGAATATCTCCTTGCGAGCTTCCATGTCCGGAAGCCCAATGTATAGTATGTTGTCCAGTCTTCCCGGCCGCATGAGTGCGGGATCGAGGATCTCGGGCTTGTTCGTAGCAGCTACAACGAGGACGTTTTTCAGTTCCTCGATGCCGTCCATTTCATTTAGCAGAGTGGTCAGGATGTTTATCCCGCCGTGAGAGCCGGCATCTCTTCGAGCTGCAATGGCGTCTATCTCGTCGAAGAAGATGATGCTTGGGCTTGCGGCTCGTGCCTTGCGGAAGATCTCGCGCATTGCTCTTTCGGATTCCCCGACGTACATGCTCAGCATTTCAGCTCCCTTGACGGCTAGGAAGTTCAATCCAGCCTCCGTAGCAAGGGCTTTGACCATCATTGTCTTTGAGCAGCCAGGGGGGCCATAAAGCAGTATGCCCTTTTTCCCACTGATATTGAGATTCTTCATCCGCTCAGGTTTCTAATTCTGTCAGCTTGGTTATTTAATTTAGAAGGATAAGAGCTAGAAAAGCGTACCTTGAGGGGTCTCTCGACAGCCTTCTGTAGACGACTCTTGATGTAACGCTGGCCACCAATGTCCGACCACCTTATGGATGGAGTTTCCAAGAACACTTCTCTCATTGCTGTTGGCCGGGCCTCTTTCATAGCCAGGATCATATCTTGCTCGCAAATCTCCAAGGGCCCTGGTTTGTCGTTCGACAGACCCAAGTCGCTTTTGATGTATTCCCCATCCTTCTCATCATAATGTCTAGATGAAATACTGTTTTCAACGGAAGGTGTAGCTGCTAGCATACGGGCCTTTGCCTTTCTACAGGATAGCTGAAGCAATGAAAGAAGGTCCGCACCAACGTAGCCATGGGTTTTTGCAGCAAGACTGCCCAATATCCTATCAGTGGGCTGTGGTGCTGACCCGCGAAGAGCTTGTAGGATCTCCAGTCTGCTCTTTGAAGTTGGAATCTGCAGTTCAACCTCGATCCCGAGCCGGTGAGGTGTGCGTAGGCTATCATCTACATCATTTGGGTGCCTTGTGCATGCGACAACCAACACCCTGCTATCCTGGAGAGAGTCTAGTCCTTCACAAAGCGCAGGAGAAAGAGAAGCGTCGTTTGGCCCTGTTGAAGAACGCTTGGGGGCTATAAACTCGAGTTGGTCAATCTTGATAAGCGAAGGCTGATACTTAAGCGCATCTGAGAATATCTTGCGCAGAACCGCAGCACTATCTCCTGCCGCTCTACTGGTGATCGAAGATGTGATGGCAAAGGTCCTGCGCCAGTTTGTGTCTCCTATCTTTGCCAGCAGAGCGCTTTTCCCTGTCCCTTTGGGCCCGTAGATGAGAATCCCCCCACTGCTCTTGTAGAATGAAGGCATGGTAATCGACTGTTCTTGGGTATTAAAGTCTTGCAGCCGTTCATTGACCATCGCCAGCTGAGGTGCAAGGCCACCGAGCCCATCCGCCGTAACCTCTAGACGGTCTGTAGAAGCTGAATCTGCATCCCCGGAGGCCTCGTCTGCCTTGCCAATGACCACTTTTGAGTGCTCGGTATACTTGAAGACGGTGTTGAAAGTGCCGCCGCCGCTACTGCTTCCAGCGTCAATATGGACCACCTTGAAGCGCCTGGAGACGCCCTTGAGTTCAATGTCAAACGCCAGACCAAGGGAGACGACCTCACATTTTGACAGGGGGTATTCGAGCGCCCATTCCCAGTGGGAACGCTCTTCTGCTGCCAGCTCCGTGGCTGCTGGCGATGCTGCTTGCGATGCACCAGTAGGGTTACGCTTCACTTCCTCAAGTCGGACGGCCTCAATATCAGCCAGAGGATCTGACGCTGGCGAGACGGAGACCTTATCACCCAGCCTAAGGCCGTACAGCTCCTGCATCGGCTTGGATGTCTGGATGATGTTGTCGTGTATCTTTTCTGCGGCCGTCCATGCTATAGCTGTCTTGACTTTGCTACCACCAGCAGCAGCAGCACTATCAACAGCACCACCACTATGGCCATTGCCGGCAATGCTATAAGTCTCTAGCTGGCAGAGCTCGCCTACTCGCAATTTGACCTGCAGCAGGGACGCCGGCGAGAGATAGACACGGAATGTATCTCTGTGATCGGCGCGGGCTTGTTTCGAGGTCGGCCGGACCGTAAACAGCTTCGACTCTGCCATTTTGCAGAAGTTATGTATATACAAACTGTTCTTTGCTCGGCGAGATGATAGCAGGAAATTATCCCCAGCTCTTTACAGTCTGTAGGCGCCTGCCCTTCTTCCTCTCCTTCTCCTTTTCTCCTGTGGATGGTTGGTGGAGGGGTTGAAATGAAGTGTTTCGTGGGCAAATATTTTAGTTAAATAGTTAACTATTTAATCTACATCGCAGAAATTGATAGCTAACTCACTAGATACCATCTACCCTACAACAACGGGGAGAAGGAGACTATTTATGTGCAAAGCCTAGAGAAAAGGTGAAAGGGAGGGGGGAACTGAGACTCCTTAGCATGCTACATCACTGTAGGACTGAGAATTCGCATACGTACATATATTTGTAAAGTATGACGGCCTCTGTTCACCCGTTGCTTCGTAGCCCAAGGACGCCTGGGGTACATCAACCCGTTCGGTCTAGCTAGTTCTAGCCAATGCATTGGTTGAAGTGAAGTGCAGACATCCTGCATATTGGATACATGGGTGACTGCATTCAGAAAGCTTAGAGGGGGGCAGCCTGTCTGGTGGACGGCTTGGTCAGATTGTTTTCATTTGGAATATATTTAACAGTTATATTTATAGATTATTCTATTGTTCCTCTAGAGCAAACATGGCGAGGGACGGGGGGTTTTTGATAGGATACGGACAGATCTCGTTATAACGTGGGAAAAGAGGTAATGTAAGGGGGGCATGAAAGTGGTAAGAAACAAAAAAAAGATGTCTGCTGGCCAGGGCAGTTGAATTAAAACTGGATAGAGGGGTGAAGCGAACATGCGTGGAAAGAAAGAATTATCGAAATTAAACGGGGTTATGCTGGCCGCGGATAAGAAGTGGTACCCTGGGTGCGATAATAGCATCGTATTCAACCAAGTGGCCGAGACAAGTAGACGGAAAAAGGGCTAAGCAAAAGAGAAACAAAGCGAGAGGAAGAAGACGGCGGCTACTGGGCCTTCTTAGCCTTCTGTTCTCTCTTCCTCTGCAGGGCGGCGGGGTCGTACTCGGTGTCGAGTAGGTAGTCCCACCATCTGAAGCTGCTGGCATAGTTGCCAACGAACTTCTCGTGATGGAGGTCGTGGTGGTCGGCACCGGCCCAGAAGGGGAGGAAGTGGTGCAAGCTCCAGGGGAATTCGTAGCCGCTATGGGCGTCGATTGCCTGGAAGAGGCGGAAGACGATCCAGATGTACATGGTGAGGATGTGTAGGTCACCGGTCAGGGCGCACCAGAGGATGGGGCAGCCAACGGTTCCGAAACCCAGGGCCATGACCTCGATGGGAGAGGCGTACTCGGCGGCGAGGCCAAAGGGAGCAGAGTACTGGTGGTGAATCTTGTGGACGGACTTGTAGAGCGGGCCCCAGTGGAAAGCCCGGTGAGAGAAGTAGTGCCAGGTGTCTTCAAGCACGAAGAAGATGGCGATCTGGTAGGCCATCTTCCACAGCGGAGGGAAGGGAACCGTCGTCTCTAATCCAAAGTACTGCGCCATTGGGTGGAATAGCCTATTTTGCTGTTAGAACTGTTTTCCTGTCTCCCTCAAACATCCCCCCTTTTGTTTTGTGCATTTATGTTGCAAGGCTGAATCATACCATATCTGAGGCAGCTCGACTGTAAAGTGGCTGAGAAGGACGAGTTTGGCGCAATTCCACTGTTCCTGCAGGGTCGGGATTTTATGCTACTGCCAGTCAGTCTCGAAGCGGAATGGGAGAGAAGGGCCTCCAACGTACGCTTTGGATCTTGTAGCGGTTGAAGTACGGCAGACGGTCGATAATCATCCAGGGAAACGAGCGGCCAAAGTACACAACTTCGTGCATGACAAAGGACATGATGCCGGTGGCGAGGACGTCGTTCTGCATGTAGGCGTACCAGGCCGCCCACATCTGCTCAAAGACATTGAGCTGGGGGTTGTAGGAGGCCGTCTGCTGGAAATGAGCCCAGTACGTCTCCGGCGGAGGGGAGAGCAGCGTTGTCGAATTCCTGCAGGTACCAAAGTTAACAGCCTGGACAGCGAGAAGGCCGCCCGGCGGACGGAGAGGCTACCTACATGTCTGACAGGGCTCAGCAGGAGCCGGGAGAGAAGCCAGCGGCCGGCAAGTCGTAAACGCGAGCCTATCCAGGGACTTCCGCTGGTTGGAGCTAGGGGGACGCGGGGGAGGAAGCTGAAGCTGCAGTCGAAATTGTCTCTCTCTCTCTCTCTCGCGTCTTGGTTTGTTCTGAAGCTGAAGCTGAAGTCGAAGTCGAAGTCGAAGTTGATGAAAGATAAAAAAAAAGAGATTGAAAAAAGAAAGAAAGAAAAAAGAGTCAGGGGCAATGATTAGTCAGCCGCCTTTCGATGAGCCGGGTGGCCTGACAAGTTCGGATGCAGAGACAGGAAGAGGCGGAAGAGGCGGAAGGAGTCGAGAGGATGGCTGGAGTACACGGAGGACAGGGCAGAAGCAGACAGAAGACAGTAGACAGTAGAGATAGATAGCACAGGCAGGCAGAGCGGTTAGCGAGAGCAGAGCAGTGGGCGGGCTGGTTTATATAGATGGATACATAGTTATGGGGATTAACACCGGCAAGCAAGGAATAACACAGCAAGGAACAACAACAGCCGGCATTTTTACGTCCATACATACATACATAGCGAGACTGCGGGCTGCGATCGTATGACTTCTAGGACTCGAGGATTCGATGAAGGCCACCAGATTACGCAGAATCCGAGACTGAGACGCCGTTCCACTCGCCGGGTGGCCGGGATGTCGCTCATTGGCGAGTAAGTAGAGATACAGCAGAGCGCAACAAGAAGAAGAAGAAGAAGAAGAAGAAGAAGAAAGGAAATCAAAGAGGGCCAGAGAACGATGCTGACGGTTTCAGTCATGTCCGCCGTTTGGACTCATACGTCGACCGGTTACAGCTGCGAGGCCTTGCGGCGGCTGGAGTCGAGACGAGCCAGCGTGAGATAGCAGCAGCCCAGACGAGCGAGGCCGCCGGAAGAGGCGCAAGGAGGATACAGAAGAAGCCGGGGAAGACGCAGGAGGATGTGGGATCGGTGCACTCGTCGCTCCTTGCGGCTGCCAGAGCTCTGTCTGGCGGACACACGCTGAAGCCCGCCAGGGTGCTGGAGCATCTGCGCCGTGTCCACCGCCTGCAGCCTGCCATACAGACAGCCTATACTGAAGATATCGCAGACGAAAGCATTATCAGAGATGGAGGAGACTACGGCGGTGCCGGAGACAGCGCGTACACGGCGAGTTTGCTGTGGTTGGTGGCCTCCAAGGCTACGGTGCAGACGTTTGCCTCTGTCATGACCTCCATGGTCGACGAGACCGTCCCCCTAAGCGACGGTATCTGGTACTGGGACGAGGTGCTTGGGTCTGCCTTCTACTCGGGCCTCTACACCCTCCAGACGGCGCCGGCGCGCTGGGCGAGCTACCTGATCAGCATATATCGGACCACCCGGCAGACGGGCAGCAATGGCAGCAGCAGCAGCAGCGCTGCGGAGGACCTTAGTGTGGGCAGCGGACTCCACGATGGCACCACCCTGATCGCGCGATGGCGGACCTTCTACCGGCTCGTCCACCACGGCGTGAGGGCTCGCTCCGTCACCCATGCCAAAGAGCTCGTCCTCTCCCCCTTCCAGCTGTCCCGGTCCCGGGCTCGAGCCAGCCGCAGTGGCCTGCGCAGGCTGAGGGAGATGACCGCGTGTGCGGTCGGCCTGCTCATGGAGGAGGGCCTGCTGTTTGACGTGGCTGACGAGGACGATGCCATCACGCCTGTTCTCGCCAGCACTGGTGCTGCTCCTGATTCTACTTCTTCATTAAAGAAGCATGGCAGCCCAGACGAATGGCGCGTTATCGTCTCGCGGACCACCTTGCTCATGCAGACCGTCCTGCAGCACGTCAACAACCTGGACGCCGACCTGACCGGGTTCGAAGACAATGTCTTTTCCGCCGTCGAAAGCGGGATACAGGCCATGGAGGATTCGCTCATCATTGAAGGGACCGGGGCCGGGACAGGACGCTCTCCCAACCCAACCGACCAGGCATACCAGGTCATCCAGCAGCTCGTCGACGTGCTCGAGCACCATCTCCCTCGCCAGCAGGAGCAGTGCCGCCTGCTGGCCCGCAACTATGCCCGCCCTTCCAGGCTGACGCGCTACTGGCCTGCTGCCTTGGGCCTCCTTCTCTCCTCCAGCACCGTCCTGAATATCCTCACCAGCAGACGGGCAGAGATGGTCACCTGGCTGCGCGAGCTCGGGTCGACCGTGTCCGACTTTTGGACGAACTGGATAATCGAGCCCCTGACCAGGCTGGTAGGCACCATCCGGCATGACGAGAAGAGCGAAGTCGCCCTCATGAGCAAGAACAGTCTTGACGCCGACTTCTCCAGCCTCGAGCGCATGGTCGTCGACTTCGTCCGCACCCGGCCGTCCCAGGACCTCGGGCTCTCTGACCACCCCGATGCCCTCGACCTCATCCGCCAGGGGGTACGGCAGGGCGACCTGACGCCCGTCCTACGAGCGTACGAACGAGACCTGCAGCGGCCCTTCATCGGCGCCATCCGCGGCGACCTCGTCACTGCCTTGCTCATCCAGATCCAGAAAACCAAAGTCGACGTCGAGGTGGCCATCAGCGGCATAAACTCCATTCTCAAGAGCCAAGAGCTTGTTTTTGCGTATGTGCTATCTATCTGTTCTGCTATTACCCCCTGATGTCGTCCTCATTGTTACTGCTTCCAATCCATCTTGCTAACACAATACCAGCTTCATCGGACTTACCCCTAGTATTCTGGTATCCTACGCAACCGTACAGTGGGCTGCCGGCCTCCTCGGCAGCAGGAGAGGGCTGCGGCAGGGCCAGCGGCGTAGTGAAATCGTCCGTTCTCTCCGGTCAGTCCTCCGCTACCACAGTCGTTATCTATCCCTCGTCCCCCCTCCCTTTTTTCACATTCATCATCCTAACAATCTGATAGAACCATCAACCGGATTCTGATGAGCTCTCCACCATCACAAACTGGGGTCCTCTCATACAAGGATCACGGCCTCCTGATATGCGAGACCGAGACGTTACGGCGGAGAGCCGAGAGAGTCCTACCAGGAGCCATCTACCATGAGTTCCACGAGGACCTGAACGACCTACTGAACGTGAGGTCCGGCATCGCCCACCAGATGAAGGTGGTCGACCAGATCCGGTGGACATACTCTAAGTGGCTCTACTCGTAGACCTTGCTATCACCAGCATCGCATCTGCCTGTTTATATCTATCCTGTACATAGTCTCCCGCCTCTGTAGTAGCTTAGATGGCCCCCAATCTATGCTGAGATAACTTGGCTGCCTGGGCCCTTGTTCCCTGGCAGAGTCCATGTTATCTGCCTAATGCTATAACTACTTTCTAAAACTGAGTACTCCGTCTACTCTTCACATACTCTCCTGCTCGTCTCCCGCCCTTTTTTCCCCTCTGTCGTATCTCTCTCCTTCTGCTGCACTCATCATCATCATCATCGTCATCTACTTCGATCTTCTTACTGTGGTCAATGCCAAGACTAGTGACTTGTTCCTTTTGCGGCAAAAAAAAATAAACGTCGAAACGCTGACTTCATCTTCATGAAAAAAAGCTAACGATAACCAACATCTCGCCAGACCAGCAGAAGACCAGACGGAGACGACGAGGAGGAAAAAAGAAGCAAGAGACAGGCAGGTAGATGACGCCGGACTGCTCGTTAGCCACGCTGCCCCTTGCTGACACACGCCATCTCGGACAGATTCCTACAGCTTCACACCATCGAAACCGACCGGAGATTAGCCATCCTCCCTTCCCGGGCATTCAGACAGCCAGAGACAGCCAGAGAGATAGAGGCTGAGGCACCGAGAGACAGAGAAACAGAGACAGCCGGTCCTTGTTGTCTATCCATCTCACCGTCATTTCTTTGGGGCTCGATTTACCCTGGTTTCGATTTCGCCTGGACGGACCTATCGCATCTCAAAACATAACAGCGTCTCTCTCAAAGCAGCCTCTACGCCAACCGGGCTAGTTATACAGCATCGCTCGCTAGCCAGCCCTTTTCCTATCTTCGGGGCCATTATACGCTATCCCCAGACTCCCTATCGGACCCGTGAATCTTCTACAGACGGCCCTGCACCCTCTCACAGCTTGACGTAATGGCGGGGACACGGAATTACGACTTTCTAGTATGCGTGTTTCCCCCCAGTCTCTCTTTGTTTCCCCTGTTGCTGCCCCTGAGTCCCGTTTGGGCCAGCTACTTGCTTGTATAGACGGATCAAGCGAAGGGGACCTGTGCTAACATTCACCCTCTTACCCCAGATCAAACTCCTTCTCATCGGAGACTCTGGCGTGGGCAAGTCCTGCTGCCTGCTTCGTTTTAGTGAAGACTCCTTTACCCCATCCTTTATCACCACAATCGGCATCGACTTCAAGATCAGAACAATAAATCTCGACGGCAAGAGGGTAAAGCTGCAGATATGGGATACAGCCGGACAGGAGAGATTCCGAACTATCACTACTGCCTACTACCGCAATGCCATGGGCATCCTGCTCGTATATGATGTCACTGACGAGCGATCATTCAAGAGTTCGTACCCTTCCATATCTTCTGGACTTTGTTCTTCGTATCATCTATCGAACTAACAATGAATTAGACATCCGAACTTGGTTTTCGAACGTTGAACAGCATGCCAGCGAGGGAGTGCATAAGATACTAATCGGAAACAAATGCGACGGAGAAGAGAAGCGCGCCGTGACAGTGGAGCAGGGCCAGCAGCTCGCCAACGAACTCGGAATTCCTTTCCTCGAGGTCTCTGCTAAAAATAATATCAACGTTGACAAGGCATTCTACAGTCTTGCCACGGAAATAAAGAAGGACATGGATGTCTTCAAGGCAGAACAGGCTGGCTCCCAGGGCGTCAATATAGACAACCAGAACGGTGGCGCTGGCAGCTCTCTCGGGAAGTCATGCTGCTAGCCTACGCCATGTGAAATCGAAACGGATTCACTGTCAGCAGCCGAAGATATCTATCTCCCTTTTACTCGGGCTGTTTTCACCCCTGGCTTATTGTCCGGTCACTTTTATTCTCACTTTTTATTCTTTATTCATTATATTCTTTTTTTCTTTTTCTCTTTTTATTTTTTGGAGGGCGAGAGAGGCGAAATTCTTATTAAAGAAATATACGAGAGAAGTATCCCGACAATCCATCATGTCTCATTTCCACCTTGTATATTTATTCTTTGTTCATTTTCCCACCCGTCCACCCTGCTCGCGTTGCTTCTTTTCGGCATGGGACCATGTCGTCATACACATATCATATACCTACCTCTCTCCATCCCTTTCCCACCGTCTCCGTGAGCTTCACCAGTTCCTATTCCCGGCTTAATTGTGTCTATTGCTTAGATGGCGTTTGCTCTGTTCCGAGTCTCACCTTTATTCTACATTCTGGTTTCCTGTTTTCTACTTGCTGACTGGTCGTTGGTTGTTCCTCTCGTTTGCTTCATTGCTGTGTGTGATATCTGATAAAGATAACTGGATTGTATCTAATCTATTTTATACATGGTTCACCCCTTATCCGTACATACCTTACATACCATACATTTCTGGTCGAGATGTTTCCTACATATGTACTCCGTATCGGCTAACCCCTAAACTCCACACGAGAAAGATGGTTCAAAAACTATCATCCCAGAAGAGAGCTTCAGCCTTGACCAGCGGTGGTGGATCACAGTAAGCCTCATCTTCGGCTGGTGGGAATTCTTTCATATGCCATACCCTCACAAATCTCCTAGCATCAGATGCGGACTTGAACATTATCCTCCAGTTGCTTACGTCGTATTCTCCGAATTTGGGCTTCGAATGGGCCTTCTCACCTAGAGGAGTCCCTCCGTCCTCCTTCCCGTTGGTCAGGAAGGTCACTTTATCCCAGCCCTCGATAAGATCCCAGGGAACTGATCGCCTTTCCCCGTCCCAGTAAAGAAAATTGATGAGAGACTTTTTTGTCAGGCCGAGGAATGAATCGCGCGAAATGCACATTCGGACTGGGTATCCAGATACGCTCGACAAGGATGGCACAGGCACCGAGGTTTCAGGGGATTGTTCGTCTTTCGGAGCGATGCCAGTTATTGATTCTTGGGTTCTAATGCACGAACCCACCCATTTACTGAATGGGAAGAATTCAGCAGTAAGCAAAGGGAACTGCCAGGGTGCAGTGAGTGTATAGTCTTGCAAAGTAAAGCCCATTGAGCCAGGTATTTCGTAGTTAGACGGAAGGTCGATGCTCGACGCCGGATAGAAAGGGGTTTTGTCTCGAAGTAGCTCGCGCAGCTTGTGTACCTTCTCCTGGTATACAGCGGCCGCAGCAGGGTTCGAGAACAGAAGGATCCAACCATTCATTCGGTCCAACGTCTTTGGGTTTCGAGCTGGAATTACTATTGCATGTAAATGTCAGTTTCATCCCCGGTTGGACCTGTTTATACCACTAGCAGCAGTAGATAATACTCACTCTGTTCCAGTCCTCCCTGACTCTTCCAACCCTGAATATGTTTCCCCGGAGCTAGGATGCGTAGAAAATCTCGCTCTGTCAGAGAAGCCGGAGCTCTATAGAGAATAAGAGCAGTCTTATGAGGCCGTTTGCTCAGGTCTGCATCCGTTATTTGAAGTTGGCCCATCTTATCGACTTGCGCTCCTGCACCTTGACTGGTAGTGGCCGGAACTGCCTCCAGGCCAAATTCTCGCAGTAAATCCTCTCGATCCCGCATTGCCTGCTCCGTAAGAGTGCGATGAGGCCCCTTCTGGGCCGCCTGCTGGGCGGCCTTTGTCTTCAGACCGTTCAAGCCATTGGGTGCATTGTTGGATGTCCGGAGCGGAGCTCGCGTGGAAGTGGACGATGGGCGGTATCTAGCATTTCCGCTAGGCAGGAGTAATCGCGGGGACCATACCAAAGGCCTGCATCGCATTTCGAAGGTAGCGATGAACCGACGGCGTTGTTAACGGCATCAAATCCTTGTCCTCCTCATCTTCGTCTTCTCTTTTTCCCTGCTTTGAATATCCATCTTTGGGCAGTCAAAGTGTCACGTGAGTGAGGCTCTAAAAAGGTTATCAAAAGGAAAAAAGAACATTCTCAATTTCGACATTTACTCCGAAAAGAAAAAACAACAGTTTGACCAGTTAAGCATTTTATTTCTGCTTTCCCTTGACAGCCCGCTGTTTAAAGACCTTTCTTTAACGGACCGCCATTCGAGCGATTTGGGAGGATGGGAATCGCAAAGAAAACCCGCAAGTTCGGCCATGTTCGTCTCCCCGCATGTCCTGGATATTCTATGAACCCATCACTAACTGTTACCCAGGTTAAAAAAATAATCAGCCAAAAGGACAACCGACTGTAAGGCTGCATCATACATGGGATGCTATGTGCGCGATAGAGAGATACTGATGTTCTATTTTGGGATGCAGGAAGCAAAACCAGGCTAAAGCTGAGGAAAAGAAAGCAAAGGCAGACAATGTTGTCCGGGAAATGTATGACCCTCTATCAATCGTGGCGGCCAACTTTGTTCCTTTCTGCGGGTATCGATGCTAATATCATTTTCTTACCTACCTCATGACAGACCTCAAGCTCCGTCTGCACTATTCTTCCAGTTCAATACCTCACTCGCGCCTCCATATTCAATCTTAGTCGACACCAACTTTCTCTCCCACACCGTGCAACATAAACTTGATGTTATACCAAGTATGATGGATTGTCTTTTTGCGAAATGTATACCCATTATCACGGATTGCGTACTAGCCGAGTTGGAGAAGCTGGGGCCAAAATACCGCCTTGCTCTGCGAATAGCAAAGGACCCTCGATTCGAAAGAGTCAAATGTGACCACACCGGCACGTACGCTGATGACTGCATTGTGGACCGTGTCATAAAACACCGAATTTATATTGTTGCGACGAACGATCGTGATCTAAAACGACGGATAAGGTGGGTTTCTTTTACCTCTGATGGCCTATGGCATATAATTATAATTCCTTGTATTAGAGAATACTGACAATGGAGCAATAGAAAAATCCCTGGAGTACCGGTTATGAGTGTTGCCCGGGCTAAATATGTCATTGAACGGCTTCCTGACGCCCCCGAAAAGTGAATATAATCTCGAAAAGTGAGAATTTGTCATTATCAACAGCTGCACCCCAGGCTTGCTAGGGTTTATCAGTCCTTACCCTGTAGCATAACTTCCTGCCCGAGAGTACGTGTCGGTTTTGCCACGGTTAGGGTCGGCAGCTACGACGGACTCGATGTCCATATGCCATGGCTGTCTGTGTTCGCCCTTGGCCATCGGTACCCTCTACACGTTCGTACAGAATTGCGAGGATACTCATAAGCATGCCAACGCCCCCTTAAGACTTAAGAACAGTGTCCATTTATGGGCTCTTTGGATCCCATTGCCAATTATAGAACACCATGATTGAGATTTACCCAGACACGAAGGAATTAGGGGATGAGTTACTAGCGGTACAAAATTTGTAGCATAGTTTCTGCAATGTCGCTAGTAACGTACACAGTATAATGGCACTATTTAATATATCTACCTTATATATTGCTTAGACCATATGACTCAATATATACACAGTCCTCTATATACAGCGGGAAGTATAACAGAGTAGAAGTGAAACAGAAAACGGAACAGTTAAAGATATTCATGTCATTGTCCTATCCAATGCACGCGCGACCTATCCATGGCGATGAGAAGGGCTACAGAATTATTAAACTTAAAATGTGGTATGTTAGAATTGAATAGACGCCTGCAAAATTAGTGCACCAGTTATGATACGGGCGATTGAGCTTCCGAGCTGCCCAGCCTTGGAGTGCTAGCTTCTAAGTAGTCTGAAGCTCGAATGCCGTCATGTTTCTTGTAATGCTCAATATCATCTTCAGCAGACTCATCGTCATGACCGTCGTCTTCGAGGTATGTATCCGTCCATTTGGCAGAGTCAGTCTGCGAAGTCTTTGAGTTCACGCTCAGACTACTCAAATTTCGCTCAAGCGGTGGTGTAGGCTCATTCAGCTCTAATCTTGGACTATTCTGCATTTGCGGCGGGGAATCTGACTGGGGCTCGAGGGATTTCTTGCCGCTGGGGCTCGAGGGTGCGTTATCCTGTATAATATTCGGCGATGTCTGGCAACGTGGTAAATCATGCTGGCCCATAACTTCTTCTCCCTGATCAGTTGCTGGCTCATTCATCGGCTTTGCCCTATCCTCTCGAGACTCTTGATCGTCTGATTCACGGGCAGAGGCAGTATAGCCAAAGTGAGTATCAACGAAATGCTTGACAACGGGCCAGCCATAGGCATTAGCAAACATGCGGCGGACGATAATATTGTTATGGGCATCCGGTTCTAGGCGGACAAGGACTTTCCGCCATGTGAGATCACGATGGTAAGCCCGTGCAATCTTCTCCTCTACTTTCATGCCACTGCTGCCCTTCTGAGGAAGTTCTGTGGGTGTTTTGCTACTCTCAGCGGCACCTGACGGTGAGGCAGGATGCTCCATTGAGGCACTTCGGCTGATATTATTACTTGACGAGCGGAAGATAGTTCGAGGCCTCGTTGGTGGAGGGGGAGGGATATCATCAGGGTGGTAGACCCGATCGTGGAAAATAGTTCTAGGTCGTGAGGACGGGTCTATAAGGTACTCAAGCGGAGGTAGGGGCGGGCTAAGTACGTCGCCGGCTGACTCGAGGATGGTCGTCCTTGGGGGGGTATACCAACCGTCTTCATCATCATACAGCGAGTCGCCCCGGACAAGGGCCTTTCTCACTGGAGCCGAAGTCAATTCAGGCTTACTCGTGGGTGCGGTCTCTTTGCCTGGTGTTTCAACATGGAGAGTCTGCGACCGTTTGTATATCTTCTGGCCCTTATTCTTCTTTTGCGGTCGAAAAAAGGAGAAGAAGCTGTTGACGGGGCCGGGAGATGCAGGAGACGTAGGCGGGCTGGTTGGACTTAACCTCTGCGGCGAAGCTAGGGCCGGGTCACTTTCTGTCTGCAAGTACTGACCGGCAAGGGGCAGTCCAGGTGAGCTCTCTCCGCTGGCTGGACGGGATGTTAAGCGAGGAGACTGAGCGTCCGTTTTGCTACTACTCTCCTGGGCCTTGTCTTCTGCCAATCCAGGGGCACGGGCAACAGCGCGCGCACTTGAGTTGAGCCCGGTCAGTTGGGCCCATCCCCATTCAGCTACAGTTCCGACAAGTCCATTCTCACGCCTTGCTTTCTCTACCCTTTCGAGGCCTCTCCAATCAAGGAAGAGAAGGCAGGATGTACGTAGGGGGACGATGCCATCGTTGACAACATTGGAATATATGGTACGATTCCTGAATCGTTTCAGCACTTCATGGGCAGCCCCACTGGGCAGGACACGGAGAAGTGGCTTTGATCCCGGGTCCTGGGCCTGAGTACGATTGGCATCACTTCCCAATCCTCCTATCATGGCTTCCCATCCACTGCGGACCTTCGAAGGAGCGTTCCACGCCAGGCCGAGATCCTGACCCGTCCGACCAACGAGTCCAAAGTCGAGGGCGAACTTAACATACATGGGGTTTTCATTGCTGAGGCCGAGGAAAGGAGAAGCGAAGGCGACGAAATTGACAGGTCTGATGTAGTTAAAAAAATCTGGGCAGTGTTTCTGTATATATGCAATGGCATATGTCTGAACGAGGCCGCCGAGAGAGTGGCCTACAAAGCTGATGCTAGTGACCTGATAGGCATACTCTCTCTGTCGACAATTCTGGTTTTCATTATCTCCAAGCATCCGGCGAGCCTGTGGCCGTCTGAGCTTGTTCTTGGACTTTAGTGGGAGATATGGCTGGTCCGGGTATGTCATGAGCTGAATGTACTTTGCCAGCCGCTTGCCCAGGTATTGGATGCCACGTTCTGTCCTCACTGCGTTTCCAGGGAATCCTCTGACAATCACATCTTCCTCGTCATCTTCGTCATTTTCAGTAGAATCCGCATTATTTGGATTTTTCTTTCGTTTTCTAGCCTCTTCTCGGGCATGCTTTGCGGCAGCATCGATGCTCTCCTTGAGGTAGAGCATATCAGCACCAAGGTTACTATGTAGTCCATGCGTCAGGAGAACAAAATGTATCTTCTTGCGTTTCTTCTTCGGCTGATCTTGTGGAGGAGAAGAAACTCCCTCCGGACTATCCGAGGTAGAGATATTGCTACTACTCTCTGTCGAAGAAGGGAAAGGCGGCAGATTCCACAAGCTGGTGGTGTCATCTACCCGTAGCTTAATAGATTCTGAATATACTCCTGGCACTCGGCCTGGTCTTTCACGCTGCTGTTTCTTCAAGGGCCCCGGTATGACATGGTCTCGAAGCTGGCCGGGAGGAGGCAAGTTGGCCATGGTGGGAGCTCCCAGCTCGATAGAAGCAGCATCACGGCCCACCAGAAGCTCGTACTGTACCGAAGCCGTAGAGGAAAAGATGATCTCCGACGATATCTCTATTATCCAGGTCACACCCGTTGTGGAAGACGCAGCAGACGAAGTCCGGACATGTTCGGGTACTTGTATGACGGCATCCCAAGCTCCTCCCGGCTTCAGGTTGGGCTCAAACTGCGGCAGGCCGTCGGCTTCATGTTGGTCAAACTTGCAGTTGGGATCAAAGGCAGCTGGACGGCAAGAGACGTGTAGCGCATAGGGGCCGTGAAGGTAGGCAGCACGCAGCGGAGTGGCGGCGGTGTTGCGGAGCTTGACATAGAGCTGTGCGGGCGTGGGCAGGATGCGGTCCGCCGAGGGCGTATAGGTCAGGGTGTACCTACAACAGTCAGTACGGCTTCTCCCGTGGATCAGCAGTAACATACCTCGCTACCTCGCCAACCTTGAGGCTGCCGGCCTGGTGGACGAGCAGCATCTCCGCTGCCCGCCGGGTCTCAGCAGGAGGCACACTCCAGCCACGCAGGGTACGAAAGGTCGGATGGTCTTCAGGCGAGAGGGAGACGCCGTTGCTGGGAGTCTGCGAGAGCGAGTACGTCCGGGGAGTCACCAGCATCTGCTCTCGCACTTGTCTGTCTGCGCTCGAGCTCAAATCTTCCAATTGTCTGCTTTTCTGGGCAGTTTGTTTGTTTCTCTTCGTCGTTCGTTCATCGTATTTTGATAGTTAACTAGATAAGGTGAGGCTGCGAAACTGTATTACACGTATTTTATGACAGAGTACGCAACGAAGGTGACAAGACGTGAATATCAATTACGTCACCAGCTGGCAAAACTTGCGTTGCGAAAGTCGAATTTGGATGGCTTCATCTTGACTGGTTTCGGATCCGAGGGCAGTGTCAGGCAGCAGGATGATCCTCCCGTCGACACAGACCCTTCGCCAGCGCTCGTCCAGCTCCTGCACCCGAATCCTGACGGCCTCGACGGCGGCGTAGGCAACCTCTGGCTGGTTAACGTGCTTGCCGCCCTGGTAGGCCAGTGCCATCAGTTCGCCGGCTCTCTCTGGTGATACGGGGCCAAAGTGCACGATGCGCAGCTGTTTTTCAAGCGGTGCTGAGGCGGGCGAGATGGTAAACCCCTTTTCAAGCTGCGAGGCCAGCGTAATGAGCACATACATATGCGATGGCCTGTCGACCACTTCTTCTTCCCCGTCAGCTTTAACGAGGATAACGGAACCGGAGTAGCTATGAGAGGCACTTCCGTCTGCGGGCTGAAGCAGTTCCTGGGCAGCCATCTTGAACCTGTCGACCCCGAACCGCCTGTACTCAGCGGTATCACTGTCTGCCACCAACGAAGCATGGAGACCCCAGCTCACGACCACCACCCCGTATACATCTGCCCGCTCTCCCGTCGAGGCCACTGGCTCTCTCCCTCGTCCTTCATCCGTCACATACATTGAGCCAGGCGGGAATCTCACACAGAAGGCTGGGAGGTCTGCGGGTGAGCCTCGTACCAGATTTGACAGCCCCAGGGTAGAGTCAGCCAGCAGACCCGTAGAATTGGCCAGCCCGTTGCCCGTTCCCATCGGAACAAGGCAGACAACGGGTCTGACAAGCATAGAGGTAGAAGAAGAACCCCATGGAGCTTCCGATAGGACGCGTATAAGGTCGACAAGGCCGCCATCACCAGACATAAGGATGATTGTCTGCTGAACTCCGGCCAGCGCCTGGGGGAGGAAGACGGTCCTTGCCAGGCGAGTGATCGTCTCCGCCGACTCAGTTTCATGGACCGTATAGCTGCCGTCTAGCTTCAGCCGCGAGAGCAACGGCTTGACTGCCTGCTGGAAGAAAGACGAGGCTTTCTGAGTGCCGGACAGTCTCGAGACGATGACATGAAGCCGGACGCCGGCTGCGAGATGAGAAGGCCGGCCATGGCAGAAGGACGGGTATCTGGTCAAGGATGAGAGGCCAGACAGTTTCAGTGTCTCTAGACGGGCGGATTTCCCGTCTTCATCATGCTTGACGTAGAGCAGGCTGTCTTCCTCCTGTTGGTTTGATTCTGTGCCTTGTATTATGGTGACGATGCTGTCTGCCGGCACTTTCGAGTGCGCGTCCTGAGTCTGCCATTCAAAGTAATCTGAAGAGAACCTGGCGGTAGAGGGGACTCCATCTACCTGTCCCTGCGCGGCCTCTTGCATCCTGGTATATATATATATATATATCTGGTGATGATATGTGTTGGCGTTGGTAGTCGCTGTAGAATATTTTTTATTTAGTTACATATTTAGTGGATGGTTAACTAGCTGGTTAAATAAATATCAAAACACTGCGGCTGAACCCACCCCATATTAGGTAGTTAGTTATTTAAATATACATAAATAAATTTCTCTACACCGTCCAGCTACCAATTAGCCATACGGGCACCGTCTCACTAAACTAGCTAATTATTTACACTTTCCCTTATTCACCTAACCCTTCTATAACCAGCGGTGCGTGGTGTTTAGGTCGGTGTCGCCAGATTACACCTCTGTCAAGTTTTTTCCGGAAGGCTTTCAGACTGGTAGTATCTTGAAACTCTCTTTGGCAACCCGTAGTTATCGCGATATTTGTTATTGTAATACTTTTCCAAGCCCTATATCAGAGCATATTTCAACAGTTTTTCAACAAGACTTCTATCGATATGTTAATGCCTTAGTGTAGTTGGATGTAGTTCATATGGCCAAGTTCGACTCATTGAGGGTGAGGGTCAGAGGTACTTTGCAGAATATCATACATATTACTGCTAGAGACTTGTCGCCTCCGCATTAACGCTGGAGGGTTTGCCGTCTTCTTCTCTCTCTTCCTCTTCTTACGGTTTAGACAGCTGGCCTGTGTATCGGTTTTATTATCTTCGGATTCCTTCCGTCGCACCAGGTCTACTTCCACTGCCTGCGTTTGACTACTGGCTAGGCGGTCAAATAGGGCATCGATAGTATCAGCTAAAATATGCCCGTCTTCTTCTGTACGAGAGTTGAGTGATATGCCGGCCTCAGATAATGCGTGCAACGGCGGGAGCGCAGCTAACACATCAAAGAGCGGCTCTCCCATACTTCGGACTCTAGCATCGCCCTGGAACAGTGAAACGTGTAGAAACTGTTTGAGCATGCGTAGAGAATAGAGTGTACACAATATCTGAGCCCGCAGATGGAGGTCATCCCACGTTAGAGAATCTCCCGTGTAGCTAAATTGGAAAAACTCGATTATGGTGCCTGCTTTGGGAAGACTGAAGTGTTCCATGCCTGAATAAATGTGATATAGAATGTAGGGTATCCAGGAGTATATGTTTTTGTCCTCGAACGAGAGGCGAACAGACCGTATCTGTTCGAGCAGCTCCTTAGCAGCTGTGGCAAGGGCACCCTCGTCCAGTAAAGTGATGACAGTTGGAGCTATTCTCTGGCCTCTCCGTGCATGCTCGAGGACAGTATCTCTTCTCCTATCCCTTGGGAAGGATAGATTGAATATAGAGTATGCAATAGTTCTGATATTATTGCATTCAACCCAGGCACACCTCCGGTCATAGTTTTCTGTCATCACGGGCAGATAGGAGTACAACCGGCTCCCATCTGGAGCGAAGCTTGGGTGATAATATTGAGCTACCAGCTCTGAGACCTTGGAGTCCAAAAGAGGAAACTCGTTGCTCCTATCACTGTCCTTCATTGAAAAAGGGCGAGCGTTGTATTCAGCTAGAAACTCACCGTAAGACGAACTCACTCCTAATCTCTTCTCAGCGGCCCGACACAGCTTTGAAATGGCTGACCACTTCACATATGGGTCCAGCTTTATTTCGTATCCCACTCTCAGAAGGTTTCTGATGCCTAGTTGACTGGCAATTTTGGAAGGGCGGATTTCTTTTCCTCGCACGCCAAAGGATGGTATTTTCGATTGCCTTTCGCCGGTACCTGGGATCTCGTACATCTCGATGGACTCTAAAAACACAACAGAGCCGTCCGGCCCAAGATCATGTATAGCAAGGTCTGAGTCTCCTGTTAGTACCGCAGAGCCTCGATCTCTCGCAGTTTCAGCGCAGAAGAGATCCGCCTCTCCCAAGACGACCTCTGTTATATCTGCCCATGGAAACAAGGGGCTGTGGGTTCCCTCGGTGCCGTTGAAGCTGTGGTAGCACTCGATGGATTGCCAGTCCCACCGGTACTTCAAGTCCTCGGCAACAGTAGCAACCATGAAGGGGTTATCGGGCAAGGTGTAGAACTTGGGATTTACCAAGCGACGGCTGAAGAGCAGCTTAGTGTCGAGCGATGGCCGGCCTCCTGCCACAGTGCCGCTCTTAAACCCACGCTTCTTTGCATGACAAACTTGCTGCAGCTTCGAGGCGAGCTTTGCCATCCTCTCCAGGCGTATTTCCCGCTTTGACGGCGGAAGGGCTCCATCAAAGTAGATTTTCTCTCTGTTATTTAGATTTAGTTAACCCAGGCCAGGCCGGCAGGTATGTCAACCGGGTATATAAGTACATACACGGTGACACCGACAGCACGGAGATAGAGCAGCATCTTCATGACTCCAACGCTCACCTCGTCGCTAGCAGGCTGAGCAGAGAAGGGGTTGAGATGTTGCTCCATGGCCGCCATGAGGCAGTAGTAGACATGGTAGACCAGCGCAGGACCATCGATAACCACAGAGGCGATGCTTCGGGTATTTTCCTGGTCCTGAGGCGCTGTTTGCCCCAGCCAGACGGCTTCTTCGTACCGTAGAAGGTGCCCTTTGAGACGTGGAATGCCCATCTCGGCAGATATTTATTGTTTTGCTGAAGCCTTCGTGTTTTGGTTTGTGACTCAACCAGGGTGCTAAGTCTTGGTGTGATCACGGGCAGTATCTAGGCTCTCTAGATATCAAGGATATCTATTCGTTCATGGCCTATTTAAGTCAGGGTTCATTTCAAGGGCGAGTGCGTACTGGAGCTGAACAGCATAAGCTTCGTCGTCTGCTTCTTGCTCACGCCTCCTATCAACCACTCGTTAACCATCCGACTACATGATAGTTATTAAAATGGATAATATTTAATTGATGCACAGTAAGAAAGTTCACAAGAAGAGTATTTGATTTGTACGGTAATGGATAGAGTAGGGTAAATTATACAAAGAGTAATAATAATGTTGAGTAGCATCCGTCGAGTCCATTCTCAATTGCGTGTATTTCGGCCCCCATCATCTCTTTTGGCGAGTGTTTCTTTGATTTCGGTTAGGGTAGTTGACATCGTCTGTAAGGTAACGAGTATTTCATTGATTATTTCGAGTGTACGACTAGTGCTGGAGCATTAGTATACCTCATATAAGAATACCTTTTATATAACATATACTTACATGCCATCTTCTCCTTTTCTCTTGTATCCGAAAGTGAACGACTTGAAAGAGTTTATAGTGCATCTAATTATAAAAACAGATCATTAGTATACCACAACTGATAGAAGGATGTAGGGTTAATATTACGTCGGGCAGAACGGTTGGATTGAGTAAAGACTTAACGCAATCAGAGTAGCATGGATGATATAGAAATATAACATGTTGAGTGCCCAGTTAGTTATTGTTTGAGTTTTGGGTATTGTTCGAGTTTTGAGTATGGTTGAGCTCCTTTGGTATCGTCGTTATCGTGGATGTTGTGATGTTGTTGTTGGTTGTTTTTTTTTGTTGTCTTTGGTTGTTTATGAAAAATAAAAGGGAGTCTGAGGATGCCTTCACCAGACTTAGGAAGGCACACTTCGGGGAGTTCTGGGGCGAGGCAAGCGTAACTAACTAAACCAGCTAGAAAAAGAAGCGACGACATACCTGCTACCATTGGCACGAAAACTTCGATGACCTGATTCTCTCTCATTCCTCCGAGCATGTTCTGGAAATCTACTATACGGAGGCGGCGGGTCTGATGGCGTAGAAGACATGTTTGATAGATATGGTGTAAGTGATACACTGGATAACTACTACAGAGTGGATTTCAGTAATGGGCAGTCAAGAAGGGGCCATCAGCTCTTTATATACAGCTAAGCAATAGTTGTGGCAACGTTAAATCGTAGTTTGTCTTTGCGTCATTGATCGATGATTTAAACACTCCAAGAGGCAAAAAACATTGGACATAGCCTAGTTTGAGACTAGCTGGCACCTCCATCGTCTCTGCATTATTCTATGAGTTGCGGGATATCATGGTGCTGATGGCTCTGGTGTATAGTTATATAAAGGTTGACAGTCCATTCATTGCCTATCAAAAAGTACTAGGTACCTAGTTACCCAGGTTAGATATTTGAACTCAAGAGAGCAAAAGAAAAAAGAGAGCATCTTGGCCAGCGTCATAGCCAGTTAAAACTACTTATAATATTTAACTGTCAATTGCCTCTATAACTATTTCCCCCCTTCTTATCATCGAGATCCTGCTGCCATCAACTGAGAACCATCTAGACAGACAGACATCCAGATAGTTAGGCAGATAGGCAGTCAAGATGGCCGAGACGCCCGACCTGGCTGAGATTCACGACTTTCTGGTCGACCTGGCCAGCAAAGCGGGCGAGATGATCACCAGCGCCCACCCGCTCATCAACGGCGTTGGTTCGAAGAAGAACAGTAAGACGACTCGAGGCTTTCTCTCTCCCGGCCATAGGCTACTTTGAAGTACTAATGGCTGGGACAGGCTCCGACCTGGTGACAGAGACAGACCGCGCCGTCGAGGCTGTCGTCTCAGAGGCCCTGCGTACAAAGTACCCTCACTACCAGTGCGTCTACCCTCTTATCTACATCAAAACAAACATAACTACCTTATATATAAACAGTCAAGGTACTGACTGAAGAGCATCTAGATTCATGGGGGAAGAGACGTATGACCCCTCGAAGCCGTTGACAGGCGAGCCAACCTTCGTCGTAGACCCGATAGACGGCACCGCCAACTTCGTCCACGGCTTCCCCTCTGCCTGCATCTCGCTCGGCTTTGCCATCGACCGGCAGCCCGTCGTCGGCGTTGTCTTCAACCCTTTCACCAGCACGCTCTACAGCGCCGTCAGGGGCCGTGGAGCATTCATGAACCGCACTCGCAAACTACCGCTTCGAGGGGACGACGTCGAGCCACTCATGGGACTCAGTAGTGCTCTGGTAGCCGTAGAATGGGGCTCAGACCGCTCGGGGCCAAACTGGGAGGTCAAGCTGCGTACGTTTGAGAGCTTGGGCAAGTCGAAGGAGCAAGGCGGCGCGATGGTTCACTCGATGCGCAGCATGGGTTCGGCTGCCCTGAACCTGTGTGCCGTGGCTTCGGGCGTGCTGGATCTCTACTGGGAGGGCGGCTGCTGGGCCTGGGACGTCTGCGCCGGCTGGATCATACTGGCTGAAGCCGGCGGGATCATGGTCGACGGAAACCCGGGCCAGTGGCGGGCAAAACTCGACTCCAGACGATACCTCGCCGTCAGGGGCTCTCCAGAGGGCCAGGGCCAGCGCGAGCTCGTCCAGGAGTTCTGGTCGCACATCGGCGGTGCTCTGGAGTACTAGCTGCCCCCCGGATACTTAGATGATCTTGTCTCTTTTCCATTGATGATTGATGCCTATAGATAAAAAACATAGTTACGACATAGTGATATATATCTATATGATAGACATGGTAGTTGCTTACCTAGGTATATATATTTAACAACGGGGCTTGCAGAAAACGCAGACCGCGGTCCTCACACAGGTAAAGTCGGGGAAGATAACTAGGCCTTCTTCCTTAAGCTTATGAGGGTACCAGATATTAACTCTTTGATGTGCTCCTATAGAAGGGCTTAGGAGAAGCCTACTAGATAAGCACGTCACATTCTTTTATAAGAACTGGGGAGATAGGGATCTCCTTAAGCTTAATGGAAGCTTAGACTATGAAGCCCTATTCTCAAAGGATAAGGGGGTTAGGAGACTAACAAAGTGCCCGTGATCACACAAAGGCTTAAATAGCACCCTGGTTGAGTCACCCACTCATTTTTCGGGGGTAACTCCCAGTTCAAATGGATTGGCAGTTCAAAGGAAATATTTTAATAGAAATAAATATATCACAACAACACCTAACTAATTATTAAATCCTATATCTAGGGTATTAAACTTATTATCTATTAATTTATTAAGTCTTTAAAAGATATATTATTATATTATAAAAGACTAAGTAAATAACTATTTTAAAATTCTTAAAAATTCTTAAAAGATAGATGCGAAAAATGAGTGGGTATGGCGGAAGATAGCGACCATGCTAGTTATCATTATCCGTTTTTAATAAGTTACCTGATACCGTTGGCACGAAGACTTCGACGATTTGCTCATTCTTGCGAGTATATTCTGGCAAGTCTACTGTAACTTACGGAGGCGGTGGGCCTGATGGCGTAGAAGACATATTTGATAAATATGAGACAAGTGATGCACAGGATAGCTATAACTAAAGAGTGGACTTCAGTAATGGGCAGTTAAGGAGCGGCCATCAACTCTTTACATATAGCTAAGCGATAGTTGGGGCGACATTAAATCGTAGCTCGTCTTTGCGTTATCGATGGACGATGGTTTAAACACTCCAAGTGGTAAAATACATTGGACATGGCCTCAATATCGAGTTCAGATGGAAGGAGATATAAAAATCATGCTTCTTTAATAACACCAGGCCGTAACAGCTTGTCCTCCTTTCCAAAGACCGAGACGTCTTTGACAATCCCAATAAACCTACGATGGTTCTCTCTAGAGTTTCCAAGACGTGATCGGAACATGCGGAGGAGATCGTTGCTCAATATTCCGGTTGCAGGGATAGCAGCATGGATTTCAGATGCAGTGGGGAATGAGGCAGGCAGTGATGCCCCAGCGCCCGGGTTGGCTCCCGAAACCGAGCCTCGTCGAGATCCGGAACCAGATGGAGTAGAAATGCCTGTATCGATCAAGTTAGCTACGATGTCTAATGCATAAAGGGTATAAAGGGGAAGTTTATATATAGTGAAAGGAACTGACCACGAGAACTTTCAGGGCTGCTGGCTCGGCTACCGGCCAGAGCTCTGCCAGCAGGGGTTGGGCTTCCTGCGCGGGAACCAATTGGAGTCCCAGTTTTTGATTTGGCACCTGGAACGTTAAGTTTCATTCGCTTTGCCATAGTGCTATCACTGATTTCGGCACTGGAGTTAGCGGCTTTCTCAACATCACTTGCCGACCCTGCCTTCCCAGGACCAGTGCGGATACGTTTCTTCGCTCCCGCAGAAGCTTGAGTAGTGCTGGCCGCTGCATCGTTTGCGTTAGCAGCACCAGAGCTCTTCCTCTGGCCTTGGGGAGCTGGGGAGATAGGTCTAGAGGCCGGTTGGGAGTTGGGGACCTGGGCTGAAAGATGCTTGTTCTTCGGTTTCTTGCGCGATGAATCAGTGCCACTGGCGTCAGATAGGTTCGGGGATCCTGGCCGTTTGCGAGCGGCGGCTTGTGCTCTCTTCAATGGGTCAGTGTGTTTCGGGCGCCCTGATGGGGTATTAGTGCCTTTGGTAGATGTTCCCGAAGGTTTGTCGGACTGGTTCTCCTTCCGCTTAGGATCTTCTTCAGACTTTTTTTGTTCCTCCTTTTGGCGCTCTAGTTCAGATTCATCCGTACTCTAAAAATAATGTTAGTCAAATACCGAAACTAGGACACGATGTAAAGAGTAGTTTACCTCATCATCCGAGTAAGGATTTGCATCAGACCCGCTACTGTAATCAAAGTTTTTCTCTCGTCGCTGTAACGCCTTTCGAACCTGTTTGCCAAAGCTTTTAAGATCCTCCTTTTGCTTCCTCTCCAGGTGCTCTTCTTCGTCATAGTCTTTTTCATCCTTAAGGTCAAAGATGTTTGCCTTTAGCTGGTCCTGCTTGATACGCTTTTCCGCTGTTTTGGCATCTTCATCGTCATCAAAGAGACCAACATGTTCCTCGTCATCTGCAAACCTATCTTCGTCGAAGTCCATATCGTCGCCCTCGAAACGATCAGTGACTGGCGCGTTTCGAGATTGTCCAGTGTATATTTTTCGCTGTCTAGCATATCTCTGAAGCTCCCTCTCTTGAGCCCGTGCTTGCTCCTTTTCCATGAACCACCTGGGATCTCTAATCTTCCTTGCCATGTGTTTCTCCGCTTCTTCGATGGTCAAGACTTTAAACTGATTCTTGGCAGTAAACTTGTACCATTTGTCAATGGGTATCATTCGCATCTTTCCACTGCGTTCCAAAACAAACGTGGCGTATGTCTCCGACATGGCGGCCTCATATTTTCCAACCCAGATATTTTTATTATCAAAATCCTCCAAATGCCAAGGTAAGGCCTCCTCATATTTAATCTGGGACTTTGCAGCTTCCTCAGGTGTGATGGTAGATTTAAAAACCTGTTGTGTTCGCTGTTTGGGGGCATTCACCTTCTTTAGTCCTGAATTGACGGAGGGAGCAATCTGCGCCAGGTTATCCTCACGTTCCTTAGCACGTGCTTCCTTCTTAGCTTCCATCTCCTGGCGTTCAACCTCAGTCAGGCCGGCGTAAGGGTCACGGAACCCCCGTCGAGGATTTACATCTTCTTTCTCATTTCCGGCTGGGGGAGTGGTCGTTGCTCGAGGATCTCGGCGCTGCAACCGTACAGGACGTGTAAATTGGGACTCGTCTCTGGGGTCCACGCTCTTCTTTGATATCAGCTTTGCGATGTGGTGTCTTAATCCCTCTCTTAGCGCACGTTTTGTTGTAACCAACGGATAGTCCGAGTAGGTCTCTGAGAGCAGGGGGCCACTGAAGCCGTTGGTGGTAAGATCGTCGGCGCTAGGGATCGGTTTCGGGTGTGGTAGTGTGTTGGCTGGAGGTTGGAGTCGTGGAGGTTGGAGTGGGAGGGTTGATGTCCCGTTTGCGGTCGTAGGTCGAACCTGGCCTGGTCCATACCCTTGGGGCTGGCCTTGACCCTGAGGCTGGCCAGGCGCAGTAGGCCGTGGGATAGGTCGCTTCTTCGGTCGAACAAGTGGATCGGCTGCCTTGGGACGCCGTCTGATCATGAACGGTCCATTTGGACCTCCCGGAGGGGTTCTACCCAAAGGGGGATTTGGGGGAGTGGTTGAACTCATGATTGAAAGCGCTGGCTATTGGCTCAGGTGGTAAAAATGGCCAAAACTACCATTGGAGCTGGCCGTGGAAGCTCCCTTGTGAGCTCTCTGTCTGGCGGTTGCTTCTCCGTACTCGGCTGTGACGAGCGCGAAACCTGCGACAGAAGGGTCAAAGGTGTCCACAGCGTAGTAAATGTCCTCTTTTTGTAAAAATGTATCTGTATCCTCTGTTATCTGGAGGATGGGTGTCTGTGTGGTCGAGATGTTCGATATTTTGTGATATTCGATGTTGCTGTCGGTTTGTCAATTGTTTCTGCTTCTTTTGACGTCGACGACGACTAGAGGCGTCACATGAACAGTGACTAAGAAGTTTGTCAGCAAGCCGTCGACGCCAAAGATAACTTTTGGTGAAGATGAAGTCGGAAAGAAGACAAGAAGGATATGAAAAGGCAGGAAGAAGATTTAGTCAAAGGCTCGGGGACGTTGTAGATGATATTTATCCTCTATGAGGAGCCGAGAATGCCGTATACCCCAGAGGACAGCCTGCAGACCTCAATAACCAAACACACCATTAAGCACCAAGTGAACAATACAGCCTTTGTTATTTATATAATCACCTCCAAGGAAATACCTTGTCCCTATGAATGGCCTTCCAGCTAATTCCATACTTAAGGAAGTCCTCCTATGAGAATGAGAACAAAAGATAGCCCTTATACCTTCTATTTCACTAGACAGCGTCTTTTGATATAGAGACGTTCGAGACCAAATCCACCCACTAAGTGAGAGGACAAAGGATACACTAAGAGGACAGAAGGAGACCGAAGAGGACAGAAGAGAAAAGGGCTCTAGTGAGAAATTTCTGACCTGGCGCACGAGAAGGAGATTTCTTGTGAGAGAGCAGGCATCCCACTAAGGAACCAACCCTACATTTATAAATAGAGACTTCCTGTCTATCCGCTTGACTTCTTTCTTTCTCATCATCTTCTTTTCGTCCTTCTAATATATCCTTCACGTCATTTCATTTGGTTTCTTTTGTCCTTTCCCGTTATGGAGCCAGTCCTGTCCCCAGACCAACCGCCTACTGCTAATGCAGATATGGATTCAGAGGATGAACTGCTTGACTATAGCACGGTGTCCTGGTCTTCTCACCGTGACCCTCTTAAGCCCTGTTTGGTAGACACCCCAAGGAAGCTGACAGACGGCTTTCCCGAGGCACGCGTCGACGCCCCATCCAGAGACTCAGTCCCATCCGAGCACTCGATGCCAAAAGAGTGGGAGGGTCCCGGGACCATCGCCCATCTCACTAAAAACTCAATGAGGAGGTTCCTGAACCTGCCTCCAGAAGCCCACCGGCGCCTCCAGCGTGCCAGTGCCCAACTGGCTGCTGAATATATGCTTGTCAGAGGCGCAGCAGAAATAGTTAGCCAGTCATCCGGCCACCAGCAGCATGGCCATGGCCATCAGCCGCCATTCAACATCCAACCCGATTCCGCGGTGCATCAATATGAACTAGCTCGTTTCGAGCTTGACCGTCAAGCCGGTCTTGTTCCCAAGGCTAAACCAGTGCCTGCTGGGCCGACAAGGATCAAACCAGAGATCCGGACTCACGAAATGGCTGAATATCCGTACCTGCATCAAATTGTCTCTGATATACCATCCTGGGTCATCTCTCGCAACAGACTTGAGCAAATGGAGGAGTTACGTGTCATGCTGTGCAGCTGGACACTCGATGCTGTCATCGACAAGCTGAGACCAAACTCGCAAGACTCCCAGAGCGGGCCTGTCTCGATTGCCCTGCAGTGCTTCGGCAGCTATCGTTCGGGTTATGCCCTTGCTGAATCCGAAATGGATCTTATTGTCATCGCGGAGAACTTGCCTGCTTATATCAAGCAGGATCTGCCCCTTATCATGGCTCAGGCATTTCAGGCCCATGGCCTTGCACCCTATCTTCTACCTAGCATCGAGAATGACCGTTCCATGTTTCTCCGTGTCTGCCAAAGCCCATCCAAGCAGTTCAACCAGAGGCTTGAATGGGAGTACCAGGACCTGGGAAAGGCCAAGGAGTTGAAGGCATTCGCCATCTCACCTCTTGCCTGCTGCCATAAAACAACCCCAGCACTACATTACAATATCTACTTTGATCGGATAGAGACACTGGCACATCGAACCGATCTTCTAAGAGGCTACAGGGCCTGTGACGACCGCGTCCACCAAATGACACTGGTAGTGAAGCGATGGGCAAAAGCACGCGGAATCAATAACCCGTACAATGGAACCTTGTCTTCATACGGATACACTCTCATGGTGCTTCACTATCTGATGAATATCGCGTACCCGCCCGTCATCCCAAACCTACATAACTATGCATTACCAGAGGGTGCTACGGAGCACGATACCTTCTTCACGCGCAATCCTAGATTGATCTCACGAGAAGCTGCAAAGGGCAAACTTACAACCAACAGTCAATCAACTGCCTCCCTTCTCCATGGTTTTTTCGCCTACTACTGCTCGGTCTACTATGACCCCATCCTGTTTCCACGACGCAAAATTGGGCCATGGTTCCATTGGAAAGAAGAGGTGGCTTCTATCCGCGGGCCGTGCACTAAGGTATCAAAGGGATGGGTAACTTACTGCTACGACGCGAACGGCACTTTGCATAATAACCTACTTGCCATTGAGGATCCCATTAAGCGAGACATTAATGTTGCGGATACAGTGACGCCGACCGGAGTGTCTTTGATACGAGACGAGTTTACACGAGCATTCCACATTATCTCGATGGCCAGACCAGTGCCAGGCACAGATTTGGTGTGGCAGACGAAGGATGGGGAAAGATGCGAGGATCTCTTTGATGAGCCAACTGCCCGGATGAAGCTTTGATGGCACTTTTTATAAGTCTATCTTTTTCTATGCTGTTGATAAGATTTGTTTTTCACTAAATTGTATTTCCATACACGGGTGCTTTGAAACATCATAGAAAAATACAGCACAGCACACTCGTATCACTTGTCCGAGATCGAAGACTCCCTGGTATCCTCCCATCTCGTTTGCACATGTAGCCACCATTTTTTCAACGCAGAAGAATCAATACCCAAGCTATTTAGCCTTTCTAGCTCGGTAATAAACCACTCCTTATTTCTACAGTCCTTCTCATATGCGTTCAGGCTAATGCCATCCCACTCATGCGTCTTTAAGCCTCTAAACAACGCTACGGTGCCTATGGCCGGGTGAAACCTGGCTGCATCTACAAACACACTCATCGATATACCCACAGTCCCGTTCGCCGTCATGCTGGGCGGTGATGTAGACGGTAACGAGGCAGTAGAAGTGACAGATGAGCGGCGTCTATCGATGATGTCGATTATGGTGGGATCAATGAGGCGAAGGTCCCTTTTGGGAGGCATATGTGTTCGTTTTATCACTTGCGGGGAGATCCAGGATATCACTGCGATGACATTGCAGGCGTAGTTCCTCTTGGGGAAAGGGATGCGAGGGGCAAGAAGGTCCGAGAGTGTGAGAACTTTCAGAGAGCTGGACAACAGCGTAGTAGACGGTGATGTTGCCCCTGGAGAGTAGTATTGAGATATATCTCGGATATCGCCTTCGCTATCCTCATCTTTGATGTCGTCTTTCATGGCTTCTTCAATATCCTCAACTTCTGCCCTGAATTCTGCCAACTCATCTCTCTCAGATGTTTTCTGTCTCTTATGCAGTCCTAGTAGATCACTATCACCGTCTTCTTCGCCCGATATTGCGCCTGCATCTCGTTTGACAGGCGAATGCTCGTCCTCCAGTTTCTTGAGCCGTATATCCATTTTATAAGGAACGGCTCGTTTATACCTCGCAACAGCCAGGAAGATAACTCGGCCAGGCCGAGCACATGTAGAAAGCAGCCTGTTGGCTGTACGTAGCTCGTAATCTTGGACATCCAGCACCGTCCCAGGCGTCAGTTCACCTTTGTTGCTGGAGGCTAGGACGTGCAGCTCGCTCTTGAGCAGCGCCTGGATGGTATACTCCCCATCACTTAGGAAGATCCTATACGCTTTATACAGGGTTTCGTATTTATCGTTGTTATGGCCTTCCTCGTCTTTGCGGACGGTCACCTCGATAACGCGCTCGACTCGAAGCAGCAACTTAGGCGGGGGACATCGTGTGCGTAGGAGTTCGGCGATACACGGTCTGACCTTAGGGTCCTGCAGCAAATTAGCGGTCTTTCTCTTTATCCAATAACTAGTGGCTTGGTTGCTTACCATTCCAGGATATCCATGGCGTAACTAGAGGGGTTGACGGTAGTTGAGAAGTTGATACGGAGTACGGAGTAATTAGCAGTGCATGGTTTGTTGTCCTAAGCAACTAGGCAAAGTATTGAAAAGTTAAACACAAACATATCCTCATCTATTGAACTTTTGTATGTACATTGTAAATAAATAAACAAATTTGAAGCATAGAAGATTAAAATACGTCTACGACCTTCTCTTCATCGGCATCGCCAGGCCGATCCTCGAGTTCAAGTCTAGCCTTCTCGATGGCAGCCTCCGTAGCCTCCCCTTCACCCTCCTCGTCCCGCATGATGACTTGCACCAGCCGATCACAGGCCTCTTGGACAGCTTCGTTGTTGGTATGTAGATGGCACTCCCTGATCAGAGGATAGACCTGCACCTTTCGAAGTATGTCTCTACCGTCCCTAGTGGAAGTCAGCAGGAGGAGCGTCTCGAGGTGGGCGGTGAGGATGTCCGGGTCCGGATCACGCTGTTTGTCCGGCGGCAGCAGCTGCAGGTCCGGCAGCATATCGGAGCTCTCCTCATCAGTGAACTCTTCTGGCCCTGCAAGTGGGAGGAGGATGTAAGGCAACAGGTTGACCTGGTCCTCCGACATGAGGGCCGGGTGAGCGGAGATGTCAAAAGCGACGTTCTTGATGGTAGAGGCAACTCCCCTGCGTCGGATGTGGCTGCGGTGTTCGGTGAAGACGGTCAGCTTGGTGATGGGGATGACGCCGTCATATTCCTGCTCAGTGACGAAGTAAGCTCGTCCTTCTTCGAACTTGGAGATGTCGGCGAAGAAGTACGAGAGGTAGTCGTACGTCTTATATTGGTCCGTGTCCTTGCCTCCCCCCTTTATAAAGCAGTCCATGAGCTGGTCCATGGCCTTCTTGGAGGTTGACACCCCCTCTGGCGCTGCTCTCTCTAGGCCGACGATGCGCTTGATGCTATCTGACTTGGCCAGGTTTGCCAGGAGCATGGTGATCTCGCTTGCCGCCTTTTCCTTTGGGTTCTACAGAACAGTCAACAGTTAAACGGTGGCCTGTAAGAGCAAACATTAACAAGCAAATAATAAGACAGAACACCTACATACTGTGACTTTCTTCAGCAGGGCCTCAAGAAAGGCATCATCCTCCGCCAGCTCCTTGAGCACTTCATCGTCCGCTGACAGGTTGATCAGGATGGTGAGCGCATCTTTCGCAATCGGCTGGCCATAGATATATCAGATATTGTTCATTGAAAATGCTCCAAAAATAAAAGATTCTGAGGACTTTGACGCACTGGGTAGTCCCGAACGAGCAGCTTGAGGTCCCTGACGGGGAGCAACTGGTGTCTCTTGAAGAGTACGGGCTGGGAGGCCGAGTAGCCGACGAGGTTCTCACATGCTATGCATCCGCCAGTCCGTCAGTATAACCGTATAACGATGAGATATAAGAGCAACAGAACGCAAGGGGCCTACCTATCTGGCGGATCTGGGTGTTTCCATGGTGGAGGAAATCAACCAGCTGGGGAGTCGTTAGTTACCCTGGACAGAGGAAAGCGGAGGGGAAGAAGAAGTAGAAGAAGAAGACAAAACCGACCTCCTCCAGCTCCGTGGGCATGTTGCCTGTCCTTTCTCTTTCTGTCTCTCGACTGTTTATCCCGAATACTCGACTGTGGAAGACTTTCCAGCTGGCTAATTAAATAGTTGTCCAAAAAGTTATATATCTTTAACCCCGAGGGGAAAATAATTTAGTTATTTATCGTGGGAGCCGCAAAATTCACTTCTTGGCCAGCGTCACTTTTTTCAGCTAATTAACTAGTTACCCGTGATTACACCAAGGCTTACCACCCTGGTTAAGTCACCCACTCATTTTTCGCGGGTGACTCCCAGTTTAAGTGGAAGGATAGCTCAACGGGAATATTTCAATTTTAGATATACTACTTGAGTTATTTCTTACTATTAAACTATCTATATATAAAAGATACCTAATACTAATCTAATATAAAAAAGTAAGCTTATAAGAAGTAGTAGGGAGATAATAATCTATCTTTTAAAAATATCTAAGAATATCTATAAGAATACTTATTTAGTCTTTTATAATACTATAATATATCTTTTAAAGACTTAATCAATCAATAGATAGTAAGTTTAATACCCCTAGATATAGATAATAGGGCTAGATAGTTAGATTTAATAATTAGTTAGGTGTTATTGTGATATATTGATTCTTATTAAAATATTCCCGTTGAGCTATCCTTCCACTTAAACTGGGGAGTTACCCGCGAAAAATGAGTGGGTGACTTAACCAGGGTGGTAAGCCTTGGTGTAATCACGGGTAACTAGTTATAGAGTTCATGGACTATGAATGAGGATGTTGGAGTAGAAGCGCGTAATACCTCAGGGCACACTATTCAGGTATTATACCAAGGCTCAATCGCTCGTCTGACGAAACAGAGTATGAATAACTAGTTACCAGTCTGGTTTAACGCATGCGGTGATAAGTGCTTGAGCGCCTCGTGGAGATGCCAAGTATGTGGTGGTCGTACAATACAGGGTGTAACAACAATTAAATACCATGCGGCAAAGAATTGTATCGTGTAGGGCAAAGATACCCTGTGATTCTCAGTAAATGGGGTATCACGGCCTACGCTAAGATGACCAGGCCAATTGGCCTCAGTGGTTACTTACCCAGTTTTGTCATGTATCTATTCGGTAGACATAAATGCAATGCAGTTGTTGTAGATAGTAGCGCTCAAAGTGACAGGGCCAGCCTCAATCCGGCCTCGTAGTTATTTATTCCATCCAAATAATGCTATCGTTATAAGACATAATTGACACCCATAGACGGCCCAATCCAAAGAAGATACGAGACAAAACAGAAACGGAGGAACAGAATACACGGAGAGAAGGAAAAGGGAATCAGTTGGAGCAAAAACAAAAAGTCAATGAAAAAAAAAAAAAAAGAAGAATACAAGGGAACAGCCGCTACTAAAAGCTTCATAAAGACTCTCGGAACACGCCCTTCTTCGTGTGAGCAGATCCCTCACCAGCAGGGGGTTCGGGCCTTGGGCTCACACTCCTCAGATTGCTACCCTCAGCATGGTCGCCGAACGGATTAGCTGGATCATCCCCTTGTCCTAGCTTGACAGGTGATGGATCACGGCTCCTGCTTCTGCCACGGCTTGCTTCATGTCCAGCGCTGGGAGCAAGGCCGCCATCGTATGCGGATGCATTGCGATCATATCCGCCGGCATGTGGCGCGAAACCGAGTTCCTGCTCCTCATAATAACCCGGAGGGCCAAAACCGCCATCTCGTTCAGCAGCGCCCATGCGCGTGTCCCACGGCTCATCCTGCTCAGAAAGAGGCCGGCCAGCGCCGCCTCGGTAGGCTCGCGGCTCAAGGTGGTCCTCGTACGATCCCTGATGTGTTCTTCGATTGCGCAGAGCTGCGAATTTGTCTTTGACCCAGCCTACTACGCCACCGCTTCGTGGAGTTGGATAGTTGCTGTCTCCATATGACGCAGGAGAAGATGTGAACGGTAGGTATGATTTCAACGGTGGTGGAGGGAGACCGGCTCTCCGGGCGCGAATCTGGGAGTAGCCTATCCAGCCGGCATAGGCAAGAAGGGCGAGGACAATGATGACGATGAGCCATCCAAACCACCGCATCGTTGCGACGTGTCCGGTCTCGACGTCAGGATAAACAGGTCGCAGTTATGCTTAGGCACAGTTCGAGGTTTGGGTCTTGTATCTCGTAGCTGGGAGTAATGGAGATGGGAAGTCCACAAGTCCAAATAATGGCTGCTGAAGAGCGGAAAATGGAAGTGCCTTAAAGATATCAGGATAGACAGCCAGGCCGCAAGTCCCAAGCAGTAATATCAGCTTGTCTCGGAGGTTTTCCTTCCTTTCATTGATGTTGATGGTTCGTAAGCCGTTTTGATATGCGCAGCCTGACGGGAAGAAGGAAGGGATTACGTAACTGAGTTTCATTAAAACCTTGGCAGGAGCCGCATGCTTAGTCATCTAACCTTATACTTAGGCCGACGACGAGATATAAAAAGGGCTACCTAAGTAGTTACAGAGGGCGGATGAGAGAAAGGGGGAAAAGGAGAGAAGGGGAGAAGGGGAGAAGGGGAGAAGGGGAGAAGGGGAGAAGGGGAGAAGGGGAAAAGTAGTTGGATATATAGCAGGTATGTACAGTTACAAGTTGGCACAGTTACCGCGCCGATCGTAAGAAGCCAACAATACCACGACAGTAGCTGACCAGATCAGCTAGACGCTTAGATTCGCTCTCCTGCTCAACCTTCCACTCACTCAGAGCCTGCTGTAAAGCCACATTGGGTCCGAAGAGGCCTCCGTTGCTATCACTCGACTGCGGCCCAACAGCCGCTTCGACAGCATCGTCATGAACACGCAGAAAAACGGCCATCCATGTGTTGACCAGCTCGAAGTCTCGTTTCTGTCGGAGTCGCTCCGTCAGCGCTCGAACAAAGAGAGCCAACTCATTACCCTGGTGATTTTGGCCTCTTGGGTCGAGCGAGCGTATTTCTAGATCAGTATTTGCCGGGGAGAGCAGTTTCAAGTACTCAATAAACGGTGTGAAGTTATCAGCTAGCCCAGCGGAGTGGAGCAAAGCTGTAAATTTCGATGATTGCCCTTCACCAGACCCATTCATCCGCTGTATCCGCGCGATGCGGCTCCGTTCTGTTTGTAGGTTCTTCATCTCGTTTTCATCTTGGTCAACAGAGGTGCTGCCTGGACCTGCTGCACCAGCTATAGTTTTTGACTCAAGAGATGGTAGGAAAAAAGGAGCCTTCTTTGGTTTTTTTGGAGCTTCCTTGGGCTTATTTCGTTGCTATAGGTGCTGTTAGAAATGCAGTCATAAAAAAAGAAAAAGAATACCTAAGCTACCTTTATAGTGTCAAGATGCAGGAGAGTCTGCCATCTAGTTTTTGGGGTCATACTCAAAGTCATCATGTCCCGGGAAAGCTGTTCAGGGGTAAGCACCAGCGGTTTCTGGTCGTCTGATGATCCATTGTCATCAAAGGCTGCTTCGATCATAGCAACTCCACCTTCTCCTGATGCTGTTGGAGCTGCAGCCACTACAGACGTGTCTTCCTCTATATGCCTTGTTGGAACATGAATAAACAGGCTCTTATTGTTCCAAAGATTGATACCAACACCCTCTGCATGGGCAGTAGCAAGAAACTCCCCAGTGCTTGAGAACGAGAGTGCAACACATGTGTTCTTCAGCCTAAATGCATCAATCAGATGGCCAGTTGGTAAATCCCAGACGCGAATAACCGAGTCCATAGAGGCAGCAACAATCCAGCGTCCATCATTTGAGATGGTGAAATCATTAACCTGGCCAACACATCCCCAAAGTTCACGGACTAGCTTTTTGGTCTGGGTGTCAATTACACGTATGGATAGATCGTCACAGCTGAGAGCTAGAAGGTCACTAGTGCTGCTGAACCGGAGGCCTGTGATAGCACACATGGGATTCCAGTCCAACTCATCCAGAAGCTGGCCTGTAAGCAAGCTCCAAAACTGGTTAAGTTAGCGTGAATATTTTATATAGATATACCCCGAGGAACGCAAACGTACTTTAACCTTGCCATCAAGTCCACAGCTGATCACGGTAGTGTTTAAACTATCAACTACAATACCTGTAATAGCCTTAGTATGTTTCGTAGATTTCCTTGGATCAAGTTCGTTTTCATCTGCATCAACTAGCCGTTGTAGTTTCGCTTTCTTCGCTTGGGCAGGTGTCAAGCGTGGTGGGAATGATTGTCGACGGATGCCTGATTGCAGGTTATACATAACTAGCGAACCACCGTCAGAGCCAACCAACGCAAACGTTCCGCATTGCGACATGGCAACACTCTATAAATATATTAGTAAGTTTAAGAACACACACACACACACATATATATATATATATAGAAACAAATGACTGGGGAATGTACCTTCACCTCGGTGCCGTCGCCAGTTTCCAGAGCCCAGCGACCGGCCTTCTTCTTGCCCCAAATCCAAGTACGGGCAAACTTGTCACCCTTATGCCCAGTAACAACGCTCTCCCAACCGGTCATGTTTGTGTTCTCGGCACTTACAGCCTTTGCATTAGTCCATATGGGCCCTCCAGCGACCGTTCCCATGCCACCATCTCGGTTCAGAGAGCAAGCCAGGCAGGTTATTTCAGGAGCTTTCAATACCTCATAACGGATAGTCTGCTGGCCAGCTGGTGTACTTGATGTCCCCATTTTTTTGGCTTTGCTCTTTACATTCCCTTGAGAGAGCTCTGCACTCTGGGAATCTTTGCGCAAACTGAGACCGAACAAACTGCGATCCTGGCCAGCGCTCAGCAGCCACTTGCCTACTACTTCAGAACCATCAGATCCTGAGGGAACAAACATGACTTTCGTAATAGGCGCGGAGTGGCCGGACCTGGCATGCAGCGGTCTTGGGGTTGGAGAAAAAGGAGTCTGGTCGAATATCCAGGTGCGTAAGGCATTGTCTGAGCCGGTTGAAACCATTACCGGCTGGCCCGGCAAAAACTCGACTTTATTTATCTGCACACCGCGGTCTTCCCCAGATGGTTCATGCGCGTTCCTCACAACGCCCGTGACACGACCACCATTATTCAGATCCCACATGACGATATCGCCGCCGTCAGCGCTGGCGGTTGCCATTACGCCATCCTTCCGGCCATCCTCTCCGGCGCCAATTCCGTCCGTCCGAAATGAGATAGACGTTATGGGCGAGCTGTTCGTCATGCCAGGCTTTTTTAGGCAAAGCACAGGTTTGTCCGTTCGAACATTATGGATTACCAACGCGCCGGATGCATATGCGATTGCCATGAGAGACAGAGCCGGAGCAGGCTGCAATGCGCTGACTGCGCCTGCGCCTGGCAAAGTAGGAAGAACCGAGTACACCAATTTTCCAGTAGATACATTCCAGATATCGACACAGCCGTCAGACCGTCCAACAAAAACCTTGTTGAGGTATGTGGGCATGGTACATAGGGAATCTGGGACGAGCTTGGTGAATTCCTTTGTGGCTGCGGGAATAAGGGTTGTATAATGAGAGTAATCCGCCGATTTCCATATGATAAGACAGTTGCTGCAGCACCCCACAACCCATGATCCAAATACAACCAGTCGATCAACCGACTGGGCGGCAGACCCGGGGACAATGGCTGGCATTTCGAGCTCCGCTACCTTCTTTCCACGCTTAAACACCCAAACACCGCGCTGCTGGGTCACGGACTGGCCACCCCAGGCAGCAAACACACGGTCCTTCCATGCATGAATCGCCGTGATCAGAGCTGGCGTCTGTGGCCGGGTCAAGAAGACAAGACTGAGGCCTCGTCGTAAATCATAGGTCTGCAGGGAATGGCCGACTGAAGTTGTTATTTGAAAAGTTGTCTTGCCTAGCGGAATCGAGGTGAACGGAACGGACGTCGACGAAACAAGGCCCAATGTCTGCAGTCATAGAGTCAGCCCTAGTTCGTCAGTGTAGTTATCCGCCCAATTGTATATCAAAACGACTTACTCTGAAGGGGGTGAAGATGCGAGATCCGTCTGGCGCCTGTGAATGGCTGGGCTTCTCCGTCACGACCTTCTGCCGCTTAGCCAGTGGCAGGTCAAAAGCTTCATCAGCCATCGCCAGCTCGTCCCTATATGGCCTCTTCTTCTTCTTCTTCTCTCTTCTCCTCGTTTTCCCCTTCTGCTGTTTCGTCTTCTTTCTGTCCCGTCTTTCTTCTTGCTGCAGTTTTGAAGCTTTAGGTTAAAGAGAACCAAAAAAAAAAAAAAAAAAAAAAGCTGAGTCATCACCAAAGTTTGGCGCCGGCTGTGCCCTAAAAAGTCGCCCCTTTGGGAAACCATCCAGAACGTCAACTTCAACTTCAACCTCAACTTTTCTTCTTCCTGATCTTCATCTTTGCTTCTTCCTCGCCGTCAATTGGCTTGTGTTTCGTTGCTTTTTCTTCTGCTTCGATCTGGAGGCGAGCCAGCGCGGGCAACCTGTTTGCCGCAGCTGGTTTGCCGCAGCTGGGGTTGTGATGAAACGACGGCTCTTGCTCCCTGGTTCGTTTGATCACTCATCCAGCTGCTCAGCCGACACCTAACACCACCAACCACGGGGCAAATATAATCTGCGCAAGAGTGCCAGAGTAAAGCCCAAGAAACGCTTGCAGGGAATTGGACTGAGATTAACAAGCCCTTCCCTGCTAGCGCCCCTCCACGTGGCGAAGGACGGCTATCAGGAAGGGGTGAACAGGGGAAGATTTCATCTCTTGAGACCGCTGCTTTTTTCCCTGCCGAAAATCGATTTTCTTCTCCAGATATATAAGCTACTTGTATCACGGACACATAATCCGTACAAGCGATTAGATTGCTCCCATGCAAGCTGACGTCGATGGCCAGCCGGACAAGAGTCCGTTATGCAGCAAGGATCGGAGTGCGCCAAAACAAGAGCCAGTGCCAGGACAGGACACAAAGGTAGAGATAGCGACAGAAACAGGAACATTGGCTTCCCAGTCGCGAGAAACCGAGTCGGCACTGGAGTCGATCCCTCTATCTCCCACTACCCTATCGTTGCAGCCAGAGCCACTCGTATCGCCCACCGAGCAGCCGCCGGACTCCTCACACACCTCGACATATCAGCGTAATCCCCGCTACTTGACCGATCGCGACGGCAATCGGGTGTCGTTCTCTTCCCTTTACTCTCTTACGTCCAGCATCCACTCTGCGCAGGGAGATAGAGAAAAGACATCCAGTACTGCAGTATCCAGTGCTGACGGCTCCGGTAAACCGCGCTCCATCATGGACGACCAGCGAAGTGTCTCTGCCGGGCTTTCCACCCGGCCAGACTCTTCATTGCACTCACTCTCCGGTTATCCTGGGCCGGGCACACCATCTTCGCCCGGGTCAACATCTCCAGGTCGGTGTTACTACATCCAGCGATTGATTTTCTTTTTTCTTTTTTGAGCTTCGACTTTGTTAATATTTAACATAGGTCTTCCCCCCTCATTCCAACATCACCTAGTGAAGCCAGAGGATAGCCGGTCTCAAGCTTGGATTTCACGCCCAGGACGCTCGTCAAGCAAACAACCTCGGCGTTTTAGTGCTAGTACTGGCGCAAGCAGTGCTAGCGAGGCAGAAGGTATAACTTCACCACCCTTTTCGAGAGCTTTAGGATCTGAAGAGGTACTAATAGAAACAGTGCGTCTACCTCTCATAGGCAGGATTGGAGTGTGTGCCCTTGATATCAAGGCACGCAGCAAGCCTAGTCGCAATATCTTGACTCGCCTTCAAGCAAGGGGTGACTTCGAAGTCATAGTGTTTGGAGACAAAGTTATCCTCGACGAAGGTTTGCATCACCTAGACACACTATTCCCATGATCCAATTCTTACTAATGTGTATAGATGTCGAGAATTGGCCAGAATGGTACGTCGAACACTTCTAATCCGCTCTGGGAACGCTGGCATTAATACAATATTCACAGTGATTTTTTAATTGCCTTCTTTTCTGACGGTTTTCCTCTCGACAAAGCCATTGCATATGCAAATCTCCGAAAACCATTTTGCATTAACGATCTTCCCATGCAGCAAGTCTTGTGGGACCGCCGTTTATGCCTCCGAATTTTAGATCAGATGGCTGTCCCCACGCCTAAGCGCGTGGAAGTGAACCGTGATGGTGGGCCGACATTAGCATCGCCCGAGCTTGCTCAGCATGTTTACAACCTGACCGGAGTACGCTTAGAGGGTCCACCGGATGGTACCGGTGGTGGAACACCACGAACACAGTCTGTGACTATGTCTGAAGACGGAGAAGCCCTCATAGTTGACGGGAAAGTTTTCAAGAAGCCATTTGTAGAAAAACCTGTCAACGGAGAGGACCACAATATCCACATCTACTTCCCTAACGACCAAAATTATGGAGGCGGCGGCCGCAGACTCTTCCGGAAAGTAGGAAATAAAAGTTCCGAGTATGACCCTGATCTGAAGATCCCAAGATCCATAACCGAGCCAGACGTCAGTTACCTTTATGAGCAATTTTTACGCGTTGATAATGCGGAAGATGTTAAAGCATACACCGTTGGTCCCGATTACTGTCACGCGGAAACCCGGAAATCACCCGTCGTTGACGGCGTGGTACGTCGGAACACCCATGGTAAGGAGCTGCGGTATATCACCAATCTAGGCAAGGAGGAGGCTGCCATGGCCTCAAAGATATCCAACGGTTTTGGCCAACGCATTTGTGGTTTTGACCTTCTTCGCGTTGGGGATGCCTCCTTCGTCATAGATGTCAATGGCTGGTCCTTCGTTAAAGATAATAACGATTATTATGATAAGACTGCCAAAATTCTTCGAGATATGTTCACTCGTGAAAAAATGCGTAGGGATGGGAAACTTGACGTTCCCGAGCCTGCGAAGGATACATCATCAAGCACATCACACATGGCCAATTCCGGGTCACACAGGCACACTCTCAAGTCGCTATTGAGGTCCCCGAGCCTAGCAGGGCTTCAAGGTGGCTTATCTAATCACAAGTCTCCCGTCCAACCTCCAAGTACCAAGGGCGTAACCGCTTCTATAGAGGCAGATGTTTCACATAGGAGGACCGTCCCTTCTGAAGGTGCCGAAAACGCAAACTTGAGCCCCGAAAGTCAAATCTCTAATGATGCACCACAAGCCATAGAAATGCCTACCGCTCCACCACCATCGTCTAAACATTCTTGGAAACTCAAGGGTATGGTAGCTGTGATACGGCATGCAGACCGAACTCCCAAGCAAAAATTCAAATTCACTTTCCATACACAGCCCTTCGTGGATTTGCTCAAGGGCCACGAGGAAGAGGTGATTATCCGGGGGTCCACTGCGCTCCGTAGCGTAACTAATGCCGTTAATCTCGCTTTAAAGGAGGGTATTGAAGACAAAGAGAAACTCATGCTATTGAAACGTTCACTCGATCATAAGGTCGAATGGCCAGGGACAAAGGTTCAAATAAAACCAATGTTTCGCCGCCGAAATTCACAAGAATTACAGGGGAGTCGCGCTTTGCCTCCCACCCCCCCGCAAGCCACAAGTGAAATATCCCAGGCCCCAGCCTCTCCGCCTGGTTCTGCAGATCCTGAGCAACCCCGTGTAGCTCGCAGTGACTCCATCTCGGGACCTACCTTTTCCCGCTTTTCAGCAGTGGAAAATGATCTGGTTTTAGATAAACTGCAACTAGTGATAAAATGGGGCGGAGAACCGACTCACGCAGCCAGATACCAGTCACAGGACGTTGGCTTGACAATGCGTGATGATCTCAAGCTCATGAATAAAGAAGCGTTGAACGATGTTAGAATGTTTACAAGTTCGGAGCGGAGAGTTAGTACAAGTGGTGAGTGTCCCTATGTTAGAGTCACCTTTTACCACACAACTAACCGAACTCAGCCCAGATATTCGCGTCAACATTTCTCGATCAGAAGGACCTGCCGGATGATTTTATTCAGGTGAGAAAGGACTTACTTGATGATTCAAATGCGGCAAAAGACGTAATGGATAAGGTGAAGAAAAAGCTCAAGTTGCTTCTTCGAGAAGGTAACTCAGCACCACCTCAATTTGCATGGCCAAAGGAGAACTTCCCAGAGCCTTCCATTGTTTTATCCACATTGGTGGAACTTATGAAATTTCACCGTTGCGTTATGCGGCATAATTTCAATAAGATTGAGACCCACGGAAACTCCCACCCTGGTGCGTTTGGATCATCGTCACCCACCGATAAATCCCCATTCACCGACATCCAAGGCCGGTGGTGCGCCGGAGAAGATCCGCAACTCTTCAAGGAGCGCTGGGAGAAGCTATTCAAAGAATTCTGTGACACAGAAAAGGTTGATCCAAGTAAATTATCGGAGCTCTATGACAGTATGAAGTTTGATGCACTTCATAATCGACAGTTCCTGGAGTGGGTCTTTCTTCCGCCAGACGATTTCACATACGAGGGTGAGACCGACAAAGAACGTGCTGGTCAAATTACATCTTCACACTTCTTGGAGCCTAGTTCTAACGGCACCAACGGCAAGTCCCGGCCTCCCGGACTTTTAGCTCCCCTTGAAGACTCTTACGATTCATATTTCAAACTTTACCCTGGCTCTACACCCTCAAAACCAAAGATCGACAAACGTCTTTCCCGCCTTAAACACCTGTACAGCCTGGCAAAGGTGCTGTTTGACTTCGTAACGCCCCAGGAATACGGTATAGCTGACCACGAAAAACTCGAGATTGGACTTCTCACTTCACTTCCCCTACTTCAGGAGATAGTTATGGACTTGGAAGAAGTGCAAGCATCTCCGGATGCTAAATCATTCTTCTACTTCACCAAAGAGTCTCATATCTATACCCTCCTCAATTGTATCCTCGAGGGTGGGTTGAAAACAAAGATTGCGCGGCGGACTATTCCGGAACTGGATTATCTCTCTCAAATCTGTTTTGAGCTTTATGAAGCTCGTGATACAGAGGCCGAAACCTTCGCGTACTCCATTCGAATTTCAATCAGCCCTGGATGCCACACTTTTGATCCATTGGACGTTCAGCTAGATTCTAGGCATGCAATCGGATGTGCTCCCCGACGAAGCCTGACGGCCCACCAGGACTGGAAGGAAGTGATTGAAACATTAAAGGCGAAATTTGATACGTAAGTAGTTCCATAGTAGAACTTTCAAGAAAGCCTTCAGGTAACTAACTGAATTTCTAGTGTTAAATTGCCCAAATCATTTATAGCAATCAACCTCAGCGACAAACACGCGGCAGCTCGAGAAGAAGAGTAAATTTAGCTTGTACTCTGAGTCTACACTTCCCGGTATATTCCTACTCGCCCGCTACTCCATTTAGGTTGTACCCCAATTTTCTTTTGTTTCAAGTCAATGTATAGTTCATAGCATGCCAAAGAACATATGGGAAGGGTGCATGTTACGGTGAGAATACAAATGGGACGGCTTGGGTGGTATTCTACTTTTGTTTTATTTTATTTTCTTGCATGCATATTAATAACTACAAGGCGGCTGGCAGTGACATGTACTAGACGGGCGACCGACTCGCAGGGGGTTTAGACAAGGTGTATGCGAATTCTATATGTTTACCTTTAATCGCTTACCCAGTTTTCTCTTCTAGTCCAATTTCTCTGTCTCTTATCTGTTATAACAGTTAATTGTGCATTTTACAGAAAGTCACAGTGATCAAAGGAACAGGGGAGTTTTTTTTAAATATTTCTTATTGACCCGTTTGTTATTTTATTCAATCAACCAACTCGTGGATTGTAGATAGGATCTCAGTCAAGTCCAGCTCACTAGTTAACTGGTAGTTCCACTTTTGAGATAATGCAAAGGATACTCTTTATAAATAAGTCCGAACCGTGCATAAGTCAAGTTCACTATCACTATATAATCTCCTACGCTATAATGAACGTTCAGTATTCAAAGGCTTCCTTATAATATTACTATACTGATATAGTTTAACTAGTTAACTGGTTAGTTAATAATTCTTTATACAAAGATCTTTGACAGCTGTACTTGAATTATTGTACGTACTTTGAAGCTGATTTTTCTATATTCAGATGAACTTCCTGAAATCTATATAAACCCGGCCATCTCTCCCTCTACCAACCTTTCTTCTATCCATCAACCAACGACAAAACATCCTCGAACAGCCAGCCTTGAAATAACGCTCTAAATTCTAATATATTCAACAAACACAACTCTAAACCCCCTCAAATCAGCAAAAATGAAGATCTCTTCCCTCTGCGCACTTGCAATGACCTTCTTGGTCTCTGGAACTGCTATTGCTGGATGCGTCGAAGCCCAGTGTGATGCGAGCGTAAGTAATTGTCAGACATTGAGGTTTTGTTATCAAATCAGACTGTACTAACAGAGGATGTTTATAGTGCCGCAAAGAAGGGTATACCGGTGGCACCTGCTTAAAGAATGCGGGTATCTCGTGAGTGGATGATTTCCCTTTGCCCTTTGAAGAAGATGAGGATGAATTTACTAAGAGCAAGCTATTCAGATACTGTGGCTGCCGCGGTGCTAGGCCTCCAGGTCGGCGCTAAACACTATACGAAATATTGATCACCTTGACCTTTTTCAACTTTCATTCTATCCCCGAGCATGGAAAGCTGGGGGTAACACTGGTTTAGAGAGAACATGGGGTTGAACACCCTTACTTAGCTAGCTAATCTCGGGCTGAAGGCCTATTTAGGTCGCTCATTTCAATCGTTAATTAATAACAACGATCCTAATTTTAAGTCATTTCCCTTCAAATTTTTTCTTTCCACAAATTCGTAGTTTACATAACTAGTCAGTGACTCTAGCATGGAAGATCGTTCTGGACTTTTTCGTTCACCTAGGTTGCACATGGACTGAGCCGCCTCGGGCCAGTTGAGGTTAACTAAGTTAGTTATAAGCTTAGTTAACTAAGCTTCTTGAAACAAGCTAAAAACGACTTCCTGATTCGTGTTTAAGGCTACATGCCATAGTTTGGACTCACTATGTTAGAAATTCACTCTGATCTATGGGCATGGGAAATAAATAAGACACGCATCCTTCTGTTTCTTCCTCATATGCTACCTTGGTCATAACAGTGGACCATCCAGATAAAGTCACGAATAGATAGTATTGTTGAAGTAGTACTTTATTGCGTTAGCGTTGCTATCTACACCGTACCCACTTGCTGTTGTGATTTCGTCTAAAAACATGAAACCAACAACATCATCGATCTAGGAACCTGTAAACATAGAGAAGAAAATGGAAAAAGCATAAATTAAAGAACATAAAATTAAGAATTTTTTGCTCCTCACCAGAAACTGTAAGACATGCAAGGCGAAGAGTTGCTTAAATAGATGAAAAACTGAATTATTGTTCGACAGGAAATATCGACTTATCAAGGCGAGGCAGTAGATTCAGTGGGGGTATCTTGGGGTTCTTCATATTTATCCCAGTTTGCCAAAATATTTCCAATGCGGGGTGAATTGGTAAGTCGGTATACATCTTCGAAATACTCCCTGGTAAGCTCAAATGGACGAGCGGTAACGTTCGGAATGTATTTGCCGATCAGTTTGCTTGGATCAATGGTCGTCTTGTTAATCTTCTTAAGCAAGAAAGATCGGAAGGGCTTGACACCGGAGCGAAGGAAAGTACTGTGGAAAGGCACATCGATACCCTTGAGTGGGATGGTTGCAAATCCACGCTCGAGAACAATAGGCTGCGGTTTAGCATTTGTCTGTTTCACGCATTCATCGATAATTTGGACGAGGTGTGATTTCACGTCTTCGAGAGACATGGTCTGCATAAGGGCAGGGATATCTATCTTTTGCGCCTTGAGGACATTAAGGACATTCGTCAAACTGTCAAGCGCTCGAAGCTGTAAAGAAATTAGCACATGTTTTCAAGGTAGTTGCACTTGTATTTTTGATAAACTCACATCACCAGCACAAACATACTGCATGTTGGCAACGTTGTAGTTGACAATCTCGAGCAGCCAGCCTGTAGTCTCCGAAATGTTTTCAACCACATACTGAAGAGCTTGTTCATTGAAAGTCTGGGAGATACGGCTGGGGTTAACAGCGCACATTGAGTAGTTGGACCGGCCCAGTTCGTCACGTTCGACTGCAACTTGCATTGTCAAACCACGGTAGAACACGACCGAGACAAGACTCTCAATTGGCATGACCTCAGCAAGGGCAGCAAGAGCAGAGTACTCTCCCAAGGAGTGGCCCGCGAAACTGCTGTCTCGCTGGACGAGACCCTTGGAGCGCATGTCCTCGAAACTGGCTTTCTCCATTAGCGTGAGGGCCGGCTGGGTGAACTGAGTTGCGGACAATAAGCCGGTAGGAGATTTATAGGTGTAAGAAGTAGTTTTCTCATCAACCTCCTTGAATATCTTCTCAGACTTGATAGATCCATCGGCGTTGACTGTTTCGAAAGTCATAGACATATAGTTTTGCCGAATGTTCTTTCCACGTGGTCCACCGAAATGTACAGTCAGCTCCTGAGGGTTGTTTTTGACAATATCAATGATAGAGAAACCGTAATTCTCCATGAAATGGCGATCGGCGCGGTCCCATACTTCCTTGGCGACAGGGCTGGTGGCATAAAGGTCCATACCCATTCCTTGCTCCTGAGAACCTTGACCAGTGAAAACGTACGAAGAAACAGGCTGCTCGACTTCAGCTTCACCAATCAAAACCTTCTCCTCAGTAGCCTGGTTACTGGTTTCAACCTGGATAATCTTGCGGCCAGCAATCATACCGACATGCTGGAGTTTGACAACGAGATCATCGTTGGGAAGAACCATTCCGACGAGTGAAGCGTGGAAGCTACGAACACGACCGATGTTGTTCTCGGCAGCCCAGGTTTCAACAAGACTTCTGACAGCAGCACTAGTATACATGCCGTGAGTGATGGTTCCCGGCAAGTGGGCATAGCTGGAGAAAACTCTAGAGACATGGATTGGGTTATAGTCGCCAGAGACTCTAGCATATGTTTCGTTAGAAGCGGGAGCTTTGAGAACTAGAGGGGTCTTGCTAAGGGGAATTGGGTTCTCAAAGTTGACTGGCTGCTCAATTGCAGAACCATGACGCTGGAGATAATCGATCACCGGGTTGCCGTGGGAAACTCCGGCATCATAGTCGACTGATCCCACCTGAATAATCTCTTTGGTGGGAAGTTCAACCAAGACCTGACCAGTTGTCTGCATGTTCTGGAAGACAGTCTTATCCTTGTAACGAACCAAACTCTGGAGACGGAAAGTAAGGGTTTGACCCAGAAGTTCCACATTGCCTTCATCCAGACGGAACCACTCTTTCGATTGCAACACTGCTACATCCTTTGAAGTGGCCAAAAATACCTGCATTGGAACTTCGTCCTTGCGTAAGAAGGTGGTTTCGTAGTCAGTGTAGTTACCTCGGTACAGGAACTGACTGGTAACATGCATAATCGGTTCACCGTCCCTCTTGATGGTTCCACAGACCTCAACCATCTTACCGGAGTCCTGGTTAACGATGGCATTAATCTGGGCGGTCGTATCGAGGACATCTCCGACCTTGAGCGGCTCTGCGCCAGGGACCATTCTGAAACCGTTCGACAGATGGACGAGCTTTAAAAGGTCGCCATCGATAGTGCGAGGGAAGATTGGCTTGGTAATTGCTTTCCATCCCGCGACGATAGCGAAGTCCATAGGGGCAAAGGTTTCTTTTCCGTGGCGCTCAACAAAGGCCTCACCGGTGTTACCAACAGCGTGAACAAAGTCAGCGATGGCTTGGGGAGTAACAGTCGTGCGACCGCCATCGAAGATGGCTGCAGCTGGGGTGTCGAAGGGAACAGTGCGCTCGCCAAACCACACGCGGTAATAAAATTCCTTGATACGATCGTTGCGGCCTTGCATCACTTCTCTGATAGGAGCATAGCCGGTTTCAGGGTGGTAGGTGAAGTAGAATGGAAGTGGAACAACACCGCCTTCTGCAGTTCGGCCCTCGAACAATGTGAGCGCGATGCGGTTCTTGTCCGTAAGTCGGATCTCGACAGTTTTGACCAGCTTGCCTGACTGACATGGCTCACGCATGCTGATTATCGTCTTCGATGGGTCATTTGGATTGGATATTTCAACGAACATACCACGAGTAGGCGCAAGGATGCGTTTGATAGGGTTGGTCTGGAAACGCTGGCCTTGGATGAAGACCTCGGTAGTAAAGAGGGCATATCTCCAAGAGTAAACTTTACCAGCCAAAAGGTGGAGCCACCGATCAAGCTCTGGAAGGCTGGCGGATGGGGAGGATGAAAGGCGGTAGGAGACCCTAGTAGAATCCTCGGATATCGTTAAACCATCAATGTCACGATCTTCATCGTCATCAAGGGCAAGTCGACCACCGAAGTATTCAACGACAGGTACCTTAGACTCATCGCCATTGTAGACATCTTGGATAAGGCCTTTAATATGGTCTTGGTGTATGCCATCCAAGATACTTTTGATTGGTTCATCAATAATGGTAGAGTACTTGGCAGCCATGGGTCCTTGCAGAATACAAACACGTCCCACATCCTGACCAACAACAGCCTCGATATCTTCCGATTGCCAGAGAGAATCCTTCTTAAACCAGAACTCAAAGTTCTCATCCAGGGACGGTACAAATGGAACTGGTTTCTGCCCTCGCCTCTGGCAGAGCTGGAGGAAGTGCTGAACATCCTGAGCGTTGATAAGTTGATCGGTAGACGCAGGGTAGGCATCGAGGATCTCCTGAACAATTGGGTAAGGGGTATCAAGCTGCGAGTAAGATTGGAGGCGAGATTCTTGGTTCTTCTCGTTTGTAAAACGCTCTTCAACACGGCGAATGAAATCACCAGTGAATCTCTTAAGTGAGTCATCGATCCACCTAGCTTCATGTTTAACATACATGAGTTCAACCATGCGGTGCACAACTTCAGCGTAGGTCATATCCTCCAAGTCAACGGTGATACCTTTCGAGTTACGCCCGAACCATACTTTCTGGAAGTCATCGTTGAGTTTTTTGATGATATAGTCTCGATGTTTCTTGAGAGCAGGGAGTCGCTTGGCCTTGTCAAGAGAAAAAATCTTTTGATCCATCTCAGCCCAGAAAAGAACACCTCTAGTGGCTAGTTTGTGAATAGGTTCACCCATCTCAGAGCGTACGGTAATGACGCCGCCTGCAGCGCCTTTGTAAGTGTCTTCCCATTTAGCGTCATCCACACCAGGCGCGGCTACTATTGCCTGCTTGGCAGCCTTTGACGTGTGTGCCTCCTTAGCAACCATCATACGACTACCGAAGAGGCAGCCGTCGAACGGCATGGGTGGGTATCCAAACTGGCGGGACCAATTACCAGTGAGATATGGGTAGGTATCCTTAGATCCACCAAAGCCGCTGCCTGCAACAAGGACAATGTTATCGCACTTACGGATACGACTATACATTTGAAGGACAGGCTGGTGGAAATCTTCAAACGAGTGATGTCCACCGCCACGACCACCGGTCCATTGTAGGATCACAGGGAAGCTAGGGTTTGCCTTGGCAATGTTGATAACCTGTTGGATAGCGTCCAAAGAACCGGGCTTGAAACCGATATGCTTAATTCCGAGGGTCTCAATGTATTCATTGGCAACTTCTATAGATGGTACACCGGCACCAATAACGAGACCTTCGATCGGAACACCGTCGGCACGAAGCTTGGCCAATAATGGAATCTGCCAGGCCATGGCACGAGGATTAACGTAGATCAAGTTAACAGTGATACCGCGACCAGGCGGAATCGCCTTTTCGATCTTGGTAAGAGCTGTTGTCATAGACTTCGCGTTATAGTAGCCACCTCCACCGAGCTCGATCTGGTATCCGGCGTTCATTGTTGCAGCAACGAAGTCCCAAGGCACAGTAGTAGGAGTCATACCAGGAACCATGATTGGGGGAACACCCAAAAGTCTGCTCATCTTAGTATCCACAAACGTTTGACCAACGGAGGTCTTCACAAGTCGGGGGCCGTAGACTTCTACCCAGTCAACGGCATATTTGACCGCATGGTCTTCATCCCGATCAAATAATTCAGGTTTGTATCCAACCTCTGCATTTGTGCCGTCTATAAGGCCACCAAGAATGACTCGGACACCGGTACCGTCCTTGTTACGGTTTGTAAGTACTCCTAGACCGGAGATGCCACCGGGACCAAAGTCAACGATGTGGGTAGCCTTGCTGAACACAGTTGCCTTCTCCCAGTCAACGGGATCACTGGTGATCATGCGGATCAATGCAGGTACGATATCTTCGTCCCCGAGTTTACTAATATCCTTGCCAGTGTTCGTATCGTAAACAGGAATTCGTAGGGATCGTGCAGGGATTTTGATGTCCTCAACGTCCTCAGCGATAGCTTCGAAGGCAGAAGCAAGGTACTGGCTGTGGAATGGGGCGGTGATAGGCAGGAACCTATTGACAAAGCGGATCTTTCGCTGTGTGAAAGGTACGCGGTTTTGGTCCAGGCCAGTGGCCGCTTTAACCTTACGGAGACGTAAGTTAAGACCGTAGAGGGAGATTGGTGGACCGGTAACAACAAAATTGCGAGGGCTGTTAACTAGGGAGATGGCAATGTGACGGTCTTCCGGCAGATGCTGGTTTGTCGCATCAATGTGTTCCTGTACGGCAGACCGGTGGAGATCTCGGATGGACAACATAGGAGTCGGGATACCTTCTCCATTCTCGATGGAGTCCTGAAGCAACGATGGAGCGAGTGAGGTGCGAGGGTATGCTTGCTGACTTCGAAGACCGATCCAGAAGAGCATGGTCAGCGCAGCTCTGGCGGCCTTTGCAAAGGACTCCCAAGTGGTAACGGTGGCGATGGCAGCAGCGGTAATGGAATGCCCTGAGAGTGGCCGGTGGTACCACTGAAAGTATCGAGGACGTCGCCTGGCTCCTTGCCCATTGCCTTGCATGTGGCCATGAAGTGGGCCAGTTGGACAAGACCGATCAATGGCAGACTAACGGGAGCAGAGACAAGGTAGTCAGTGTCCGGTTGGGTGTCTCGGTCGTGTAACCAGCGGAGAATGTCCATTCCCTTAGAATAGAGCTTGATCGCGTCGAGATCTCTGGCGAGAGACTGCAACAGTTCTGCAGAAGAGGAGATGAGGTCTTCAACAAAGGAAGGATATGTGTTGTAAATCTCGCGAAGCTCGTCAAAATACTCTTCGATATTACCTTGGCCGCCATAGATGCTGTACAGCTTTGCGTTCCCTTCGGTGGCAGCACGCAGGAGAGCCGAATCGTGGGGTTTTGTGGGCCTGTTTACCGCTGCACGGGCCGCATAGTAGTTTTCTACCATAAGCAGCTTCTTTGCGGGGATGCCGGGTATGGAGCCAGCAACGGCATGGACATCGTTCCCGCGCATAAAAGCACGCTCGAACTCGTTGAGAACAAGTTTGAGGACTTCGATATACGAGCCAAGAGAGTCATCTTCGCCCTCCTCGACCTCATGGGCGACGAAGCCAAGGTACCGGGCCACGAGGTCCGGCACGGACGAAGGCTCATCGTCCTGTGCTAGCTCGTCGGTGGGCTCAGGGAGCGAGGCAGCAAAGCTGTCCTTGAGCTGTGAGGCATGGAAATGAAGGGATGTGGCCACTAGAAAGGAAAACTCGAGGGATCCGTGGGAGAGATTGAGCGGGCGGAGGGACTGCGAGGATCGGGGGGTGTTGATGCCCGTTTGCGGGCCTGTCGAGGGGCCAAACATGACTTTTTCAGGCTGATTAGAACAGTGAAGGAATGGATATGCAGCAGAAGGCGTGGCGGGTCAATTAAGTAGAATATATATGTTTGTATCGTGTTCTGTCACCTGTTAGCCCTGATCTCGAATAGCTGTCGAAGCTCGGAGCTCCGCTCCCCTCCCCCAAGCTTTGGACGCGAGATGCCCCTTACCAATGCCGCATGATACCTCTAAACCAGACAGAAATGAGAGATGCCGTGACGAGTCGTAATGTAAAAGACGAAGACGAGGAGAAGATGAAGGGAAAATGAAGCCGTGAAGGCGAAGAAACGAAGATGAAGTCGAAGTTGTGAAATTGAAGTCGAATTAAAGCTGGCGAGGAAGAAGTTGAGAATTCCCCAATCGAGCACTTTGGCAAAAAAAGTAAAAAAAAAGGAGAATTTTTCAAGTGGCGGGCCCGTTGAGGACGCGCTAGACCTAAGGAGGCGAGGCGCGGTATTTTAACCGCCCCAAAGAATTCAAAACGGTTGAATTTCCAGGGACAAGTGGGGCATCTTACCGTACATGACGCGCGGTTACTCTGTTATTACATTACAATAGCCGCCCCACATACATCGCTATTGGCGATTTCCATACAACCGCGAATAGATATTCCTGATCTTTTTGTGCGGCAGAAGCACAGATAGAAACATGAAGCCTCTACTAGCAAGTGATAGCTAATATTGACAGGCAATTATCAAAGCAAAGAACCCAGCTATCGATAGCCAAGCTGTGGTGATAGTCTCTACGGCAGCGCCTAGATCCGCCGTCACGTCGTTACGATACATGGTCCCTGGCAGTACACCATGCTGTATTTTACGCTGACTAAGCCTAGAACTTTTCCTTCCCTCCCTTTTTCTTGCTTGTTGGCCCAAACGGGAAGTAGGAAGCTCACTTTTTCAACCCTCAACCTCAGCTTCAATTTCTTTTTCTTCTTCTCCTCCTCCTTCTTCTTTGCTCGTTGACATCTCGACTTCGTTCTCAAGCAATTAATATAATCCTTCTTTAATTAACGACCCGTTCTCTTCTTCTGCTTCTGAACTGCTTGACGGAGCTTGCTTGAGTGTTGTAGCCGAGCTATCTACGGAGTACTACAAGGACATGCGCCAGCCAGCTTAATATCTCCATTGAACAGCCTAATATCCCCTACATTGACTGCCAGCAGGACACCCGCTCGCCATCTATATTTCCTCGATTTCTTTAGATTCCTCAAGCCACCACCATGAAGCCAGAAGTCGAGCAGGAGCTGGCTCACACGCTGCTCGTCGAACTCCTTGCCTACCAGTTTGCCTCACCAGTGCGGTGGATCGAGACGCAGGATGTCATTCTAGCTGAGAAACGGACGGAGCGTATTGTCGAGATAGGTCCGGCGGACACCCTAGGTGGCATGGCCCGGAGGACACTCGCATCGAAATACGAAGCCTACGACGCCGCCACCTCCGTCCAGCGTCAGATCTTCTGCTATAATAAGGATGCGAAGGAGATCTACTATGATGTAGATCCTGTCGAGGACGAGCCTGCTCCAGGCCCAGAATCTACCGCCGCTGACGCTACCGGTGCCCCTGCAGCTGCCACTTCTGCTCCAGCTGCCGCTGCCACGGTGCCAGTGGCCGCTCCTGCCCCCTCAGCGGGTCCCGCTGCGGCTGTGGAGGATGCTCCCGTCACTGCTGTTGAGATTGTGAGGTCACTTATTGCGCAGAAACTGAAAAAGGGCCTAGCAGATGTGCCACCTAGCAAAGCAATTAAAGATCTAGTAGGAGGTAAGTCACTATAAAGACTGATATCTTAACTATACGTACGAGGCGCCTTTACTGACTGTTGATACAGGGAAGTCAACATTACAAAATGAAATTCTGGGTGACCTCGGAAAGGAGTTTGGTTCCACGCCCGAACGACCCGAAGACACTCCTCTTGATGAACTCTCCTCGTCTCTCCAGGCCACTTTCAACGGCCAACTCGGAAAACAATCGTCTTCTCTCATTGCTCGACTAGTTTCCTCCAAGATGCCCGGTGGTTTCAATATTACTGCTGTTCGCAAGTATTTGGAATCTCGCTGGGGGCTAGGCGCGGGCCGACAAGACGGTGCTCTCCTCCTTGCCCTTACTATGGAGCCTGCGTCCCGTATTGGCTCCGAATCTGATGCGAAAGCGTACTTTGATGACATTACGAATAAATATGCTGCTAATGCTGGAATAACACTATCTACTGCCAAGGCTGGAGGCGATAGTGGTGGGGGTTCCGGAGGCATGATGATGGACCCTGCTGCCATTGATGCCCTTACTAAAGACCAGAGAGCTCTCTTCAAACAGCAACTCGAAGCTATCGCAAGATACCTTAAGATGGACCTTCGCGCTGGAGACAAGGCGTTTGTTGCGTCTCAGGAGTCTCAGGCAGCTCTCCAGGCTCAGCTTGACCTCTGGCAAATAGAGCATGGTGAAGTCTATGCTTCTGGTATCGAGCCTTCCTTTGACCCACTCAAGGCCAGAGTATATGACTCTTCTTGGAATTGGGCTCGCCAGGATGCCCTCAGCATGTATTATGATATCATCTTTGGCCGGCTTCGCGTCGTTGACCGTGAAATTGTCAGCCAGTGTATCCGCATCATGAACAGGTCCAACCCACTCCTTCTCGACTTTATGCAGTACCATATAGACAATTGCCCGACCGAGCGTGGAGAAACATATAAGCTTGCCAAAGAGCTTGGGTGCATGCTGATCGAGAACTGCAAGGACGTTTTGAACGCCGACCCAGTGTACAAGGATGTTGCAGTCCCCACTGGGCCTCAGACAACTGTCGACGCTAGAGGAAATATCAAATACCAAGAGGCCACACGGCCAAGTGCGCGCAAACTTGAGGACTACGTACGAGCGATGGCACAGGGTGGTCCCATCTCTCAGTACAGTGGCCGCACTAAGGTACAAAATGACCTCAAGAACGTCTATAAGATGATCCAAAAGCAACATAAACTTTCCAAGGCTTCACAGCTGCAGTTCAACTCCCTTTACAAGGAAGTTCTGCGCACCCTGGCCATGAATGAACGCCAAATAATGCCTCAACAAAATGGGCACGCTAGAAAGGGAGCACCCGCTAATGGCTCACGCTCTCCTTCCACCAACTCGGGCAAGGTGGAGACAATTCCCTTCTTGCATCTGAAGAGGAAGACAACTCACGGATGGGACTACAGCAAGAAATTGACTGGCGTTTATCTTGATGGTCTAGAGTCTGCTGCCCGGTGTGGTCTCACCTTTAGCGGCAAGAACATCTTGATGACTGGTGCCGGTGCTGGCTCCATCGGTGCCGCGGTACTACAAGGAATGATCAGTGGTGGAGCCAAGGTCGTTGTCACTACCAGTCGCTTTTCAAGAGAAGTTACCGAGTACTACCAGACGATGTACACTCGATACGGCGCGCGAGGCTCTCAGCTTGTTGTCGTCCCATTTAACCAGGGAAGTAAGCAGGATGTCGAAGCTCTTATCCAGTACATCTACGATCCCAAGAACGGACTTGGATGGGATCTAGACCACATCGTTCCATTTGCCGCTATTTCTGAAAACGGCCGTGAAATTGACTCCATTGATTCTAAATCCGAGCTGGCCCATCGTCTCATGTTGACAAACATTCTCCGTATGATTGGTGCTGTCAAATCTCAGAAACATGAGCGAGGCTTTGCAACTCGTCCTGCCCAGGTTGTCCTTCCTATGTCTCCTAACCATGGAACCTTTGGAAATGATGGCCTTTATTCTGAGTCAAAGCTTGGCCTAGAGACCCTGTTCAACAGATGGTATTCCGAGAATTGGTCTGACTATCTCACTATCTGTGGAGCTGTGATTGGTTGGACTCGTTCTACAGGTCTGATGAACGCCAATGACACAATTGCCGAGGGCGTTGAAAAACTTGGGGTCCGTACCTTCTCCCAACAGGAAATGGCCTTTAATTTGCTCGGACTCATGGCGCCTGCTATCGTTGATCTCTGCCAGAATAACCCTGTCTTTGCTGACCTGAACGGTGGCCTTCAATTCATTCCTGACCTCAATGGATTGATGAAGAAGCTTCGCAGTGAAATTGTCGAGACTAGCACTGTCAGACAGGCAGTTATGAAGGAAACTGCCCTTGAGAATAAGATTATCAACGGCGAGGACAGCGAAGCTCTGTATAAGAAGGTCATTACTGAGCCTCGCGCCAATATCAAATTCGAATTCCCAATTCTGCCTGACTGGAAGACCGAGGTTGATCCTCTCAACGGCAATCTCAAGGATATGGTCAACTTGGACAAAGTTGTTGTTATCACCGGTTTTGCCGAAATTGGACCGTGGGGTAATTCCCGTACCCGCTGGGAGATGGAGGCTTACGGAAAGTTCTCTCTTGAGGGCTGCATTGAGATGGCATGGATGATGGGCCTTATCAAGAATCACAACGGCCCTCTTAAAGGTAAACCATACTCCGGGTGGGTGGATACCAAAACCGGCGAGCCAGTCAGCGACAAGGATGTCAAGGCCAAGTATGAGAAATACATTCTCGAGCACTCCGGTATTCGTATTGTCGAGCCTGAACTGTTCGGCGGATACGATCCTAACAACAAACACCTTTTGCAAGAAGTTGTATTACAAGAGGACCTCGATACTTTCGAAGCATCCAAAGAGACTGCCGAGGAATTCAAGCGTGAACATGGCGATAAGGTCGAGATTTTTGAAATTAAAGACTCCGGAGAGTACACCGTCCGCCTGCTCAAAGGGGCCACTCTTCTTATTCCCAAGGCTCTCAAATTTGACCGTTTCGTCGCTGGCCAGATTCCTACTGGCTGGGACCCCAAGCACTACGGAATTCCTGATGATATTATCAGTCAGGTTGACCCAGTTACTCTCTACGTGCTCGTTTGTACTGTCGAGACTCTTCTTGCATCCGGTGTCACTGACCCATACGAATTCTACAAATATGTTCACATTTCTGAAGTTGGTAACTGCATCGGCTCTGGCATCGGAGGTGCTCAAGCTCTTCGTGGCATGTACAAGGACCGTTATCTTGATAAGCCATTGCAGAAAGATATCCTTCAAGAGTCCTTCATAAATACCATGAGTGCTTGGGTGAACATGTTGCTCCTTTCGTCAACCGGTCCTATCAAGACGCCTGTTGGTGCATGTGCTACTGCTGTGGAATCCGTTGACATTGGATACGAGACTATTGTTGAAGGAAAGGCTCGCGTTTGCTTTGTCGGTGGATTTGATGACTTCCAGGAAGAAGGCTCTTACGAATTCGCCAATATGGGTGCCACCAGCAATGCGGAATCCGAATTAGCTCACGGTCGAACACCAAAGGAGATGTCCAGGCCCACCACCACCACCCGTAGCGGATTCATGGAATCTCAGGGCTGTGGTATGCAATTACTTATGAGTGCTCAACTTGCTCTTGATATGGGCGTTCCGATCTATGGCATCGTAGCCCTTACCACCACAGCCACCGATAAGATTGGCCGTTCTGTTCCTGCTCCTGGCAAGGGAGTTTTGACCACTGCTCGTGAGAACCCTGGCAAGTTCCCCTCGCCATTGCTTGATATCAAATACCGGCGCAGACAATTGGAGATGCGTCGTCGCCAAATTCGAGCATGGCGCGAGTCCGAGATCCTTGGCCTCCAAGACGAGATCGACACTCTGCGGGCCCAGTCTGATGACACCTTCAACGCTGCTGAATACCGACAGGAAAGATTTGAACACATTGAGCGCGAGGCCATTAGACAAGAAAAGGATGCTGCGTTCAGCCTGGGGAACAACTTCTGGAAACAGGATTCCAGAATATCTCCTCTACGAGGTGCCCTCGCTACTTGGGGTCTTACTATTGACGATGTTGATGTGGCTTCATTCCACGGTACTTCTACTATTGCCAATGATAAGAATGAGTGTGATGTCTTGTGTCAGCAGATGAAGCACCTTGGCCGAAAGAAGGGCAACGCCCTCTTGGGCATTTTCCAGAAGTATCTCACTGGCCATCCCAAGGGTGCCGCTGGTGGTTTCATGATCAACGGATGTCTTCAGGTTCTTAACACCGGTCTTGTCCCCGGAAACCGCAACGCCGACAACATCGACAAGATTATGGAGAAGTTTGATTACATTGTCTACCCCAGCCGTAGCCTCCAGACAGATGGTATCAAGGCCTTCTCTGTGACTTCGTTCGGCTTCGGCCAGAAGGGAACTCAAGCCATTGGTATCCATCCCAAGTACCTTTATGCCACCCTTGATGAGGCTCAATACGCAGCCTACAAGAACAAGGTCGAGGCTCGTCAGAAGCGTGCCTACAGATACTTCCACAATGGCATGATCAACAACACTCTCTTCGTTGCGAAGGACAAATCGCCATATGAAGATAACCAGGAGTCCAGTGTCTACCTCAACCCTGATGTCCGTGTGGAGTACAACGAGAAGGCCTCTAAGCTACAGTACCCCATCCATTCAAAGCCAAAGGCACCAACCCCTGTTAGCAAAACCGAAAGCACAAAGAAGATGGTTGAAACTCTTGCAAAAGCCACCGTAACCGGTAACACCAAGATTGGTGTTGACGTCGAAGACATTGAATCATTCAACATTTCTAACGAAACCTTTATTGACCGCAATTTCACCCAAAGAGAGAAGGAATACTGTTCGCAAGCAGGCTCCGCGCGAGCATCCTTTGCCGGACGCTGGAGTGCAAAGGAAGCTGTGTTCAAGTCTCTAGGTGTTCGTGGCAAGGGTAGCGGAGCTCCTCTCAAGGAGATCGAGATTATCCACGATGACAACGGTGCTCCAGTTGTGGTTGTAAGTTGATTTTATCCATTTCGCCTCGTTATATCAGTACTAGCAACTAATTTGTATTCTTTTCACAGCTACACGGCGATGCCGCTGCCGCAGCTAAGGAGGCCGGCGTTAAGGAGGTACATGTCAGCATCACTCACAGCGATGCACAGGCTATTGCCATTGCTCAGTCTCACTTCTAGTTTCAGTTGACATATCCATTAGTCCACCATCTGCATATTCCGACTTGACTTTGGGATCAGTCCAGTGTCTGTCTACATGATTCTTGCATCTATTTATATTCACTTCCTTGTCCCTTTATACAATTCTTTCCGCCTGTTTTTCCTTATACCACCTAGTAATGAATTGGTTTAATGACACTGCGAAAAGTTTTAGATTCGATATATGTTCCGTTTCCTCTTTTCTCTACTTCATTGTTTATTCAGTAGAATTTGAATAGAAATAGAAGTCTAGACCAAATCGTCTCCGTATATTCCTCTGGGAGATGTTGTCAGGAAACCGCATAGGTAAAAAAATAAAGGTATGATCTGTTCATTCGACCATCGACGTAGTTATCTATCATATCAACTCCCATGATTAAATTACAGTACATGCGCTCAGGTTAAACTGTCAGTGCTATATTTTCTTAGCTGGTCCCCTTGTTAGTATTGGTAACATGAGCTCGCGCAATTGGTCCCCAATTGGGCCTGGGGTTTGCTTGATATCTCTTCAAACGTTTCCGGCGATGTGAGTCCAAGGCTTTCCTTCCCAGCTCTTCATCAAAGACAACATTGAGTGTGCTACTATCAGGCCGAGGCGAGGGTGAACGGGTCGTTTTCGCATTGCCATTGTCTTCTTTTTTATCATTATTCCGTTCTTTTTTCTCCTCCTCGTCTAATGTATGTCTTTCAGTGGTTTCTATTGACTGATGTACCCCTGAACGATACAGCGCGGATTCAACCATCATTGTGACATCCGCGATGCTCTTACCAGAATCAACTGCAATAAGGAGGTCACGCTTTAGCGCCTTCAATCCAGGGGCTTCCCCTGGTACAGGGTTAAGTGTGTGTCGCTTCCTTCGTAGGATACCAGCACCGGCTGTTGAGTCTGAAAGCGCTCCAGGTTTGATAGGCGACTTAAGGCGAATCCATTCCCGCATGATCTCCCAGATAACTTCCCAGGGGGCATCAGTCCGTATTGAGTTTGGCTTGGCATGGCTTCGAGTAGATCTATACCCTAGATTTCGCAAGGCACCATGGAATTGATTTTCTGGCATTGTCGAAGTACGAAGAACACGAGAGAGATTGCTCACAATAAAGAAGAATGGGTATGGTTCGATAAGTGCAGGATCGACTCTAGGTATGAGAAGAGATACTTCTTGGTTGTGGTTAACAGGTTGTGCTGGTTCTATTTCCGGGGTAGGCTCCTTTGCGCTTCCGTCGAGATCCAAGTCCTCCTCAAGAGCAGTAGTCAGCATGCCCTCTATACGGGGACATGTTTGGTAAGTATCCCTATCCGCACCAGCGGTTAAGTCAAGGATACGCTGGATGAAGACAGGATTATGCAAGGGGCCAGCCCACATAGGTCCAGCGAGATGTGTCTTGAAACCACAATGCTCGCAGTTTGGAGTAGTAGTCGGGCCCTGAGCAAGTCTGTAACTATAGAAAGGCTTTCCATCTTTGCCTGTTTGCGGCTTTCTCTCAGCAAGGCGCTGAGTCTTCCACGAGCCACAACCATGATCACAATTGAAGGAAACCATGGTCTTGCTAGCCGCGAACTTGACCTCCATGGGGGACTTGTGGATACGAACAAAGACTCTAGCGTAAAAGTCGATTGATAAGGACAGCATAGGTTCAATAGCTAGACCGTACTTAGCAGCAGTAGTGCCTATAGCATGTAGAATCAAGCGCAGCCCGCCTTCATGAGAGTGAGGCCCACGGATTGGAATACCGCCGTAAAGGGCGAATGTTTTCTCTGGGTATCCAGCTCCCGCAAAGACTCCGGCATCAGTGCAGGTAACACATAGTAGTCCGCCATCGGCAACTGATTGGACAGCTGCGTCTAGGAATGGGGCTGCAGTTCCATAAGGGTCCAAGTCAACAACGTCAAACTTTGGGATGCCACCAGGCTCGCTGGAGGACCATTGAGTACGACCAACCGTATACATATAGGCGCAAGCATCGCCCTTGTTTGGGTGAACTATATCATCTAGATCGTTATGTTGGACGTTTAACTTCATAGACTCGATGGCCGCCGCGGAAAGATCGTTTCCAACAACGCGAGTTGCAAAGGGGATCTCCTTTGCATAACGCAGAGCTCGAAGCCCCGAGGCTGATAAGGCATCCAGTATAGTAAATGACGGGGTCCATGGTTTGGGTACCGTGCTTTCAGCCGGCTTCTCTGCGCTTTCTTTGGCGGCTCCATCTTCAGCCAGCAGAGTAAGCTCTTCCGCAGCTGTGATGGCTATCCCTTCGCCATTGGATGATGCTTCGGTGCAGAGCTTCTTCATGGGAATGTCTTCGGCTGTGGTCTCGTCTTCGTCCCTCCTTCTTTTGTTCACAGCAGTCTCACAATCCTTTACCTCCCCTCGATCACCAATAGATGATGTACCTGCCTGAATCGGCTTCTTTATATCGGCCGTTTCATCTGCCTTTGCCTTTTTCGCGGTGGCTTTCTTCCCTTTGAGCTTCAATTTGCGTTTCTTCTGCTTCATTGCCGTGGCATGTTCTCCATAAGCGCGAATTGCCAGCACACTCAGGTCTCGATTGAACTGCTGGATAGGGTTGTAAAAAACAGACGGTCGGTCCCCTTCTGTCGTCTTCTGGTTCTGGGTTGATGGAGGAGGTTTGGCGGGTTCAGCGTCCTTCTGGTCAACCAGGATATACGCCAGGCCTTCTTGGATCGTCTTGTATAGCGTTGACCCATGTTTTATAAACTGTCCCTGCTTTGGCGGGCTTGATATTGTCCCTATCTTAGGCATCTCTTCGGTGGATGCCATCCTGTGTGGCAATTGATAGGCAGCTCTCGGTGTGTTCGCGGTTGATAGCAGTAGCTGGGGTTTCGTAGCGATACATCGCAGTCCAAGGCCGAGTCTAGTTGCCAGTCGGCCTACGACCATCTGAGTCTTTAGAGGAGGTTCCTCACGGTATTCTTAATCCCAGCGAAGAATCTCTTCTCCTTTCCGCCTTCTTCGTCCTTTGTGTGTTTTAAAACAGCTCTTCACATCGAAAAAAAAAAAAAAAAAAAAAAAAAAAAACATTTCGACCACAACGCACGTGCCACATTCTAAATTTACATTTTTAAGGGAGCTACGAAAAAGTGTACAATATGTTTAGTGTTGAAGACAACACGATAGTATACGGGTAGGGGTAGGTGGTAATGGTGATGGACGAAAATGACTACTGACCAGGAACAAGGAGGGCTCCGACTAGAGGTACTTGGCTGTACAGTGCATCCCAGGCTTTGGCCTCCCAGCCGACTGCAAGTCCACCAGCCCCTATAACCCCAAGGCCACCGGCAAACCAGAGAGCTGTTCCTACCAACGAGAGGCCATTGACAATCCAACGCCGTCTCTGCTTCCTCTGGTACAGCTCAGTGCCCTTTCGGGACCCTAAGTAGCCGCCGTTGGCTCCAAGGGAACTGCTGCTACCGCCGGGGGCAGCCCTCCTAGTGACCAGCACTTCTCTCCATCCAAACCACCAGGCCCAGCCGCCGACAACGTGCCAGACTCCAATGCCAGTGAGGGCGGCATAGCATGCTCCCATGAACCAAGGTGACCGCGCAATTCCATGGGCTACATACCCAAGTCCAACCCCAGAGCTGCCACCATCGATATAGAGCGGAACAAGCCGGTTAACAAGTATGTGCGATCCAAGCAACGGTATCATTGCGTAACCCAGCATGGCCTGGACGCTTGCAGGTCTCCCCGCTGACTTAATGGCCCTCCGTTGCTCCCGTGTCTCCGCACCGAACTGCTGGGCTCGCCGAGACTGCCTCAAGTAGCGGAGTATCACGCCAGAGGTGACGTGCGCCAGGATGGGCAAGTAGACTATCAGAGGTTCAAGTCCTGGAGCCTGGTATATCGGACGGGTGAGAAGGAGAAAGGTCTCGCTATCAGCGACAGATCGGGTCGCTAGCGGGATAAGTGCGGTGTTGGTAAAATGCAGCCCCAGAAAGATGGTAGGCGGATACGTAGAGTATTTCTGAACGGCCGATACTATCAAGTCATGTTAGTATGTATATACTTTTCTGCAGCTTCACTCTCAGGTAGACGGCCATCTTTGGCCTTCTATGATAGAATTGAACGTACACCAGTAGTCCCAGCTGTGGCCGCTTAAACCCAGCTTCGGCCGTGATGGCATCCCATGACCTCCTGGCAGCCGTCCAGCAGCTATCGAGGAGCCATCAGCGGCTTCAAGATCTAAGTCATTGTCTATTTCATCCAGAGGAGATGGATCTATCTCTTGTAGATAGAGCTCTTGCTCCTTGACGCTGCTCATGCCGGGCGCCGTGGGCAGCAAGGCGGTTGTAAAATCGACCAGCAGAGCCTCTGAACCTCTCCAAATATTCCCTCCAAACAAAGGGAATGACTGTCCTCAGCTTGTAGCCCGCACAAAGTCATGCATTGAAATAGTGTGTAGAATGTTGACGATTTGGTTGCTCGAATGTTGACCGTTTTGAATGGGAAATCCCCAACTGCATGTCCTTGATTGGTCGAAAAGTTGCAGTTTCCATCCTTCAATTCACAACTTCACCTGGTGACAAACCCGTTCTCAACGCGACTATTGAAACATATCTTCCAGACCGTATACAAGAAAGATGCCTCCAGTAAGTAGATATGTTGTTAGAAAGAACGACAAGTTTACTGACTGCTGGGGTGACAGCGCGGCTTCACTAACCCGGCACCAAAGGTGCGCAAAAACAGCCCATCCCGGTTCAAAACGATCCTAAGCACCAGGGAATCGAGAGAATACTGACATGAGGTAGACCGAATCCGCTCGCACCGCGCTGAATGCCTTTACCTGCACGCTTTGCAACAAGTCATACTCGCGACACCCCGAGTACGAAGCACACATCGGCTCCTACGACCACCAGCACAAGAAACGGCTGCGGGACCTAAAGCAGCTCTCTCGAGACCCAAACGCTGCCGAAAAGGCAAGAAAGGCTGAGCGAAAGGCCAATGAAGAAGCTGGGCTTATCGTTGTTGACTCTAGTGGGGATAGGAGCAGTGCTGCAGGTACTGGCAGCAGCTCTACCGGTGGGTTCAAGAAAGGTGGATTCAAAAGCTCGTTCTCTGTGGTAGCTGGTGGAGGATCAGGGAGCTCGAGCACAGTTACATTTGCAGGGGCAGCCCGGCGGAAGAAGAACGTATTGGGAGATGAGGACGAGGACGAGGATGCCACTCAAGGGGAGAATGTTTCGAATAAGACTTCCGGGCCTAAAGCCAATGTTGGCAAAGATGGAGGACATCTACAAGTCAATGAAGAGGTAGAAAGTGACACTGATGAAGAGTATGGCAACGATGATATTCAATCTGGTGGCGGCTACTATGACCCCCGACGGCCGACGGGCTGCTTCCACGAATGCCCCGGGGCAAAGGTCTCTGTGTCTTGAAGCATATATACAGACACTTACTCAGTCTTCGGATGATCATATCACTCAAGATGATGTATTGGTGCATCTCATACTAGCAGCACTATCATATTACTTCACAAAAGGGGGATTAATCACCATGGGACCCGGGCCTCCACGCCGTCTGTCGTTATTTTGACAGGTTCGATTCGACCATCGTCCGTGAAATACATCCTATCGATGCATGTAGCTCGATGATCTCTCTCGTTGTCGTCCGGGAATCGTCGGTGGTACACGATATAATAGTCGTCCTTGACTGAGAAAACACTGTTATGGCCAGTTCCGGTTCCAATTGCGGTGTCTCCCTGCAGGATCTTGACAGGCTCTCCATCAAATGGGCCGAGAGGACTCTTGCTAGTGACATAATTCACTGCATACGAGTTATCTCCCCATCTTGAAGCCGTTGATAGCGTCGTTAATATCAGTCATCTAAAGCGATATCGAGCTAGAATGCAGACGATCCAAAAAACACACTCACCCGCCAGTGCTATACATGAAGTAGTATATGCCATTTCGCTTCAACATCCATGGAGCCTCGACATAGCCCTTGGGAGTGATCTCCTTGACCTCCCCTTTCAACGAGATCATATCATCGTTTAACTCAACGACGACACCATGGCTATGTCCGCCATAGTAGAGGTAATTCCTCCCGTCGTCATCAATAAAGATATCTGCATCGATTGGCTGCGCACCAAAATACGATTCTGATATCAGCGGTTTGCCCAGCGCATCCTTAAACGGGCCTTCCGGTGAGCCCGAGCGTGCGACTCCGAGTCCGGCACCGTCTCCAGCAGAAAAATACATGTAGTACGATCCGTCCTTGAAGGCAACCGATGGCGCCCATGCGGCCCTGTTCGTGCTCCAGGAGACGTCCTTGAAGTCCAGCACTTTTCCCAAACTGGTCCACGTCTTCAGATCGGGGGAAGAGAAGGCCTCGAAGTAGGTCTGGTTCTCATACACGGTGGACACAGTGGGGTAGATGTAGTATTTGTGGTTGAAGATACGGGCTTCAGGGTCGGCGTACCAACCGTCGATGACTGGGTTGCCGACCCGGGGAATCTTCATTGATAGGTTGTGCATTGGAGCAGAGGATACAAGTTGCAGCGCTACCGCCCATACAGCCAGAACCAGGACCAGAGACGGCGACGCTGAAATTGAAGTTGAGGTCGAAGGGATGCTGAGCAGAGCCCGCCGCACTGCTTTGGCCATCGTTCGTATCAGTCCTTGTTTGGATCGGTCCTTGGCCGCAAACCCTGGATCGGGGACATACACTCTGGATGTATGTATATATGGACTCCCCTCGAACAGCTTGATAGTTGTATCATGGCTCCCGTCGAAATCTGAAGCGGTCCTTTATATACACATCGACCGGTGTGCCCCTTACTTGCGGTTTCACAAGCACGTCCAGGGCGGGTTCCAATCTTCAGTGGCACCCAGCTAGCCTCCATCAAGCAGAGAGTATCGTATCATCTGAGCCGTCTGTCGATGGGCTTTTGTATATGTGCTTTTTCTTCTTCGGTGTGAATAGCAAGTATTATCAAATATTGACCCCTGCTCAACCAGCGCATGACAAGTCTTTTAGATGCGATCCACAGGCGGGTACATCATTTTAGTAGTTGTTAGTGGAGTGTGGAGGTGGATATTCAGCTACTTACTTATACACTACGATTTATGGATGCAACTATGATATGCAATGCAATATGCAGCTGGAATTTTGTTTATTGAGCAAATCCAAGGATGAACAATAGGAGGGCGGCGCTATACACGCACGCACACACAAAGGAGAAAACACGAATAGTACAAGTGTGGGCGCTATATATCGTCAGGTAGCGTAAAAATACACAAGATGGAAATGAAAGGGAATACAGAGATCTGAAGAGGGATAGCATAGCTACAGAAGGGAAGAAAATGTGTTGGGAAGAGGTCGGATAAGGTGGAGCGCCATGAAAGGAGGGTGTGAGGTAGGAGTGGTAGAGGGTGAATAAGGTTGTACTAGACGGGTGATGCGTTTGGTGTTGTTGATACAAGTGGCCTGTCTATAGTCGGAGGAGCTTGGTGGCCTGGGAGAGGATGGTGTCCTCCTGCGGGAAACTCATGATCTCCAGCTTCTCGGCATATGGGGTGGGCACTTCAGCACCAGTGACACGGATGGCAGGGGCCTGGAGGTAGTCGAAACCGTATTCCATGGCGAGAGCGAGGATCTCGGACGAGACACCGAACATGGGGAAGCCGGACTCAACGGCGATCAAGTGACCGGTCTTCTTGACAGACTTGACGATGGCCTCCACATCAAGCGGCTTGACAGAACGGAGGTTGATGACCTCAGCTTCGACACCATACTTGGACTTGAGCTGGGCGGCGGCCTGAAGAGACAGGCCAACGGAACGGGAGAGGGTGACGATGGTTAGGTCCTTTCCGGGACGCTCGATCTTAGCCTTTCCGAGAGGAATAACGAAGTCGTCTTTCTGAGCAGCCTCACTCATGGGGAAGGACTGTCCATAGAGAAGCCTATCGTCATCGTTAGCAAGAAAACGCAAAAGAGTCCTACTATCCAGCAGGGTGGAACTCCAACTCACTCGTTCTCAAGAACAACAACCGGGTTAGGGTCACGGATGGCAGCCTTCAAAAGGCCTTTGGCGTCCTCAGAGCTCCATGGGGTGACGACCTTCAGGCCAGGTATGCTTCCATACCAGGCAGCGTAGTCCTGGGAGTGCTGGGCGGCGACACCGGCAGCAAAACCGTTGGGCCCTCTGAAGGTGATGTTGCAGGGCTGGATACCACCGGACATGTAGTGAGTCTTTGCGGCGGAGTTAACGATCTGGTCGATGGCCTGCATGGCGAAGTTGAAGGTCATGAACTCGCACTATAAACGCCGGAAATAACGGAGCGATTGATTAGCAAGGAACAATTGAATAGCATTAAACGGTGTAGAACAGTAAAAATGAAGGAACCAGGAAGTCATCACATACAACTGGGTGAAGGCCGGCAAGAGCAGCACCAACAGCAAGACCACAGAAGCCCTGCTCGGTGATGGGAGTGTCAATTACTCGACGATCGCCGAATCGGTCGAGAAGGCCCTTGGTGACCTTGTAACTGAGCACCAGCAAAATCAGCACCACTTCAACAAAACTAACAAGCCATAAGGGATCAATTGGGTTATATAACTTACGCTCCGTTGTACTGAGCCACCTCTTCTCCGAGGATGAAGACCTTCTCGTTGCTGGCTAGCTCCTCCGCCAAAGCCTCATTGAGCGCATCTCTGACGGTAACCTCCTTCACGCCGCTGGGAGCAGCATACGAGCGTCTCTGGGCAACCGGCTGAGAGAAGACAGCAGGTCGGAAGGCAGAGAAACGGGCTCCTGCGAGCGACGACCGCGGTGCCAGCAGTCGGGAAGCCGGCCGTAGTATCCTGGGAGCCGCCATTTGCGCGGGAAACTGTGCTGAGGATGGGGAGAAGAAGCTAGCTAGAGGGTCTCTGGCGACGAGAGAGTGCAATTGGCACGGGCAACGGTCTCACTGAGCTGCTTCAGGGGCGTGTGGTCGATCGAGCTGCTGGTTCTTCTTCGTCGTCGTCGTCTTCGTCTGCGTGTTTCGTTGCAAGAAAGCAAAGAATGTCGGAGGTTCTTTTTTTGTTGACGGGCTTGTTGAGCTGACTAAGGAGTCACGTGGATCATTCAGCCTGGACCGCTGACTTTGATCAAACAACAACTGAGACTACAACCACAGCAGTGAGAGTGAGAGTGAGGGTAACAGTGACAGGCACAGGGACGGTGATGGTAAGGCTAGAGGCTTGCTTAGGCATAGTGAAGGCTGTCGAAGTGGACGCTGTCTAATGAAGTCTACAAGGAGGAAAAATAAATGGACAAAGTAATCTAAGTGTACTGCTAACAACATGAAAATCTAACGATAACGATGTGTACTAGGGCTAGGCACTAGGACAGCTCCAGTGCTGGCTTGCCCAGGTGGTGAGCATGGTCCTCATCTGGACACCCGGCATAAAGGCCTCTGCATCTTTCTTAGGATCAAAGTCGATGCCTACGACCTTCGTAGCAACGGTCACCCAGGGCTCAAGGAAGTCGAGGTACAGCAGGTCGACCGTATCCGGCAGCGTGGCGGAGTCACCATTTGTGATTGTAGACATGATACAATTTGGAGACCGGTAGAAGGAGACAGGGGCATGCACGGTGTCATCTCCCTCCGTCCCACCGTCATCCTTGGTAGTGTATCCTGGTATCAGGCTAGGCTCATCACTGTCCCGCAGCGGGTTCTGCTCGTTGTCAGCTCCGTGGGCTAGCTGCGCATACCCAGTCTCGACAACAAAGTCTTCATCTCTAGACCACTGCTCCGGCGGACTGAGAGATGAAGAATTCATGGGCATGAATCCCCCCTGAGCCAAAATGTTGGCCGCCTTGTTAAGCACCTTTAAGACCATGACGGCCTTGTCATATGGCACATCCTTCATGTAGCGGAACTCGTTTATGAACGGCGAGACGATGAACGCGCCATCATGAGTAAACGGACCCTTGAATATGTCAAAACGGATGCCGCCCGTGTTGACGAGGGCAAGAGCAGTGGTGTTCTCACGAAGATGGGGCCTAAGCGAGTCAGGGAGAACTTCCTTCTCAAGCCAGCTATAGACACTGTCGTTGGATGGATACTTAGCCCGCGACATCCACAGTGTCTTCGGGGCGCAGCCGTAGACATGGTCGAGCTTGAGAACGCTTCTAGCCTTCTGGATATCCTCCGTGACTTTCTTGCCTTCAGGTGTGTGAAAAGTTGTCTCGTTGAGGCCGGAGTGGTGGTATAATGAGAAGAGGTTGTTGTCAATATATCTTCGAGTGAAAGTAGGTGAACTCTCTGCTGCAGAGACCCGCTTGTTCGCTGTCTTCAGTCCACTCAACGATGCAAAGCCAATAGTTTCCATAAACCGCCCGCTGGCAAGGCTGTATGCTTTACTATCATACTTGACATAGTCACGAATGTGATGATGGCCGCCGAAGAACTGAATCGGCGTGTCCCACTGGACTGATCGTATCTCCGTGAAGATAGCAGCATACTCTTTGGACTTGGCCGGGACATGACCAATGACGAGGAAAAGATCAACTTCTCGATCTCTGATTGCCTCCTGGAACCAGTCTTGCTTGATAGCCCTTTCAACAGGCGTCACAACGGTATTGTTGTAGTTGCCTGTAAAGTCAAACAAGAACCCGAAAGCCATAATCCTGATTCCTTGTATCTTGGTGGTAAACTTCTTGAACCGCTGGGCAAGGGGCACGATCTCACCGGAGTCTGGGTCGGTGATATCGATATTAGATGCAATGTAGTTGCCCTTGAAGTTGGGTACAGTGGTGCGGAGCTCAGCCTCCGACGTGTTCTGCTTGTAGAGCTCATGGTTCCCCGAGCAAAGCAGATCAATATGCTGCTTCTTCAGGAATTCGGATGAATACACTCCCTTAGGCTCAGAGCTGTCGTAGAGTCCACTTCCCTCTACCCGATCCCCGGTATCGATTACCAGCAAGTCCGTTCCAGCAGCTTCGGCCTTTTCACGCATGCGAGTCGCGAAGGAGACATAGTCACCCCAATCAGCAGAGAATGACGGCCTGCGGCAACACCAGGTTCAGTAACTGCATAGGCGCAGATATATCAGGGAGCAAAAAAAAAGAGAACATAATCTCACTCCTGTAGATGGCCTGAATACCAGCCGTGGACGTCGGTGGTGTGGAGGAAGTTAAGCTGGCCCCATGCAAGGTCCCTTAACGGCGCAGGAATGGGATCCGGAGCTTGAGGGCTGACGGGCAAGGGCGACTCCGGCCAGGCCTAGAAGGACGAGAGCAGCGCTGTCGAACATGGCGGGATAGATGTGAGACAGTCCCTAAGCGATGGTTG